AACCCACAAGAACTATACAACAAAAGTCAAATTTAGATAGCAATAGGGTTAATTGGTGATTTGGCCTTGAATTTCTACCTAACTTTTGATTTACACGTATTCTTTTTTTTTATTATAGAAAATTAAGGATATAAACTTCTTTTTTTCACCAATTTCCCTATTGCTATCTAAATTCTCAACATTTTATTTAATTTGCCGTTAAATATGAGGGCAAATTGGTAATTTCAATGTTAAAATAAAATAAAATAATTTGAAATTTGAAATAACAATGATAACAATAAAGTTGAAAAAAAAACCACCGCCACCCACCACTCTCTCTCTCTCTACAAGCCCTTCTTCCCCAAATCTTAGCCTCCTATGTCCTCCTCACAAATCACACCACCACCCATTCTCTCTCCCTTGACTTCTCTCTCTGCCCTCACTGCAACCAAAGCTCTAACACATCCCATACAACAACCACCATATATTTGAACAAAAAAAATTCCAGATGCACATATTTGAACAAAAAAAAGAAGAACAAATCTATTTGAGCAAAAACCGCACCAGGGAGGGGGGGGGGGGGGGGGGGGGGGGGGGGGGGGTGTGTGTGAGGGGGGGGGGGGGGGGTGTTTGTGGTGGTGGGCGAGCGAGATACAGGGAGGGAGAGAGTTGCGGGGAAGAGGAGAGAAAAAAGGAGGGGAAAAAAAGAATAAAAAGGGGGAAATGAGGAAAAAAGAGGGAGAGAGAATCGGGATGTGTGTTGTGAGTCCTTTTTCAATTTTATTTATTTATTCTCACATAAAAGTTAACAATAGGACATATGTCACTTTTCTAAAGTAGTTTATCCTTTATTGCAACTGTATGGGTAAAATTGAAAAAGTGGAAATTCATTAAAATGATAGGTATAGGCAGTAAGAAATTGAGTGCAAAATATCCCCACTCAATCGTATGATTTTAAAAAGAAAAAAGAAAAAAAAAGATTTTGATTTGTCCCTAGGAAAGCTAGTTTATAGTAGTAAAATCTAGTCTTTCTCTTTTTAGGTCGAAAGTAGTAAAATCTTACTTGCCCAAGGGTTAAAAACCCATTATGATCTGTGTACTGCGGATGCGATGCGATCAACTTAATTACACTCTTTGACTAGAAAGAAATTGGGTATGGCAAATTCTTTAACATTGGTTATGGGTTAAGCTACTTGCCTGACGTTGCAGATCCTCCACCTTTCAACCTCAACCAACCCAAAAGGCATATTTTGGGCCATCGTCAACCTCTCATAACTCAAAATTTCTTCTTCTAGTTGTCAGGACCAGTAAAATCTGTGGTTGGCAAATTGGTGCATAGCCTAACTTAGTCGACATGTGCTTTCTCAATGACTAATTGAGCTTATGCAGATTTTCGTGGTGCCTATGAACTTGCGTCAAAACCTCACTTTAATGTGTATCACGAACTAGTGTCTCTCTGGGTTTGGGTTGGGGTGGGGGGGGGGGGGGGTGGTGATCCTCATAGCTGAGCTGTTATTTTTGCTAATGAAATGTAATTATACATGTGTGCGTCAAAACCTCACTTTAATGTGTATCACGAACTAGTGGGTTGGGGTCCTCATGAGCTGAGCTGAGCTGTATTTTTGCTAATGAAATGTAATTATACATGTGTGCAATCAAATTCTTAATTACTACAACCACTACCTATATGTTTGGATTGGGATTGGGAGTAATGTTATCTTACAAGATAGTTCGTTATACTATATTGTCGGATTGCGACACGATTCATTATTGTTTGTATGTATAAGACAATGTTTGACCTAGTATATTACTCCTAGTACTGTATAGGTAGTGGTTAAATGTACATGATTGCAATTACATTGTAGTTAGCATTCGAGGATGGGTCGAGCTTGGACCGGACTATTGGGATAGACATTATTTTATGTTGGGTTGAGTCAGACTTGGGTTTCAATACCTTAGTCCAAGCTCATCCACATGAGCCGAGCTTTTTCAGGGTATTAGGCCGGGTTGGGGCCGCCCATGAAAATACTTTTTTTTTAAATTGAAAATGAAAATATAGTCAACTATATTCAGGCTTAATTTATTAATATTCAATTGGATATCACGGGTTCGGGCTGGTCCTTTTTGGCCTGCAGATCACAAGAAATTTTCAATATACATAGGACATGTGGAATTATTCTTCAAATTACTGCATTGCTTTATATAACATGTGGCTGGCTGCAGTGGAAATATTCCACATGTCCTTCGTCTATTGGATGGTACACCAGCCACGTGGTGTACCAAAAACACCCGAAAATTACTCACAAATCACGAGTTAAATAATGATCCCTAGTTGGGTAGGATTTGAAAAGAATAACAAGTTAGAGAGCATTGTGCATAATGAGTTGAAGAAAACATGTATTTTAATCCCTAAATATCCCTCCAAACCATGATGAAACCATTAAACACCAGTGTTTCTATGCAAGGGACGAAACTAAATTATTATTTTTCCATTCAATGCAACTAGCAATAGGTAGGCAATCTCAAATGACAAATAATTTAGCTTTCTTACCTATACTACATACTTCAAAAAGATTCAGAAGATAGATCCAAAAGTTGCCCGACTTTTTCCCACAAGTGTAGAGTTGTTATAAACATATGAATTGATGGTTTACAATTAACTCATGACAATTATTGAGTGCCCACTTTGGTGTAAGGTACAAAGCCGCTTTCAAAGATATGTGGAGCTAGCTAACAGCTGCTTCTGTAGTCTTCATCATGTAATAAAAACTACAATATATGCTTGCAAAATCTCCTAGAACCTAATAAAGTTGCAACTTATAATAGACTGATTCTTAGTTTTTTTGCACGTTAGCAACAAAATCTGCGATCAACATTCAATTTCTTTCTTATTTTTGGTACAAGTCGAGCTGTCCAAATGGGTCCCTCAAAAGCAAAAACTATGTCATATTTTTATAGATTTCACTCCTTAAGATAGGAGGACCATCCTTGTAAATTAAGAGCATGTTTAGAGCTGTCTGTGTAATAAATAAGTACTTTTGTTTATAAGCGTTTTAATTAGAAACATTACAAACTTCTATTAAAAATCCTATTACTCTTTGAAAAACCACTTAAAAGTGTTTTGTGAAAAACAGAAAAGCGCTTTTATAACATATAAATACTTTAATTAATTTTTTAGAAAATTTGACATAGATCCAAATTCTCATTTAAGAGTTGGACTTAATCTTTGGATTTTATGTCCAAATACTTTGACTTGAATGCCACATAAGATTACATTACTCTTTAAATTTTTTGATGTAATCATATATATTTTTTCTTTTAAAATCTATGTTTCTATTCCAATTATGCCCCTATGATTTAAATTGGGAAAGACTCATTTATATCATAATAATTAGCTAATTAATACATCTATTGACTCTTATTGCAATTCATAAAGGGGTAAAAAATTAATTTTTGGCCAATAATTACTATATTTGACCTTTTAAATAATTATGATTTGTGTTCTTGACTTATAGGTAACACGATTTATCACTAAGTTTTTTTCATTGCTAATAATAACACTATTTACCTGTATGTTAAGTACATAAATTCATGTGGGTGCTTGCCTTACTGTAATTGATTAAATTGTAGTTTATGCATATATTAGGTAAATATTATAAAGGAAAGAATTTAAATCAAGAAATTCAATTATAAGGAAAACAATGCATTAAATTTAGATTTCAATATGTTTTCCTTATTTACCTCGAAGGGTAAAATCCACACACACACCAAAAACAAAAAAACAAAAAAAACAAAAAAAGAAGTCAAAGGACCTACATCTAAAACAAAAAACTGAGCTAAATCTAATGACAACTAATCATTTTGGACCTAAATCTAAGAACCCATTTTACCAATCAATGTTAAAAATGCTCTTGGTTGTTAAAAAAAGGTTTTTGACCCTTTTACAAACAATGCTAAATATTAGGGCTGGGCTCAGTTTAGGTTGATTCAATTTTGGGCTCAACCCGAAACTGAACCGTAGGCTTCGGTTTGACTATTTTGAAAATCGAAACCAAATCATAATTGATGAAAACCGACCACTTCGGTTAACCGGACATGGTGATTTGGTTTGGTTCGGTTTCAGTTTTTTGGCTTTCTTAGAGAGAGAGAGAGAGAGAGAGAGAGAGAGAGAGAGAGGAAATAAAAGCAATGGAGAGGAGAAGAAGAAAAAAAAAATAGGGAGAGATGGAGAAGAAGAAGAGGAGAAAAAGAAAAGAGAGAGAAGAAGAAGAGGGAGACGGGGAGAGGGCGTGAAGACATATATAAGAAGAATGAGAAAATAAAAATAGAGAGAGGGACTGATAAAGACAAGACAAACGGAGAGATTGAGAGAGAAGAAAAAGAAAAGATTGAAACTATGTATTATATATATATATATATTTCTTACTTCAGTTTGGTTTGGTTAAACCGTAGGTTTGAATATTGCAAACCGTAGGTTTGAATATTGCAAACCGTACATCGAATCATATATTTCGGTTTGGTTTGGGTTCAAACCGATGACAAAAAAAAATTGAGAAAAAACCAAACCAACCCAACCCATCGGTTTGGTTTGGACAAATTGGCTAGATTTCGGGTCCAAATGCCCAGCCCTACTAAATATAATCCCCAAATCTCATTCTTATCCACACTAGTATAGTGTCAATATTAGTACTGAAACAAAGCCAGTGGAAGAAGCCAAATTTGGTTTGACTTTGTTTCGGTTGGGATTGTACTTACTCTTTTCAATTCGACCTCACAAAACAAAAACTAGAATCATCTAGCTTGTTTAGAGAAAAGAAAGAAAGAAGAAAAAAAGAAAAAGAAAAAGAAGAATTAAAAGTAGATGTTACAGTCTAGCTGTCCCTATGACGAGCTTATTATTTCATATTGAAAGCACAACTCCCACATTTTTTATTACACTGCTTCCATAAACTTCTCTCTCTCCCTCCCTCCCTCCCCAACTCCCTCCTCCCTCTGTTTCTCTCTCTCTCTCTCTGACAAAAATGGTACAATCAAAGAAGTTCAGAGGGGTCAGACAACGCCACTGGGGCTCCTGGGTTTCTGAGATTCGTCATCCATTACTGTACTCTCTGCTTCTCTTCTTCTCTTCTTCTCGTTTCCTACCAACCCCCCTCCACTAATTCCATTGCTGTTTTCTCAACAAACTATTCACCGTATACTTCCACTCTTTAAGAGCACAATTACATATATATATATATATATATATACATACTCCACAGCTCCTTTTTCTTTATATTTTGCTCATAAAGCTTACATATATATTTTCTAGTTCTTGATTCTATGTGTTTTTCAATTGTAAAAAAAGAGTCCCATTATAGCATGGTGGTGTCTTAATTACTTGTTTAGCGTATGGTCTTAATTTTGGGTTTTGGTTATAGGAAAAGACACAAGTACCAATTTAGCTTATAGATTTAGCATGAGTGACAAAGTTTGTTAGTTAATTATTATGGGTAGGTGTTCTAATTAAGGGCCTAATTAGGAAATGTGAAAGAAGTGTCAATTCATTGATTTGATTCTTAGTATCATTAATTAAAATTTTCTTTTCTTTTCTTTTTAAATTGCTAATGCAGGAAAAGAAGGGTATGGCTTGGGACATTTGAGACAGCTGAAGAGGCAGCAAGAGCATATGATGAGGCAGCTATTTTGATGAGTGGTCGAAATGCCAAAACAAACTTTCCAGTCCTCACAAATGAAGTGTCCAATGATCATAACAACAACAACAACAACTCTTCATCATCTTCTTCCTCAGCACTTTCAGCAATCCTCAGTGCCAAGCTTCGCAAGTGCTGCAAGTCCCCATCTCCTTCCCTCACCTGTCTGAGGCTTGATACTGAGAATTCCCACATTGGAGTCTGGCAAAAGGGTGCGGGGCCGCACTCTGATTCGAACTGGCTGATGATGGTTGAGCTGGACCAGAAGAGTTTGCAACCACCCCAGCCAGAAACTAGCACCTCTGTTTTGGACACAGAGGAAATGGCAGCAGGGCAGGACGGTGGGGATGATAGCGTGGATGACGAGGAAAGGGTTGCATTGCAGATGATAGAGGAACTTCTGAACAGAAATTGATAAAATTGGTACTTCGGTGTAATATGGTATAGTCCAATCAACATCACATGGAGGTTGATCACCAAAGTGTATTAGGAATTTCCATGTGCTTAGTCTTGTCAATTGATGCATTGGTATTTGTTTGGTTTGAAGTTAGGATTTGTTTCTTTCGTCAATAACGCCATGACACATGTGATAATATTTTCACGTGACATAGTATTATTGATCGGGGATGATAAAACAGTGTTATTCCCTTTGCAACTAAGTTTTTCTCTTACAAGACCCTCCATATATATATAGAGTATCACTTTAGAAACTATTTGGTTGGTGTTAGAAATAAGAAGAAGAAAAAATGAGAGGTATAAAATTAGTGTTTTATATGCAGTCGCAATATTTATTAAAATTAGGGTTTGCAAAGAGGATGTAATGATGTAATGATGTAATGATGTATGATAAATAAAAATTGATATTGATTGACTTGGTTTTGAGTTCTCCATCTCTCTGATCACTGATCAGCAAATATGTATTTGTTCTGTTGTGCATATAGATCTTTGTGAGGTCACAAATGAATTGCAATCCACAAATTAACATGTGATTTTATTTATTTATTTTTTAAAAAGCTCCAACATACATGGAAAGGTGATAAATGTTTGAAGAATATGCTAAAACTTCTTGTGGTTAATGTGGAAATAATATTATTAATGCTTGGCACGTGTTTAATTTAGAGCAACAACAACTAGATAGTGAGAGTTTGAGCTATAATTTTCCTTCTTAACAGTCTCATCTTTTGATGAAACGAAAGATAACTTCTTCTTTTTTTTTCTTTTTTTTTATATATATACAATGGAAAGGAATCACATCTTAACTTTATTAGCATAAATTTCATGATAATTAAAACGAGTTATATGACGCATGTGGTTTCTTATATAAATCCATATCGGTTGTAGTTGGCAGTTGGGTGCTATGCGTAAGTCCTTTCGATTCAAGGTTGTAGGTCTGTTTTGGCGTTGATGGTAAAAGTAGCCAATTTCTCTCTAAATTTTTGTTCACCAAAAAAAAAAAAAGGAGTTATATGATGCATGTGATTTACAACACTCTAGCTTACTTACCATAAATTCTTGTATCAGATGAGCACTAGTGTGTAGACTTTTCATGCTACAAAAAAAAGAAAGAAACAAATTGCATCAAAAATAAATTTACCTATTTCGTATGGCACGAATTAGAAGGTGGGTTTTTTGGGATAATAAGAGGATGGATTTTATTTTCGGCTGTTATGTGTATTTTCCACAAGAGATGTGAAAAGAGTACGGCTAATTCTATTAGAACTCAAAATACCATTTCTCTATAATAATAAATATTCTCATTATTTGTGTTTTCAATTCAAGAAAATAAAATTTAATCAACTAATAATGCTTTGGGTTGATAGCCATGGCCCACATGGTGTGCCATTGCAAATTGCAATACAATGGTCGCCAGTCAGAGAGAAGTAGAAGGAAGAGGAGGGAAGAAGAAGAGCTTTATTTTTTTGAGTTTTATGAATCGATCTTTCTTTTGTTTTTTTGTTTTTCTTTTTTATGAATCGATCTTGTCAAGCACGTTTATAAATTAAACGAAGTGCATGAGGGAGAATGGCCTTTATTTAGATATGCTGCATGTTAAAATTTGAGCAAGGTATATATGAAATGTCTCCTCAATGTCACGTGTTCAGGTAAAGCTTGGAAAGAATTGTAAATGGCTATTCTAGTATTAGAAATGAGACCTATTATGTTTTTTTTTTTACACTGACGATATTTGAATAATAGAGAATCGAACACAGAACATCAAGTGTAGAGATACATTTTAAATATTAAAGCTACAAGCCCCTTTATTATACTATTATAGTGTACGAGCAAGTTGATTTTTTATGTGAACATCGAAGAACAAACGTGTCACATTGACAAAGACACTTTGGGTTGTTATTCAACCGTGCACACCAAAGTTAAATCATTAGCAGGATTTGGACCAACCATTATAGGCTCTAATGAATATATTACGTAAAGTATATCATATTGTTGGCAAAATAGGATCTAATGAATATATTTATCACATAAAATTTAGATATAATCATCATAATAATCAAATGGGTATATAATTTCGAATGTTGTATATTTTTAACAGGAATAATCATTGAAGGGTGATGTTGAAAATGGAGGGTTATAAAATTATGAGACCAAAATGCACTTTGAGAATGGAAGATATTACTAGCATTCCTCCAACTAGTGATATATATTTGTTGGGACTTGGGAATATAAAATCTCATGTCAAGTACTTTAAATCTTTTATTTTAATATATAAAATGTTTCATACTCTTATATCTTGCACTCTAAATTTAGACATGTAAATATATTTAAAAAGATTAATAAAAGAAGTGCGAGATGACAAATTAGGCATGTAAATATATCATTTTTCATATATATAAATAAATACTTTTAACTATTTGAGCTATAATTTCATTGTGCATTGTCACATTCCTAAAGGATAATGATGTGAGTGTTGCACGTATATTTTCTCATATCAAATTAAAGTCATTAATGAAGCTCCAATCTTGTTGGCACTCTTTAAGGATACGCGTCTTTGAAGCTTTTCAGCATTTCAATGGAATTTGCTGGTGTTTGGAGTATCAAAACCCATGTGGTGGAGGTCCGTTAGGTTCTAGGACCATGAAAGGGCTTAACCCATTTGCATCTTTAACAGGACCACGAAATTTAAAAACCAATTCATTAAGCCAGGAACAGCCAAACCAACAGCCAGCTGGTTGTTCATCGATCTTTCATCCACAGTTTGTAAGTACTGCCACTTAAATGTTGCTTAGCTTTAGAGAGTGGAAGGCATTTGATTTTGCTAAGAGTTTAGGCAACTTTGTTTTTTTCGTAAGAAGTGGGCTTTGTTAGGGTTTAGTTTGCCTTCAAAAATATATATATATATATATATATATAATTTAGTAAATTTGGCTTACACCCTTCAAATTCAATTTGCCGTACCTAAAACCCTTCACTTTTTGTTCCTATAAATAATACCCAATTTGTATAAGTAAAAACCCATGACTAGGATTCAACTCACCAAGTTACCTAATTAAGCATAAAATTTGATTTATTGTACTTTTTAGATTCCAAAAATACCCCCAACTAAGCCATTATTGCATTTTGTATATTAATGTATGAATCAATATGGATGTAGGAATTAATTTTGAAACATTTTAAAAAAAAATTTTAACAATAAATTCAAATTTGGGTAATCGGTTTGTTTAATAAAATGTTTATGTTATTTTCTTTTTATGAATTATACATGACTAATAATCCACTTTATAATTGTTTATGAATAAAACTATACATACTAATTATGTTGAAAAAATAATGTACCTATTACTTGTTTGTTTTATGAAAAATATAATTTACCTAGTATGAAAAGTGTACATAATTATCTATTCTAATATACCTACATTATACGACATCCAATATACCTACATTAATTTTAATGTACTTACAATTAGGATTTAGGTATTATATGTCATCCAATGTACCTACCATTTGAATAATATACCTGCTACGAATAAAGTACCTATTATTTATCTAAATAATGTACCTATTTTTTATCTAAATAATGTAATTTATTTTTGTTCTATAAATAATATAGCCTTTTTTCTCTGAATAAAGTACCTATTATTTGTTGAATAATACTAGTCTTACCACATTTTTTATACCACATTTTCATACCACATGATGTGGCAGCTGATATGTACATATCACATCATGTAAAATACTAATTTCTGTTTTTCTAATTTTATTTATTAAAATACACTTCATTCATTTAATTGATATGGAATATGATATGGACATGCCACATCATGTGGTATAGAAATGTGGGATAAAAATATGGTAAGTGTAGCATTACTCTTATTTGTTTTATTAAAAGTAATTTTTTAAAATGAACCTATTTTCTCTCTCCAAATAACTTACCTATTTTTTTCCTCTAATAATGTACCTATTTTTCATAGGTACATTATTGGATATGTAATTTATTGGATACCTATATTTTATATGTATATATTTATATTATAATTTTCATAAGTACATTATTGGATATGTAATTTACAGATTTTTTTTTGTTTGCAATTTTAGGAGGCGAGATGTGAGAGGGAATGACAACTATAAGAAATGGGGTGATTGATATGCTATTAATAGGGAGTATATTAATTACAATTATGACAGTTAATGAAATGCTTGAAATAAATTATAAATAAAATATGAAGTTTAGTGGCAACGATGTAAAAACATAGAAATACTACGACCTCTTATATTCTACTGGTCATTTAAATTTGAAATTGGGTTTTACACATAGATTTATAGAGTGATGAGTATATGTCTAGGAAATAGAAAATGTATGGATCTATATTAGACAAGCCCTATATAATTTTATTTTATACAAGAGATATTCTATTTTAATCTAATTTAAATTACGAGAAGGGGAATTTGAACTCGGATGCAGAATGAGGAGCACATCCACTCTAGTCAACTTAGCTAAGCCCATGTATGCTTAATTTGCTTTTAAGAGCATTTCCACCCATTTGTCATAGTAAAAGACATCGCAAGGGCTGTTACTATTCACATGAATATTGCCTCCCCTAGCAATTATTTGGTTGGTTTTCCACTTATTGTCATGGCAACCTAAGGGCAACTACTATTCACATGAGACACGAGGAGAGGAATTTGTATAGAATTTTGGTGTCGAAAGTGAAGAATATGGCTAGGTATTTATAAATAAAAAATTCCATTTTTCTTTAATTTTTTTAAATTTAAATTAGTTGTTGACGTCACAATGACGTCAGCACTAAGTCATCTTGCCTTGGCAACAGCCTAGGCTGGTGGAGCCCAGCACTTGCCCTTGCAAGAATTGGGCACTGGAAACGGCATTGGGATCACCCAGGGGGCCTCTTGTCCGGGCTAGCCCCTCCCGCTGGAAATGCTCTAACAAGGGGAATTATGTATAAAAAGCAGGAAAAAGCCGAAATTCATAGAGGATCGATTCATTCCATTTTTGAAAGGGCTAACTTCCAACTTTTTATTTAATTTTTTTGATGAACAACTAGCTAGAAATGGCAAAAGACCTAAAGCATAGTAGCTCAATGGATCCAAATCCACAGAGAGAGTTCTTGCTTAGAGAAGAATAGAAGAAGCCAGTACATGAATGTACTCTCAATACAAAATCTCAAGGACCTATGAAAACATTGTAGCAAATAGCAACCTAAACAAAGAGTAGGCGTTAAATTATAAGCATGAAGAAAGCAAGCATAGCATGAGGCAATTTTGGTGGGCACTTGGAGCATGGAATTTTTTCACTTATTTGCAAGATCCTTCACTGTTGCACTTGCAGTAATAATCATCGTTCCGCATTATTCTGAAGCCTATCATGACGGTTGTGTGGGCTTTCTATACAATAATTTCTCGTTTATTATGACAATGGCTGGTGTTCACTCAAATCATTCTACAGGAACAATGATATTGAACAAGAGGCTTAATTAACGTACAAGGTTTTTAGGATGCATTTTAGATTCTACATTATCTAAAGTCATTGATGGAGTTCTAGGGTGGCTACATATGAATAATTATTGATTGAAAAAAAAACCTTTGGGTTTTCAATAAGAAAGTTGTTATTGGCACTCCAAAAAAGTTATCATCTAATCCTCCTAGATAACAAAATAAGGAGAAAATGCACCTAGAGGAGTACGTGATGACTTTTATGAAATGTCATTAACCTAGAGGTGTTGGTTAGTAGGAAAAGGGGTTTGAGAATGCAAAATCAATTATTATTGTTATTGTTTTTCATGTTTGGAAAAATTTATCTTGACTTACGGGACTGACTACTAAGGGAGAAAATGAAACCCTCCATTGAAAAATTCAAACAAAACCCATTTCCAAAATAGCAAGTGTATGACTACTCGGGTTCCATTTTCAATTCCTATTGGAAATCGATGCAAACATTAGTTATATTTTAAGTTTTTATAATTACATATTGCTAATTTAGGGCTGTAATGTAAAGAGAATAAAGTGACATTCTGTGGTTATTTTCTCAGCATGACCAAATACGGGAAAAAGAGTCTTCACTTTCCATCATCTGAGAAAGACAGGAGAATGATTTTCCATAAATTCCTTTCTGGAACCAAATGCCTTGAAAATCCCATAATTGTTCCTTATGATATATAGAACTTTCTGGTTATTTTGTCTCTAAAATTTAATTATATAATATATTTAGGCCATACTTATAACCTACACAATTGTCGTTCATGAGAAATCAGGCCATACTTAGCTTTTTATTATTATAAACTTATTCCTACTCAGTTTAGGCAAAAATAATGTGCTCAGGACGTGGTCCAGTTGTAATTATATTTAAGATACTGATAAAGCCCATTCCAGGAAGGCAAGCTATCAGTAGGTTAGGCCCACAATGCCATCATTTCTGTTTATATTTTCACACTAGAATTCAACGTCCTTTTGTTTTTTGTTGGATTATTTGTTTTTGTAATTCGAATGCTGCTCTTAATATCACATCCTATAATGCATGTAATTTAGATAGTTGATATCTTAAGGAGCTCGATATTTTTTGGGGAATTTTTGACATACTAAACCTTATGAATTGATATGTGTTTTTTTTTCTTTTCCGTTTTGTTATTATGAATCTATCAGACCTCTACGGCAATTGATCTAAAACATGAACTGTTTATCCATCACGTAACGTTAGGTGAACCTCATTCTTTTTTTAATAAGTAATATACTGAAATTTGTACTCCCATATCATTTAGTGAATATTTTATATGGCGCTTTTCATTTGGTACACAAAATCTCGTTTGGTTAAGTTTTAAGGGGTTGTTTTCATTTTCATAGAACAAAACACGGTAAGAACCTGTCCATAGGCCAAAAACAATGAGAATGTTTTCATAAAATGAAAACAAGTTCACATGTATTTGTAGAGAACAGAAAAAAGATGTTTTCATTCTCACTGGAAACGCTCAAAACATGGGAGGTTGAAAAAGAACAGCTCCCGCTGCTCACTGTCGTCAATCTCTCGCTTAATCTTCTCTCCTTATTAGATCAAAAAACAAAAATCTTATCTCCCCCTTGCTCACCCTTTTCTTCTCTCCCCATTTCTTGACCTAACGGCCATTACAAGCCAATAGAACCACAATTACCATCAAGACCACCACCCACACAGCAAACTGCCAAAAGAGAGAGAGAGAGAGAGAGAGAGAATATCAGGCCTTGGATGGGAAGGAAGAAGAAAAGAGAAAAGAGAGAAGAGGAAGAAAGAAAAAAAAACAAGGAATAGGCCTGGGAAGGAAGAAAAGAGAAAGGAGAGAAGAGGTAGAAAGAAAGGGACGGTGTTGGCTAAAAAAATAAAAATAAAAGAGATAAAGTGTTGTGAAACGTGTGTGTGTAGATGTAGCAAGACTTTTTGTGTATGCAATAGCAGATTGATGTAAGTGAAATAATGTTTTGGTGGGTGAAATGTTTTCACCTCCAATTCTTCTGCAAAGCATTAACTGCTTTGCTCTTGTAACTTTCTCTATAAAAGGGATCCTCAGTTGAAGAAGAAGATACACCGATCCAAAGAGAAAATAGAGAGAGAGAAAAGAGAGTGAAAGATTTAAGAGTTAGAAGAATTTTATCTGAGGGAGAAAGTTCTATCAGTGTATACCACAAGAGCAAATACCATTCCATGCCAATACTCAGTGGTACTTTCATATTCTGTCTATTTTATAACATGTTATCAACACGACAGTCTTTCTCCTTTACCTCTAAATTTTTCAAGTTAAACACTATGTGGTTATTTCTCTGTTTCCTCTTTGTCATATGTCTACTCTCACTTTACTATTACGACGACATGCAAACTTTCTTTTTTGTATGCTCAAAAATTTTAGCCCATGCACCATCTTCTTGAACTGGAGTGTCCTCAATCCTTTGTAACTCAAATGTCCATAGCGACAGTGCCATAAGTGTGCCAAATCCTGCGTGGAAGTGTAGAGACAAGCTGGCTTTGGAGATCGTGAATTTGCTAGCAACACAAACATCCGATTTGTTGTCATCTCGATCTATATTATGAGCCCTTTCTCTGGATGATAAATCTTGAGCTTTCCATATTGAATGAGAATTGTCAATCCTCTTTCTTGTAGTTGACCAATGCTTAGAAGGTTGTTTTTTAGTTCAGGCACAAAAAATACTTCACGAACAACATGTATAAAGCCACTTACTGTTAATCTTACGTTGCCTTTTCCCAATATAGCCATCCTTGTGTTATTTCCCAACTTTACCTTCTGCCTGAAGTCCTCGTTGAGATCACAGAACAAGCTTTTGTCACCACACATGTGGTTACTACATCCAGAATCTAGGAACCAGACATCTTCCCTTCGAGCACTCTTCATCTCCACATATGACATGAGCAACATCTCTTCTTCTTCTTCTCCTAATTCAGCGTAGTTGGCCTCCTTATCCCGGCTTGGACACTCATATTGAAAATGGCCAAGCTTGTGACATTTATAACATTCCACTGTTGCTTTATCATAGGACTGGCAGCCTCGCCCTCTTCCTCGCCCTCTGTATGCACCTTGATCGCGTCCTCTTGCACCAAACCTGTCTTTAGAGGTTACCTTGAGAGCTTGTTCTTCTCCTTTATGTCGCTGGAATTTCTGCTCATGAACAATCAGAGAACTCTGCAGTTCATCAATGAAAAGTTGATCGATGTCTTTAGACTCCTTGATTGAGCAAACAACATAATTAAACTTCTCACTCAATGATCTGAGAATCTTCTCCACCACTGTGACATCTTGCATCTGCTCTCCATATGTTCTCATCTTGTTGGCTACGAACAACACTCTTGAAAAATACTTAGAGACTTCTTCCCCAGCCTTCATCTCTAGAGTTTCAAACTCTCTGCGGAGAGCTTGTAGATGTGACCTCTTAACCCTAGCACTCCCTTCAAACTTCTTCTTCATAGACTCCCAAATTTGTTTGGAAGTATCCTTCACAAGAATGGTCTCCAATATCGTCTGATCGATTGCCTGAAAGAGATAATTTTTTACTTTCAGGTCTTTCAGCTTCAATTCATCGAGCCATTTCGCTGAGCTTCTGTCTGCGCCGCTCCACGCTCTGGCTCAACAAAGCCAGTCTCTATCAGCCCCCAATATTCCTTAGATCGTAGGAAATTCTCCATCAACATGCTCCAATGGTAATAGTGACCATCAAAGCGAGGGATGGCTGGCTACACGAAATTCCCTTCAGTTCTCATCTTCTTTGCTATTACAAGAACTCAAAGACTGCTGCTTTGATTTTGTCAGGCCCAGTGGGGCTCTGATACCAGAATGTTAAGAATCGGAATACAAATAACATAGTGCAACAGGTTTGGGAATGACTTCAGTCTTATTGAACAATCTAGGCTTATAAATAGCCTTTTACAAACTTAACAGAAAGAGAAAAACTAGCTCACGTTTTACAACAACGTGATAAGTGCAACTAAACAAGTACCTAAAAACTAGGATTTATTCAAACTGAATACAAAACCTTATCTGAATCCCTAACAGAAACCTAAACTTTCTCTTCACCTTGGTGGATGTATAGCTCAGGTAACTGCTTTGCATATACGAAACAAAAACATTACCTTTCTCTCTCTTTTGTTAGTAGACTAGCCATTAATTATGCATCTTAATTGATTCCTATAGTTCAATTAAACTCTGGATGACGTTAATTGATCAGATTTTTTTTTCATGTTCTTATTTTTTGTAGGCGAATTTCAAGTCTCGAGCAACTGCAGTCATGGCACTGTTCTTTCTCCCTTACAACTCCTATTGGAGTTGCAATCGGGATTGGAATATCGAACATATATACAGAAAACAGCCCAACACCCCTTGTGGTTGAAGGCGTTTTAAACGCAGCTTCAGCGGGTATTTTAATTTACATGTCGCTGGTCGATATGCTTGCGGCCGAGCTTATGAACTTAAAGCTGCAGAGCAATTTAAGGCTTCAGGTTGGGGCCAATTTATCAGTTCTTCTTGGGGCGGGGTGCATGTCATTATTAGCCATATGGGCTTAGGCATAGTCTCCATGTAGCCGAGAAATATGTATTTTCTTTTTTTGCCTTATATAATGGAAATTTCCGAAAAACTAATCGTTTCTATTGGAACAAGAGATATTTAGTAATATACCTATTTTTAGCACTAAAACTATAAATAAACTCTACACGATTTAATTTCCATAAACAAACCCAAAAAATAACAACTGACTCTATTGAATTTAATTTTGATTATTAAATTACTTTGATGCCATATTGAATGTTTTCGGCTTTTTTATGAGGTTTTGGGGTGTTTGTGTTAATAAATCAATGGCAGTTTTGTAATTTAAAAGAACTTAAAAACTTTTTTGTTATGTTGTAAATGAGCTTTAAGTGTGTTTCTAAAGTCCATTTCATATAGAGTTTTTTTTTATTTTATAATTTGGGCTCCTATATTGGGTATAATAGTGAATCTCTCTTTAGTCATATACCCATTTTTAACACTAAGGGCATGTTTACGTATCAGTAATGGAGAAACTAAGGAATCAGAGAATTTAGGAATCGGAGAACTACTGAATCGGTATGGGAAGAATCATTCTCATTAAGCTGTTTACTAAACATCTGGAATTAGCAATGGAATGGGATTGATTCCCATTGTTATTGTTTACTAATTTGCATGAATCAGAATCCAAATTAATTTTAGAATTATGGTAAAGTGATAAAGGGTATTTTTGGAAGTTATTAAGAGAAAACAGGAATGGGAATCGTATCGACTACTCCCCCCTAGTTGATCTGATTCCTAGTTTTGAGGGAATGTGATTACGGATTTTGAGGTGGGGCCCACTTATTTTTTCATTCCTGATTGCAAGTAAACGCAGGAGAAGTCAGGAATGGAAATCATTCTCTTTCCTCTCATTCCCATTACTGATACGTAAACATGCCCTAAAACTATAAATAAATCATACACTATTTAATTTCTATAAACAAACCCAAAAAATGTCCTATTAAATTTAATTTTGATTATTAAATTACTTTGATGCCCAATTGAGTGTTTTAAGTTTTTTTGTGAGGTTTTTGGGTTGAGTTTGTTTTAAGAAATCAATAACAGTTTTGTAATTTAAAAGAAGTTAAAAGTCTTTTGTTATGTTGTAAATGAGTTTTGGGTGTGTTTCTAAAGTCCATTTCATATAGGGTTTTTTATAATTTGAGCTCATATATTGGGTATAATAGTGAATTTCTCTTAAAACTATCACTTATATATATTAAAAATCTAGAAGGAAAAAAAAAGAAAAAAAAAAAGAAAATCGGCCTATTGGCCCAAGGGGAAAGGCTAAACAGAGAAGCCGAAATTACAAAACCAAAAAGGCCACAGCCCAGAAATACCCAGAATAAAAAAAAGGGCACCGAGGCAACAAGGGAACAACCAAATAGTAATAAGAAATAAAAATAAATAATAAGAACCCAGCTCAAAGATCTGCGTAGAAGAAGCAGAAGACCCCGAAAGCCAACCAAAGAAAACGATACCAACTCCCACCAAAACCAGCAACAGTAACGTTCCAATTCTGCAATATAGTCAGACTCAGATTGGTTTTGGAAAGCTTTGAATCGTATATAAAATTTGACCTTTTTCAAACAAGTTTATCGCATAATTGATAATTGTGGTTTACACTGATCCTACCTATTTGCTACTCAATTCTGCAAGCGAGCTATGATACTTGCAGTCTTGTTCGCCAACTCGGAAGGCAACATCCTAGTTGAACGGTAAGTGCGGATCTACATCTTCCGTTCTTTATTCAAAATGGTTTGAAATTTCTCCAACGTCATGAACTTGTAACTTTTGATTCTGTTTGTGGTGTTTTTGACTGAAAGTTATTAATTTTGGTATACCCTTTTGTGGGTTTAGTTAATCTAACTTGGAAATCTTACGACTTGGATCTGAATTGTGTTTTGGGTATTTCATTTCTGTATAGTTTGTCTTTTACTTTGTGTTTATGGTTTGAATCGGGTGGACTTTGTTTTTCTTCGATGGTTTTTTATTTTTCTTGAAATGGTTTAATTTGGAATCGCTGACATATAAATGGATAGCTTTCTGTTGTACAATATCCTATCAGATTAAGAAGTGAGAAGGATAGTTAACAATATACAACGATTCATGTATAGCATGGTGTGAAAATTATACAGCATTTGCTATAAAAGACCTCATCTTTCTGCTTCGTTGTATATTGTATATGCAATTGCTGTATGGAATGTATCGAGTACGAAAGAGCACTCTTGAGTTAATTGCTTTGACATTTTTGTGCATTTATGTTTCCTATATTTGAAGCATTGACTCCAGGGTTCTATGCTCATTGCAGTTTCAATGGAGTTCCTGCTGAAGAACGGCTGCATTGGCGATCTTTCCTAGTCAAACTAGGGGCAGAAAATCTTAGGGGTGTGAAAAATGAAGAGCTCCTTGTTGCTTGCCACAAGTATGTATACTTTTCTCTTTTTTCGTCCTGCACATTTAATGCTTAATGTCTATGTTGAGATTGCCTTAGTTGTTCTAGTGTCATCACATACCTTGGGGATTGGATCCAAGAATTGAGCTGGAGCCTAAAATTTCCTCCAATGAGAATATAATGCTGGGGTATAATAAAACATATAAAAGTTTTGAAATTTTCTTTTGTCAAGGAAAGCTTTTTGGAATTAAGTCTTCAGCAAAGAACTCCCTTTTGCATTGAAGTTGTGACCTTCACAGAAATAATGCTATTCCTATTTTTAAATTAATAAAAAAAAAAAAAAAGTAAACTCAGAATCTGGTATCAGTTTACATTATTTGACTTGCATTGATGTATTATCAGGTCAGTTTACATTGTTTACACTGTGCTTGGGGATGTCAGCATCTATGTTGTGGGCAAGGATGAGTATGATGAACTAGCCTGTAAGTATTCATAACTCAGTTCAAGAATATGATGCTAGTTTATAGAAAGGGCAGGATGAAACTGTCAATCGAAAGCTAAAATTGCACTTCACTCTTGTTTGAGATTAGAGTTCTGAACCAGCAGTTTTCACATCCTTTTGATACCTTTTCAATCAGTAGTTTAGTTAGTTGCAACTAAGGTGAAAAGCTTTTCCCTTTTGCATGTGTAATTTTTGCATGCTTTCCAAAATAGATTCATGTTGTCAAATATCTTTATGATAGCAAGGTTCTCACCTATTACAGCCGGCCAGTGCTATAGTAGGAAAATTTATGCCATTTCTCTAAAGAAACAAGTAAAAAACAACTGCTATCTCTTTCCACACATCACTGAGTCACTGACTCTGCTTTAGTGCTTGGTGCAATTGGCCAAAGCTAGCACTTTTTTGAATGGAAAATTGACACCATCACTTACAGTAAACAAATTCAAAATGATACTCTCTTTGTGGTGCTTACTCTGACTGGCCAAATTGTAACAATTTCTTTTGGATGTGAGAGGTGTGCCGTGCTTTATTTTTTCTGGTTTTGCTTCTCTAACCTGGATGGATTCTTGCTAGTGTCAGAGGTGATCTTTGTGATAACATCAGCTGTGAAGGATGTATGTGGGAAGCCTCCAACTGAGCGCCTTTTCCTGGATAAGTATGGAAGAATTTGCTTGTGTCTGGATGAAATTGTTTGGAAGGTGAGGTGATGAATAAGTTTTAAATAATTAAAGCATTGTATTAAAAAAAAAACAAAAATTATTGTTGTTTGTTCATCCTTCACCAAAACATCCAACAAGTTAAATCATTTAGTATGGAATTCCTTTGATGGCTGCATCTTACGGCAACCATCCCAACAGCACAATGAAAATCATGTGGTAGAAGTTGCCCATAGTAGTCAGACCAACACCACTTTGGTACTATTTTAGTGGCAGGGTGGTGGAGGCTCACAATCATCCGAGACTAAATGTTAAATCACAGTTCCCGATTAGAATGGGAAATATGGAAATTTCCAACTTTCCTTTATAATTACATTACAAGCAAGCCTTACTTTTCTTTTAGTTTCGTTTTTTTATTTGGGTTGATAGGTTGATAGAAAGCTTTGCTTCTTATGCATTGTTTCATCTTCACATACTGACTTCATGTTACATGGCAATTCTATATTGCTGCCTAACATTTTGCTTTATAATGTTGAATTTTATCTTCTTTGACATCTGTTTTCCTATACTTTGCAGGGGTTGCTGGAGAATACGGAAAAAGATAGAATCAAGAGACTAATAAGGTTAAAACCTCCTACTGAGTTTTAAATCAAGCTTCCAAGTGAGCGTTGAACCAAAAGCTTCTTGTTGTAACAGCGGCACTGCTGAATTCATGCCCAGTATGTTGTTCAGGCTTTGTGACAGCCATAATGTTTTCAAACTTCTAGTGGAGATATTTTCTTGCATTTTCGGTGTGGAGAAGATAATAGGAAAATAGTAAATACCTGCATTTTTCGATATTCTGAACATAATGTTAAGTCAGTTCGTTGTTTTGAAATATGTTATACTACCTGCCTAACTAAAACAATGAATGTAGCAAGTAATGTAGCTATGGTAAACTTTTGCAGCAGAAGCCAAGATGGTTCTTGTGGCAGATTGCTGACCATATGTTTATGTTTCGCAGCTTTAAGCAATTGCTTGTTATTCAACTTTTTATCCACTGTCAATTCCAAAATTCTGAATTCCATATCATTGCAGATTTAATGAGGGATCATCAATTTATGTTTTGCAGCCAACTTTTTCTCAATAACTTGGGCTGGGGTTCGAACTTCAGAACTTTTTCATTATTTTGAAGAGAAATACCATTAAACTAAGTGTTAGTTGGTAATAAAACTTATTAGATATTTTTATACCAAAAGTTTAATAATCAGATTTTTACTCCATAAAATATTTGTAGTCTATAAAATAACCCTGGTTCCTGGCAAGCCATACATTGAGGCAGATTGTATAAAATAAAGGTCCTTAGCAGTTCAGCAACACATTGAGGCACCATTAAGGTTTCTAATTGAAAAGTGGTTACAAAAATAAGAGAATATTTTGCAAAAGTATATTCCTAATGACACTAATCATATAGATAGAAACAATTTTTCATGACCTTGAGCAATTTTTTGGGAGTTACCTTATGCTCTCGGATGCTTCAGGTGCATGTATTGATCATAAGGCAATGGAGACCACCCCAGTGGGTTTCCCAGGTCTCCCTGAGGTATCTGATGGAATGATTGTGGGCTTGGCATCTGATAAACGTTCCTATTTTGATGATTTTCTGTTGGAAGTTCATCATGCTAAGAGGTCGATCTTGGTCCCTTCTGCTTTGTCGATTAGGGGTTTAGATTAAGAAACAAGAAGATGACATTTAGTGCTTGTGTTGGCTTTGCTTTGACACTCACGGCCGGCTTTCTGCACTGTACAAAGAACTATGCACGCATAGGAGGTTTTTATTTGACAATCTTATGCTGTGGTGGGTTGTTATTTGCTGGGTTTATAGTGGTGCTTTGTTTTGTTTAGGGTTCACTGGTCGCGTCTGTGTTTTTTTTTCCTCTTTTGTTTAGTGTAGTGTTTCATTCTGTCTTCTGACTTGCAGCATGCTTCTCAATCTATGTGCTGCCCAACGGACTATGTTTCCTTTGCCAGTGTCAGTCTGCGGTGGTGTGCTCTCTAAAGGGTGTTCTTCGTTCGGGTTCTTATTTTTTGTTTTGTTTCTCCCGCTGTCTTGCCCCTTTGCAGATTTCCTCTTCTGAGTTGGTGTGCTTCCATGGGTTTCCTCTCTGTTTTCGTCTCCGTGATTTTCTTGGTGTGCTCTGTTGTGTCTCTGACCTTTTGTGCTGCGACGGATCCAGGAATTTTTCAACGGAGGTGCAATTCTTAAAAGCTAAAAGCTCCACAAAAAAATAAAAAATAAAAAATATGCATCTGACTTACTTTGTATTAGCATACTCAAGAAGAAAAAAGAACACAGGACTCTTGTGATGCACACACACTTTGAGTGATGTTAAATTGGTTTTTTATAAAGAGAATTTTCAATCCCACTTAAATAAGGAATTTCCAAAACCCAATTGAATAAGAGAAGTTTCAATTAAAACCTATGTAGGAATTATATAAGCCCCTTAGAATAGAAGCCCACGAATGCCCAGCAGTTTCTCCTTTTTTTATCTTTATTTTTTTAAAACCCTTATTTAAATTGGCTTATCCATGACCATGAACAAATGGCCCACGAATAGCCAGGTTTGTTTTCTTTAAACCCTTATCCACGAATGGCTAGGTTTTATTTTTTTTAAAGCAGCGCCTGGTCCAAAACGACGTCGTTTTGGCCAGGCAGTAAAAAAAAAAAAAAAAAAAAAAAGAAAAAAAGTCGCGCTGCACACAGCGCGCAGCAGCACAGCAGCCCTTCATTTGCACATTTCATCGAACACCTTCCGTGCATGAGCAGAGGTGCAACTTCAGCAGCTTCTATGGAGTTTTCCGACGACCGGAGGTGCGCCTGCACAGGTCCGCCACTACTTTGGTGTGCTCTGTAGTTCTTCTGCTGTACAATGAATGGACTATGAGTTCTTATAGAAGGCTTATTTTGACAGTTGGGATGCGTTGCAGTTCTCTCATGTGGGTCTACTCTATTGGTGCCTAGTATGGTTTTTTCTTACCGTTTTGGTTCTTGTAGCGGTCCAATATGGCATGGGTCGGACTCTCTTGTTAGTCCTTGACATGTGTGATACTCTTTCTTTGTATGGAGTTTGCCCATGTGATTTTTCCTAGGAAGATTTTAACGAGGCCATTGTATTTGTGTCGTTATTTGTATACCTTTTTTGGGTTATAAATTGATATATATTTTTGGTTACAATTGAATTCTTCTTCTTTTAAAAAAAAAATTCCCCTCTTAAAATGAAGGTTTCGCCAAAAAGTATAAGATCAACTCTTCAATGCCTACAAGGCCATAAACCAATGTGCATAACTAGAGAATAGATTGAACAGAAAGAAAAAGGGATGTGTTTAAATTAATAGATATATTCTTTTTTTTATTTTATAGATTTGTTTGTATTAATTATTTACTATGTTTATGTTTGTGTAATAAAATTATTAGATATGGCTTTTTTTGTTTTATAGAATGAAGGGAATTGTTTTTTTATGCTTTGCCAACATAACATACTAGAGTGTAAGAGTGTCCCGTGTCATATGAATTTATGAGTTCCACTCCCATATGTGTGACTTGTAAGACACAATATGTGAGACTATTGTCCATTTTAGTAAGTTCAGCCCCATCACATCAAACAATGGCCAAGACTTTTGACCATTTCTATGAGACACTATCTACCTAACAAAACAATCACATTTATTGTGTGTGTGAGAGAGAGAAATCCCCTTCATGTAGTTTAGACTATTATTTATACTAAAAAAAAAACCAATCACATTTATTTCACAACCTCAAAAAATGGATATTGAATGCCATTCATCTATTTTTCTCATCAAATGCCTACAAAGGGCGTGTGAGATAGAAAAGTTCTTTTAAGTCTGATTTTTCATTCATTTAAAGAGTCTACCCATTAAAAAAAAAATTACGAAGAGTTTCTTAAAGTTAGATAATTAGATTTTTCATTATCTGTTTTAATGTATGTGTGGCATAGAAATGCAATATTTTCTGCTGGATCAAAGAGATATTAGAGGAAACTAAAACGATTAAACTATCAACTTTAACTAGCATATTTGAGATAAAGCAAGATAATAAGAATAACGTGCGAGTTCAACTGCCTTTTCATCGGGTTTGTCAAGATAGTTTTGTAATATTTGCTTGGATGGTAAAGGTGGAAGAGATTTCAATCAACGTATAATAATTCAAATAGCCTTGATGACCTCGCATGTGTCGGCCCCCCTCTGCGAAGGTTTTCTTGCTTGGTGCTTTACTTTCCATGGCTTCCTTCAAATTCTCCAACAGTACCGTTCTCTTCTTTGGTATTGGTAGCTTCGTTTTACTTTAGCTCCTCCCTAACGTTCTGGCCCATCATATTTTTCTCTTTTTGTTTTAATGGGTTTGTTGTATATCTTTTCAATTCCAATGAGTTTTAGGGCAAATATTAGGACTGAATTTATCATTATAAATTGGATGTGATAATTCATAGTCAAAGATTATTATATGTTATGATATGCATTCAATGAAGCTATTTCATAAACAAGTTGAATATGTAATGATAATACTTAAGTGTTTGTTTATTAACAAAAAAAAAGTTTAGTACTTTGGGGCATAGTTGTTGTGATCTCATAAGACAAATTTGAAATTGTCAGCTTATCCACGTTTACAAGAAAACAAATTGTGTTGCGGATTATTTGGCAAATTGAAGCTAAAATCTAGACCTGGGAATTTGGTTCTTTGATGAGGCTCCTGATGGGTTAGCTCTCTGTTAGTGGATATTTTTCCTCAATATTTGACAAGATATTATTTTCATTTATTTTATTTTATTTTATAACTTAAATGCAAAGAAGTAAGTTTATTACCCTGACTAATTGACCTAACCCATCTGCCATTTATTTTTTCAATGTGAAGTGCTCAGCAAATTGGAGAAATCAGTTTTTGAATGTGGTTGGGCTGGAACTAGCCTTTCCATGTAAGGTGTGTAAATTGGAAACTATATGACTAATTCTATAACAAGTGTCGCCAAAAAAACAATGAAGGGTTAAAGTTCAGCCAAAGAAAAACAAGTGGCTGTTATGCCTGATACTTAATTGAGGTCCTGCCAGCCAAGCTACATTGGCAGACAACGAAAGGAAAATTTAAAGGACCAAAAGGTGTACATGTGTGCAGGTGTACACGTGGTGGCCTGCCCTGGATGGAACATTAAATGTTGTTTTTCCTTTTGGAACTGACCTCATTAATATACATTACTATGGCTGAAATTGTCCAGCTCCACCTGTGGCTGAAATTTCATATTATTTACTTACGAAAAACCAAAGGAGGAAATTTCATATTATTATGTAAATCCAACAGTGAATTAATTGTTGAGTGCACTGAATCTACTGTGGTTTCAACTAATACAACTGATGCTGTGTTAACAACATGACAAAGAAAAGAAGCAAGGGGTATAGCCCGATGAAAAAGGATTTTAACTTGCAGATAGTCTCATGTTCGAACCTCTTATTCATTTTGTAATTTAATCTATCGCTTGTATTAATAAAAATGACAAAGAAAGAAAAAAAGGAAATTTCATGTTAGTATGTAAATCCAACAGTGAATTAAGTTTTGAGTGCACTGAATCTACGGTGGTTTTCACCTAATACAAGTTACAACTAATGATTTGTTAGCAACATGACAAAGAGATTAATGCTTGAGAGAGAGAGAGCTCTAGTATATAAAGATGGCACCACGTTCTGTTCAGACTATATTGAAAAGGGTTAAGAGAAGACAAAAATGATGAAGGCTGTGAGTTTTCTGCTTCATTTTGCCTTCCTCTTCACCTTAACACAAGGCAGATCAATCATCCCACAGCCCCAACCTCTCAGATCCTTCAAGCTCAGCAATAACCAGGTATGATCAATTCATTTGGAAGCAATTCTTGATAAATAGATTTATATACAGAGACTTAAATTGTAGTATTGTACTGCGTGTAGAAAAACAGAAAAAAGAAGCAGAAATTTCTGCCCTGGGATTTTGCTGAAAAGACAAGATCCTTTGAAAGATCAAGTACCTAGGTGAAAAAAATTGATTCAAATCATTGATTTGTTTGCAAGTGGTGAATGTTATTGAACCAGAGAAAGAGGGCAATATATTGATTCTATATGAGAATTTAACTGTTATGGCCTCTCACAGTATGCAGGGAGCTGTTCCTACACAGTATCAATAAAGACTAGCTGTTCTTCACCCAGATACACACGAGATCAGATCAGTATTGCATTTGGTGATGCTTATGGCAATCAGGTACTTCAATTAGACATTGAAAAATTCATGTTCGGATATGTATTGTCCGGATTAACAGTCTAACAACGTAACATGGACAGTATATAATTCTACGTGCCAGCGTGATCACATTAGTGCAGCAATTACAACTAATATAATCCACAAAAGAAGATTATATATATTTCTGCATTATGGGTAATTAGTCATTTATCAATGTTATTTATGTCTCGGATGATGATCAGGTGTATGCACCCAGAATAGACGATCCATCTTCGAGGGCATTCGAGAGTTGCTCCACGGATACATTTCAGATTTCTGGGCCATGTGCGTACCAGATCTGTTATGTGTATCTCTATAGGAATGGATACGATGGGTGGAAAACACAGACAGTGACAATCTATGGTCATTACACCAAATCCGTCACATTTTATTACAACTCTTTTATTCCCAATGGAATTTGGTATGGGTTTAATCATTGTAATGGTGGTGCTTCAGCAGCGTTATCCACTTCAAGCATGTAGCCAGATGAGATAGGAGTGCAGCAGGACTCTTTGTTTTCAGGTCATTATTTTGGCTCTGGTTTGTAATGGTTTTGGTGCTTTGGCATTATCTGTTTGCCATCAGATTTTGCTTGTTATGGTTATTGGGGGTATGTAGAAAACAACCCAATGAATAAACTCTTTATTGATTTATTTTTGTTTTTTGATTTGGACAAGAGAAGATTCGAGCACATGACCTCAGGTGCGGTGCTTCTGAATTAAAGCGATTTACCCTCTTTTTCAGTTCAATAATAATTGGGCCTAACATTAGCGAAATCGACCATGGGCTCAAAATATAGCCTAAGCCTGCCGCTATTGAAAGCTTGGAGTGGGGAAGAATTTGGAGCCCACAATATTCACATCACCGCCTATAGTGGAAACATGTTGATGATAATATGTTTGACATTCAAAGAATGAGGCCTCCCATGTCTGTAAGTTGCACCCCACATGTGACATATCATATGTGGTCTATGGAGGAGGTGACCCCAGAGGAGAAAATTTCCTTTATAGACGTGTGGCTATGCAAATTAATCTTCTGTGTGTCTTGTCTTCTATCAAATTATTCTCAAAGTCCTGGCTTTTGGGATACAAATAGCCGAGAACTGAATCTAGGGCTGGGCAACTTAACCCGAAAACTGGCCAAATCGGGCGAACTTTTTCGGTTCGGTTTGGTCCGGTTTTTTTCTTCTACATATTTGAATTTTCGGTTGCACTGCACCCCTCTTATCCTCGCGCTACCCTTCTGACATGATTTTGAGTTTGAAATATCCATTCCTCGCAGTGACCATTACGTCCTTCAAAAATATCTCTAAATTCGCAACTAGGAGGGTACTTTCGTCCATTCATTAACGTCACGCTCCCTATATCTTCTCCCCTACCTTCGAATCCCAAGTCCACTCTTCCTCTCCTCCCGAACCCTAGATCCAGGGTTTATATCCATTCTCTCCGTTCTTCTCTCCCAAACATTTTCAATTTTCAATTTTTGTTATTATTGTTTTTGAATTTTCTCAGAGGCTTCGACACTCGTAGATCATTACTCTGAATCTCTCTTGCTCAGTGGAAGCTCAAAGGTATGCAATTTAAACTGTATCAAAGCAGTTCAACTAATTCTTAAAGCTTCTGATTCACAATTCTTAGAAACACCCTAACGCTCGAGCTCAAATTTTGTTGTGGTTCTATAGCATGGGTGAAATCAGAGACAACGATGGTTACGAAGAGGAGCTGGTCGATTATGAAGAGGAAGACCAAAATGCCCCCAACTCCGTCTCCGCCAAGCCCTCTGGTGATACTGTTAAAAAGTTAGTGTCTTGAACTTTTTCTTAATTTCGCATCTTCCATTTTACTATCACCAGTCAGTTGGGCTGTTTGCTTGTGTACGTATAGATATAAAAAAGTACTTTTTAATGTTGATTTTGGTTGGTTTGTGGTTCTGCTATTTGTACTGTTTTGTACTTTGCTTGGTCACTGTGAAAACTGAGGAAAAAAGTGGAGAAAGTAATTGTGGATTTGATTTGTTCGCTTCTTCAGAATGTTTTCATTTTTGGAATATAAGTTTACCCAAAAAAACAAGAGATTTTGTCAAATTTGACTTAGATGTCTTTATGGACAGAGACAGACCCAAATTCTTATAATAAAATAGAACCTAACAAATTCAGTTTCGTGCTTCTACAGTGCTTAAGTTTTTAAAAGATATGCTCGACCAAATAAGGTTAAACATTGTGATAAAACCTCACTGTAGTTTTTATTAAGTCCATCTTCTCACAAAAGAAAGGTGTTCCCGGTTAAGCTCCTCTTGGCATCACTGTGGTTATTGTGCGTAAAACTCTGGGGTTCAGTATTGTGATTTGATGGAATTGCATTTTTCATATTTTCTTATTGGAGGGTAATGCTTTCATGTGTATATTGCCTCTTCCTCTGTATGCTGTGATTCAACTACATCAAATTTGTTATGAGTTTTTGTTGATACATCTTGCTAATCTTCTACGCATTTCATATTTTCAGATTACATGAGGTTTTATTTGTTATGGATCCCTCAAATTTATTTATTTATTCTAAACTCCTATGTAATATGGTGCAGGGGCTATGTTGGCATCCACAGTTCAGGATTCAGAGACTTCCTGTTGAAACCAGAGCTTCTTCGAGCGATTGTGGATTCTGGATTCGAACATCCTTCAGAAGGCAAAGTTCCTCTCATTGTTATAATTATATATCTGTGTCAAGAGTCTGCTGGACTTCTGATTCTGTGGTCGGAAGAATTATGTTGCATAATTATGTGGCGTTGCATCTCATTTCTGCATTCCTGGTTACAAGTAGATGAATGAGTTCTTTTCATATATTTTTAGCTGTCGTAGTATTTCTATGCTATGCCACTTGGGTATTATCAATTCTTTGGATGGGTCTCTGAATTCTGAATTTCAATGCAGTATGTGTCTAGTATCTATACGTTGTCCATCTTTAAAGTTCTCGAGTGCAGGATTTCATTGGTCCGTTGTTTCATATCTGTTGGCTGTACCACATGAATTACTAACATAAATGTGTAATTTACATCTATAATGAATTATAGATGGTAAACGTTCTCTCATCAATTGATTTCTTTTACATGGAATGTGAGAATGGCAAGATTGTCCTTAATTGTTTAATCATCGTTTGTGGTTGACTATTTCTGAGTTTTCTATTTTTTCTATGTCCAGGTAATCACTAATTCCATATTCATGATTTCGGCAAGAAAACTGGTTTGGTAAACCTTTCCATTAAAAGGATCTGGAAGGTCATTTATACTTACTGAGGTTTCGTCCGGTACAATTTTGTTTGCTTCATCAGTTCAACATGAGTGCATCCCTCAAGCTATATTAGGAATGGATGTTATCTGTCAAGCAAAATCTGGGATGGGAAAGACCGCTGTCTTTGTTCTATCAACCCTTCAGCAAATAGATCCGGTTGCTGGTCAGGTTGCTGCTCTTATTCTTTGCCACACAAGAGAACTGGCTTACCAGGTATGCTCAATGAATTCATTATCAGTGTAGAGAACTCCGATTTCTAACTATTAAAATTCTGATATATGCATTATGTATGCATATATGTGTTGATGCACAAATGCATTTTGGATATGAAGCTGGTGCTGTTTTGGCCATACGATTCTATGTTGAGGTTCTGTTTAATGAAGCTACTATTATTATTTTTTGCTACAGATTTGTCATGAATTTGAGAGATTCAGTACCTATTTGCCGGACCTAAAGGTTGCAGTCTTCTATGGAGGTGTCAGTATCAAGGTTCACAAAGACTTGCTGAAAAATGAATGTCCTCACATTGTTGTTGGAACACCTGGGAGAATATTAGCTTTGGCAAGAGATAAAGAGCTTGGACTAAAGAATGTCAGACATTTTATTCTTGATGAATGTGATAAGATGCTTGAGTCACTTGGTAATTTTTTAAGATTAATCTTGTTAAAGGGGACTTCACCAGTATTTTTCTGTAATGAAAATTATTTTATGTTAAGTTTTATTTAATTTTCCGGTTCTTCCAATTTTTTCAGATATGAGGAGAGATGTGCAGGAGATCTTTAAGTTGACTCCTCATGACAAGCAAGTGATGATGTTTTCAGCAACACTAAGCAAAGAAATCCGCCCTGTTTGCAAGAAATTTATGCAAGATGTAATATTTGCTTAAACCTTAACATGAACTTACAAATAATCAGCTTCTTATGATTGTAGATTGTTTAAACCCTAATTTTATTTTATTTTGAAATTTGTATCAATATTTATAAAATTTGATCTATGGTGATGTTTGGTCTGGTTTGTTCAACTTTTTTGTGTGTGCTTATTATGGAGTATTGGAGGTGCAAGATTTGTGTTTTAATTCAATTTGTGATCATATTTGTTTGTTGCAGCCCATGGAAATTTATGTAGATGATGAGGCCAAATTGACACTTCATGGTCTCGTACAGGTATTTATGTAATGTGATTGATGAGCTTTTGTGTTGTTGGTTAACTGTGTCTTCCTTGCTCACCCTCATGCTCTCTCTCTCTGTGCAGCACTACATCAAATTGAGCGAACCTGAGAAAAACCGCAAGTTGACTGATCTTCTTGATGCATTGGATTTCAACCAAGTTGTTATTTTTGTAAAAAGTGTAAGCAGAGCAGCTGAGCTGAACAAATTACTTGCTGATTGTAACTTCCCATCTATCTGCATTCACTCTGGAATGCCTCAGGAAGAAAGGTGTGCATTTCATCCCCTTGAAATACAATAAATGAGAGAAAGCACCAATTTATTCTTTGCATATAGTATTGATAATGTATTCTGACAGTTGTTACCCTTCATTGTGCTTGCTTGTGTCCTGTGAGAATTTCATCAATTTTTGTTTTCAATATTGTTTTATATTGGTTTATGTTTGCTTTAGTGGAGTATTATGAGTGTTGCATTGATTTGGGTTGGTATCTTATGTTACATTTCGGGTGGGAGTAAGGTGTTTGTGTTTGCTTCCTGATTTCCCATTGTCTGATAAGCTAAGTGTACTACAATGTGAACTGTCAGATTTTATCCTCCTAATTGATGCAGATTTGATTTGTTAGCCTGAAGCAGGTTTATTTGTGCAGTTTATAATTTATTAGGCCTGGGCTATTTTTTTCTGTGTTTTTGAAAATACTAGGGTTGCTGCGAATGCAATATGATTTATAAATATAGATATGTTGATTATTTTTTAATCTATTTTTTCTATAGTGATCTGATGTTTCTGTAGTATTTACAATAACTAGTGGGAAATGGAGTTTTAGATATGGTTGAAGTTATTATAAGAGCGTGAGTTCTTGTAATAGAGTTAAGTTCATGTTAACATGCGTATAATAAATTTGATATCATATTCTAGTTCTTTAGAACTCCAATTGTAGTTTATAGTTAAAAAAACACTCATTAATGTCCTGCATTTACTTTCTGTCACCTACAACTACCAAGAATGGATCAGTCAGGAACTTTATTTTCAAAGATGTTGCAATGATCAACTCTCTTCAAATAACAGCCTTGTCCGGCTGACATCAATACTTAATCAATCTCCATCCAATTCTGAACTCACCTGCCTATTAGGATCCATCTTTGTTTACAGTGATTATCTGAGAAATTTCTGCAAGATGCATTTGGCTCCCAAGGATGTTATCTGTCAATGAAAAGCACATGAATGAAAAAAAATGGAACGGTTTAGAAAATACACTTGGAGCACCTCATCTTTTTGGCATTTCTCCAGTATGAGGTTGTTGCATATGGGCAGTTTAGCACTCAGCAATGCCAATGTGCAGATGATCCTTGTTTGGAACAAGAGTGGGTAGCTGGTTTTAGAAATTCAAAATGGAAAGAAAATGGCCATTGTTTTCTGCCTTTTTGCTGACAATTATCTCACTAAAGGTAGGTTGTCTGGTTTCATTGGTTTGCCTTTACTACTAAACTCGGGGAAGAATGGACTAACTATAGCATAGCAGCTGAAGTCCCTCAATCTAGATGATTCCTTTTTTGTCTTCTGTGAGAAGTCTTATTCATATTACCTAGGTTATCTAGCCCTCAAGTGACTCTTTGTTTCTTCTTCTTCTCTTCTTGACTTGCGAGTTATTTAGCCTCTTATTTTACACTCTGTATGATCTTGCTTTTCCGCATTTTAATGTCAGGAATGCATAGTATCAACTGATTTGGCATGGTTTTCCATTTGCAGGTTGAAACGTTACAAGAATTTCAAGGAGGGGCTTTCAAGGATTCTTGTGGCAACAGATTTAGTAGGAAGGGGAATTGATATCGAGCGTGTTAACATTGTTATTAATTATGACATGCCAGATTCTGCCGATACCTACTTACACAGGGTATTTGTTTTTCTTTTAACAATTTTGTTACTTGTCTTTGTGCATGGGTGAAGGTCGTCTCCCTAATCTCTAGCTGACTCCAGTGTTTCTTGTTTCTGTGCTTTGTTTCCTTCTTTCATAGGTTGGCAGAGCTGGTAGGTTTGGTACCAAGGGACTGGCAATTACATTTGTCTCTTCTGCATCAGACTCTGATGTTCTTAATCAGGTAATATATATATATATATATATATATTTCAGTACAAGCATTTCTTCTGCTTTTGCTATACCCTTTTCTTAAACCAAATTTCTTGTTTCAGGTCCAGTCAAGGTTTGAGGTGGACATAAAGGAGCTTCCGGAGCAAATTGATACTTCTACATACAGTAAGATAGCTTTTTTCACAAAATGTTAATATTTGCAGTATGGTAGTTTTAGAAACTAAATTGGAGAAGCTGGTTAGATAAACACTAGTCAACATGAAGAAGTACCATCTAATGATACCTGTTCATTCAATCAGTGGAGATGTATTTCTCTCTTAATTGATTCTTCAATCACGAAGAAGTCTTGTGGTTATCTTGCCTACTGCTAGAAGATGCATTTTATGTTTTTCGGAACTGCGTTTCCTTTTCTGGTTTGGTTGGTTTGCGCGCTTTGGTGGTTAAGATTGCATAGGGGTTATCTTTGCAACTCAGGATACAGTACAAATACTTATAGATGTTTCTGATTTATGCAGTGCAAGTATGATAGTTTTTTGAAGTGAACGACGAGCCTTGCAATTCAAAGGATGGTGGACTCTGGATCTGATCAGCCTCTAGTTTTTAGTTAATAGCATTTCTTTTGAATGTAGAATACTATCATGACAGAAGAGGATTAGAGTGCTTGTGATGATGTTTTTTTATATCCCCATTTAAGTCCAACTTTAGATTGATAGCGAGCAGAGAATTTGTAAGACTTAAGCCTTCAGCTGAATTTTGCTTATGATGGCAGTTTTAACGTCAGATTTCTATTCTCCCAAATTTCCCTTTATTAATCGCCTGTGTTTTTATTTTAGATATTAAAAAGAATTGGGTATTGGTTCATGTTTCGCCATCTTCACATCCCTATGGAATGATATATTATTATTATTTTTCAAGGACCTTTCTTATTGAGAGTGGTGATAACATACGAAATTTACACATACTATACGGTTATGGATGAGGAAGTAATCGTATGATATTGTAGTATGGCTCTTTTTATGGCATACGTGTGCATGATTTTGGTTAACAAAACTACAACACCGGGACCAAATAATTTTTTGTTTTTTTATAGTGTGAATTTTATTACACTGAAATGGAGGAAAATACAACTATCTCCAGTCCACATTTTTAAACAGAAGATTTTTACCGACATATTATACAATTCGTTAAAGAAAAAGTACATACATAACATAGCCCTCAAAATTCAAATGAGTTTGAGCAGCTAATCAACAACTTATTGCATATCAACAACTGCAAGCTATACTGAAGACGATTGCAGACTTACGTACGCGTGTGTATAGAGAAGATGAAGGCTTGGCTGGTCTAGGTCTCTCCTGTGATACTGTTGTTAGGGCCATACCTTATAGGACTTCGAGGCTTAGGTATTCTCGGAGTTTGAGGAGGCTTAGGTTTTCCAGGAGTTTTCTTTTTAGGATGCCTTCTTGCAGCCTGAACAAGAAGTTCGGGAATTTCTGCAAAATCAGCACCATGTGGAAGGGAAGAGCCAAGCTCAGAGGGAATGTGAGATTCAGGGACCAGAGAAGAAGGAACCTCTTCCGCACAGGCTTGCACTACAGCTAGGGCTACCACAAGTAAAATTATCAATGCCATTTTGATAAGCCTTAAATTTATGTGCCAACCTAATACACACACATATATGTGTGTGTGTGTGCGGGCGCGTGCTTGCCGAATATAATACTTATGAAATAGGTTATTGTTTCCCATGTCCTTCATGCATCAATTGCAGATGATCAATTGGATGTGTGCTAATATATTTATCAGATAATAGGATATATTATGTTGGGTAGGCGTATAAAATATATTTGTTATAATTTGGAAGAGGGAGGTTATTTTATTTATTTTCATATCCTTTCCAACTAACTTCGATTTCGAGTGACTTTTCTTCATGCCTTCCGTCACACCTCTTGCCTAAGGTTAAAATACGATTGCATTGCATATCTCTTAGAAGGTTAAAAGTTGTTTATGATTAGGAAATATGTTAACCTTCCGCTCATGATTAAGCCGATTTTTTTACTTGTTTTGATACAAACGATATTTGGGGAGGAATGAAATGAATCGAACCTAAAACCTCAAGTGCATGACAGTGCTTTAAACTACTTAAGCTACAAATCCCTTGCACTGACTTTTTATTTTATTTATTTTGAATTATGTCTGACACTCATCAACGAATGCATAACGGGCTAGCCTATGAGCTAGTCAGTCTTTAAGGTGATTTTGTTATAGCCTAGCCACTCCTCTAGATCTTTCTGACAAATTAATATATTTAGTAATTACTTATAGTTCATAAGTTTGTTTTGTTTCTGAATAAAAAAGAAGAAGGAAGTGAAACATTCCATATCGCGAGGAGAGGAAATATAAGTAATTACTTTTGTAGCAAATTATATATTGTTTGCTACTTCTATACAAATGGTTTTCCGGAGGAAGTGACGATATTTGATTTTCTGGCTTTCAGTCTTGCACTTCAATTTAATCTTAATTAGTGTTTTTTCGTTCAGATTACAAAAGAACACTTGGCCAAACAAATGGTTTGTCATTAGTAATATATAAACAAGAAAAGAGAGAAGAAATAAAAAGAAAAGAGAAAGGAGAAAGAAGAAAGAAATGACAAAGAAGAAAAATGAGAGAGAAGACAAAAATGACAAAGAAGAAACATAAAGAAAAGAAGAAACAAAAAGGAGAAAAGAGAGAGTGGAAGGAACGAGGAACCCATTTTTAAGAGGAAGGAAGGAAAACAATGTTTCAAAGTTTTGATTGTGCTTAATGGATCAGTGGGCTAACGTGTGGAGAGTCTTGGGCTGATTTCTAACCTAGCCACCACCCCTGGTTCCGCCCTTGAGTACCACCCATACTTTCGACTAACAAAAGAGGCAACTTTACACAAACAAATCCCTCACACCAACAATAACAAAATTAAAATCATCATCCCAAATCGGGTACCATCGCCAACGCCGCTCACAAAATGACAAAAAAGGCCTCCTATGATGAAGCAAATGGGACTATTGAAATTCAGTATCATAGTTCTTTGCAAACTGATTGTTACATGTGCATTAAACTCCAGACCATATATAGATTGAGAACCACAACTCTAAGGCCAACTTCAACCCTGCTGAGAAGGCAAGCACACATTGCAGTTAAAAGTGTGTGCTAAACTATTCTCATAAATAAAATTTTATTTTAGAAAGGAAATCCTTTAGAATATGGTAACAATAGAAAAACGACTCCCAAGTTCTCAGAGAGACCATTCACGGGACGTTTTGGGACAATTATGCAACTAATCGCTTGTGACATAACAACTGTACAATTGGAAGTCTATAGAGAGACCAATCACGGGACGTTTTGTGACGATGATCAAGAATATCTAGCGTGCAGAGGCATATGCACATTGGGACAAGAGGGGTCGCATGACCCTTTGGAATGCCGGAAATTTTGCAGTGGACTCCATGAACAGCAGCGGAACAACTCCTTGTGTGCATACCAAGTGCTCGACGAAAGTCCTAGCCTATTTGCCTTGCTCTCCTGCATGCCATTTTTTTCAAAATGAGCCTGGCCAAACGACGTCGTTTGGTCCAAGGCTCAGTCAAATTTTTTTTTCATTGACATGGCCTCAAAATGACGTCGTTTTGGGCCAGATTTTTTTTTTTAAAAAAAGAAAGATAAACACTTACCCGACTCTCAGCACAGCACGTCCAAACAAGTAAAGCCGTGCGGCTATTTAAAAAATTATGAAATTTTTTAAAACCGGGTGTAGCCGTCCGGCTATACTATATATATAAAAGAGACCCGCATAGCCCCTAAGCGCCACGTGTTAAAAGAGTAAAGCCAAGCGTCTATATTATTTTCCAAAAAAAATAGGGAAAAATGCGTATAGCCGTGCGGCTATACTATTTTAAATTTTTTTTTAAAAATGGGTATATAGCCGCACGGCTGTACTATTTTGGCACATTACAACTTAAAAGTTCAGTAACTATATTATATTTTAATATAAATTTTTAAATATATATATTGTCCAATATAGATCTTTATATTTTCTATTTCCTAGACATATACCCATCACCCCATTTCTTTCGGTTGTCATTCCCTCTCACATATTGGCCCTTAAAATTAAACCAAACCAAAAAAAAAAAAAAAAAAAAAAAAATATACATATCCAATTAATGTACCTATGAAAAATATAAATATAAATATATTATTTAAATAAAATATAGGTATATTATTTACATAAAAAAAAAAAAAAAAAAAAAAAAAAAAATAAGTTACTTTGTAATTGAAATCTCTGTACATTTTTCATAAATTAAAAATAGGTACACAATAATTTATAGACAATATAGGTACATTATTTACTCGTAAGGTAAATTATTTTACAATATACCTATAAATGTGTATAGGTACATTATTTGGAGAGGAAAAATAGGTTCATTAAAAAAAAAAATTGGTACATTGTTTTACTAGGTACATTATTAGAGAAAAAAATAGGTACATTATTTGGAGAGAGAAAATAGGTTCATTAAAATATATATATATATATATATATTTCATAAAACAAACAATAAAAAAATGGTCAAATTGTTTTTCATAAAACAAATAATAGGTACTTTATTCAGGGAAAAAAGGGTACATTATTTAAAGAAAAAAAATAGGTACATTATTTAGAGAAAAAATAGGTTCATTTAAAAAAATAGTTTTCATAAAACAAACAATAAATAGATTATCAAGGGATCAAATTGAAAATTGGAGCGCACGCTCTTTTCCTCAGGAAATCATACAAGAGATCCTAATTAGTCTGATCAAATGTACTTCAGTCTGCTAGACATGGAGGTCCATGATCATAAACCGCAGCTTTATTCACCCCAATCTCAGCCCAACAGTGGACTTTGCTAACCAGAATGACATTGGCCTCCTACTCCACAGAATTTTTGGTAGCTGTAGCCTCACGTACTACCAAAACAAGGTCATTCACAAGGTAAAAGACGAGGTTCACTCTGTGCATCATGATAACCAGGCATTTGATGTGTACTCCAAGATTGAATTTCCAATTGCCGCAAAGAAAAACTTTGGGAATTCACATATTAATGTGTGGTTGGCACTTGTGATGTGCTAATTTGCCTTGCGGATAATATCGCCTCTTATGCTAATATGCTTACAACTTCTTTATATGGAACCCAACCATTAGAAAGTTGGTGACCCTTCCGAGGCCTGGTATTACCTTTCGGTCGCATGGTAAGAACAATGCTTCTTTTGGGATTGGTTTTGATGCTAGGACCAATGACTATAACGTTGTGCAACTTGTGACTTTATTGGAGGAAGATGAGCAGCCAACTCTAGCTGAGGTTTATTCCCTAGCCACGGGCACATGGTGCAATCTTGGTTGTGTTTCTCCTGCATCTCTAATAACAAAAACCGAAGCGGACGAAGAAGAAGCTTTAACAGAACCATCAAAGTTCATCTTGAGAAATGGGGGCTTGGGCGGAAGCCAGATTGGAGTAGTTTGGCCACGAGATCTCCCCGAATTAGTAGTTGATACAGAAGAAGTACTATGCCAGAAGAACTCAACACAAGCGCGAGCAACAACTGTCAAAATTTTTCTGGATGAGTGCATATACGTCAAAGATACAATGAGTTATGGACTCCCAAATTTGCCAACAAAAAGTAAGATTTTGGTCAAAGCTAGAGAAACTGTGATATGAGCATTGTAATTAGTTAAACAATTCATTAAGAAATCCTGAAAAGAACCTCCATAGCACGCTTTCATTATTAGAGAGGGCAATGCATGAAAAGTACGAATGAAATACATAATGCCCTAAACCCAATATGTATGTGTTTTATTAGGCAAAATTTGTAAAAAGTAAAAATGAAAAGTTTGGCAAAATATACAAGCTACAGAAAAATGAGGGGTCAAAATAGAAATAAGACTCCATTATGGCGATAAAAAGAAATTTCCGCATAAAATTGTTCACCGGAAAGCTTTTCCAATTCGTAAACCACCGGATCAACCAGAGATAAACCTTATTCAAGCTTTTTAATCAGGGACGGAGATTTAAATAGAGAAGAGAGATGCATTAGGGTTTCAGCCGATGCATTTCTTCTTCCACACTATTATGTACGGAAATGAATGTCCTAGAGGCTAGAAAGGGTTCTACTCCTTTCTTCTTCACTATTCTTCTCTAACGTCAGCTCCATTTCTTCGGCTATATGCTCATCAGGACCAAAAATTGTTAGTTCCTAAAGTTTCTCTTTCCTTTTTCTGTCAATTTCGAAAAATCGGCGCCTAGGAGCTAGGCGGCCGCCTAGGCGGTGCCTGGGCGGGTCGGATATTTTAAAAAAATAAAATGATGGGCTTGGCTTTAGTGTTAGTTTTTTTTTTATTCCCTGATGAGTTTGGAGTTTTGATTGATAGAGTAGAGATTGGGTTTGATTAGAAAATTATGCTCTCAAGGATTGTTCCCTAAAGTCAACTCAGCTCTCATGGAAACTCAATTTGTAGTGCTGTAACGTCGTTTGCCTGAAGTGCCTGATGCTTGATGTGCAGTCACTCCCGGTTCTTGTTATCTAACATGTTGATTTTGTTGCTCATCTGTAGGGCAGTAGCGTCCTATGCCTGAAGTGCCTGATGTTTCGTTGTATTTACTTGGCATGGAACTTGTTATTTGTAGCGCTGATATGTTTTTTTGTACTAGTTCTTGCACTATTTAGTCATCACCTTTTGAAAAACTTTCTATGGAAGTATCTAGTTACAACTTTCATTTGGCTTCGCAGTACGGAACTCTGCACCATTTGCTATTAACTCAACCCCCATTCAACATTCTTCTCAGTAATGAACACAGATTCTCCTTCAGTTGCCAAAACCTCCTCCTCGACAACCACCACCACCATCACCATGAGTAGCATGATCACTAGCTGTTGTGGCCAAAGCAACACCAGCTCCTGCCTTCTCAGTTGGTATAACTATTTGACTATGCAAGACATGGATAACATACAAGATATCACACAAAGGATACACGAATTCAAATTTGAAGCTTTTCCTTAGGAAATCATAAAAGACATCCTATGTTACTATGTAGGCTACCCGTTAAATCTTTGATCCATTGCACTTTAGTGTGCAAGACATGGATGTCAATGATCATGAACCAAAGCTTTATCCGCCACCACTTCAACCTAACAGTCGATTTTGCTAACCAAAATGACATTGACCTCCTCCTACTCCACCAAATTTTTGGTGAAGGCAGCACCTACCACCCCAACACGTACATTTGCGAGGTAAACGACGAGGTTCACTCTGTGCATTATGATAACCAGGCTTTTGATGTCTACTCCAAGATAGAATTTCCAATTGCTCCAAACCAAAAACTGCTCAATCCACATCTCCGTATGGTTGGGCCCTTTTAAAAAAAAATCTAAAAACTGGAGGCTATACTATTTATATATATATATATATATATATATTAAAAAAAGAGACCCGAGCAGCTCCTAGGCGCCACGTGTCAAAAGAGTAAAGCCAAGTGCCTATACTATTTTTCCAAAAAAAAAGAAAGGAAAAAACCGAGTGTAGCCGTCCGGCTATATTATTTTTATAAAAATAAACAAAAACCCGAGTATAGCCGTGCGGCTATACTATTTTGGCACATTACAACTTAAAAGTTCAGCCACTATATTATATTTTAATATAAAATTTTAAATATATATTATTTTTATTCAATAATGTGTGAGAATTTTGTGTATAATACTTGAATTGTGTGTCTTGTTGAAATTTTTGTAAAAAATACGTGTATATAAACACAAAAAATATATACGTATATATATAATACGAGTATTGTACGTTTGCTTTTCAAAGATTTGGGCCTTAGTTAGGGCTCTTGGGCTATGGAGAAATCTAATTAAAACACCCAAACAAAATAAATAATTTATTTTTTCGACGTCTATTGAACTTCAAGTACTTATTATTTATTAAGTCATTTGTGAAATCAGAAACATATTTAAATATTCATTAATGAAATAATAATTAAAACATAATTACTAATTAAACTATGGCCTTCTCTTAACCCAAATTGAGCCAGTAGATGAGCCACTTAGTTCCGTTTCCGCGGCTGTTAGATCACTTCCAACACCTCACAACTCACCAACAATCAGCGTACATCTTCCACAACGTTCCCTAAATTGGTTCACCACTCCCCCCGCTCCTGCAATATGGTCATAGCCTGCTGTGAATCAGAGGCAACAGTAAATCTAGAGAAACCAGCTGCTGACATCACCCTGAGACCCTCCCGAATTGCAGCCAGTTCAGTACCCAGAACCTCCAGCCCACACGGCTCATCTCCAGCAAAACTACAACGAAAGAACCCATTGTAATCACAAAAACAACCCCCCACACCTCTGGCTCGTCCACCCTTGCTAACAGCCCCATCACAGTTGAGGATAAAGGAATTTGCAGGTGGCTTGATCCAGCGAGCGTGACGGGGTACACGCACAACCACCGGCTTAGCATTAGGCTTTAAAATCAGCGTGCCACTCCAGTGCTTTCTCTACTCGCAGCTCCACAAGTTCCACGAGTTTCCCGTGCACAACTTCATTTCGTATATGCCATACATTCCGTAGACAGACAACAAATTGCTCCACCTCAACACAAGAAAAATTCTGAAAGTCAAGCTATAAACAATCGGCAAAACTGCCACCAGTAACCGAAAGCTTATGGAGAAAAGGAGAACATCGCCAAAACTTCCTACTTACATGACCATAGAGCATGCATCGTATCTTCACAAGAGAGGCCACAGCGCAAACAGCTGGGAGTCTGTAGCAGCTTCCTTAGAAATAAATTTTAGGCAGTTGGTAAAATATCGCAGCAAGCCTTCCACAGCATAATCTTGATCTTATTAGAAATATCCAAGCTCCATAACCGCTGCCAAAATACAGATCGGGTCCTAGGGTTGGAAACACCAACACCAGCACTACACGGATCCTCACATAACCGTAGGGCCACATGATAGCCTGATTTGACTGTATACTTCCCATTCTTGGTAAAAAAAACCAATACTGACCATCATCCAACTGAACCACTGATCCCAGAGTAATGGATTAAACCGCTTCACAATCCTCCCCATTCAAAGCTTGTTCGAGCATCGGTAAATCCCACCCTCCTGATGGCGTAATCAAGTCAGCCACCAATGCTTCCCCATTTAAACCTTTATTCAACAAAGGTCTGAAAGTGTTTGGTTTAGGTATCCACTTATCCTGGAACACCCGAATTGAAGCACCATTCCCCACTCTCCAAACGAGCCCCTCCTCAACAACTTCATGTCCCCAAAGAATGCCACACTAGGGATGGACAGGATCCCAACGTAGCATTTAGTAAATTGACATGAGGGAAATATCTAGCCTTCAATGTGCGAACCACCAGTGAACTAGGATTTTTCCATCAACCTCCAAGGCTACTTCGCCACCATTGCCTTATTAAAAGCCTCAAAATTCTTAAAACCCAACCCCCCCATACATTTAGGTTGATAGAGCTTACGCCAACAAAGCCAATGAATAACCTTCTCCCCGCTTTCCCCCACCAGTAATGTGCGATCATAGCTAAAATATCAGCGCGTAACTGAGTAGGCAATTGGAAAATGCCCATAGTATAAGTAGGTAAGGTCTGGCCCACGACCTTAATTAGAACTTCTTTACCCGCCGCAGATAATAACTTCCCATTCCAGGCATTGAGTTTCTTCCAAAGCATTTCACGAACATGGATAAACAACTTCGTCTTGTTTCTTCTAGTCATAGTCGGCAAGCTTAAGTACCGTTCATGGCAATCCACAATCCGTACTCCAAGCATAGCAGAGATCAATTGCTTCATAATCGGATCGATGTTCGGACTAAACGCAGCTGCCGATTTTTCAAAATTTATCCTCTGACCGGAAGCACGTTCATACAACCTCAATTGACTTATTCACTAATCCAAAAACAAAAACCCAAAAAGAAAAAAACAAAAAGAGGAGAGGGGAGGAGGTGCAGTAGCGCTTCTTCCTCCTCCCTCTCTATTGAATTAACTCAGAGAGACAATGGCTAGTTACTTTTAGTACTCAAACTAACTTTACCTCAACATATTATGTAGTGTCGTGCAAAGATTAGTTTTCGTTTTGATGAAAATGCAAAGATTAACTAATTACCTTCACCACCGAAATACAAAATTAAGATAACACCAAATGATAATTTTAGCTCCTGTAATTTGTTACGAGTTTCCCTTTTGTCATTGTAGATCCAATTTGGGCGATAGTAGCCAAGTACTTTCTAGATGTTGTAAGTTGAAGGACAACTTTAGAATTTTGTGTTTTTTCAGTTGTATGGACCAATTTTCCGTTACTACAAAATAGACGAAACTTCGAAAGAAAAAAGACTAGATGGGAGCCAAAAATTATCCTCGACTTTGATCATAGGCAAACGGTTATTTTTGGTCTTTGTAATTTATTGATTTTATGTCTTTGGTCTTCGTAGTTTCAATTTGTCAATTTAATCCTTATAGTTTTGAATCCGAGCAATTCTATTTTGTCAAATTATGTCAAGGGCTGATCCAACAGTTTCCCTGTGAATTTCTGTTGCCAAAATTGGCTAGTCGATTCCTATTAACAGCAATAGAAATTAGAATGGAGCATGTCATACTTTTCCTTTTCCTCACAGCTCGAAATCCAATCACAACAAATTTTCGGTGTTAATTACTATATCCGCAGCTTATGTCTAACTCAGGTACTGACGGCCTTAATTTCAAAATATAAAAATGTTGAATTTGAAAATGGAGAATAGTAATCATTAAGCGTATACGTTTATTAGTTATTACAAAATTTGGAGATATCTTTTTCCTCTCATAAATTCAATTCCAAGAAATTCTAGTACTTACAAGTAATGGTTATGGAATGAAATTGATTATAATAAGAAATGGGAAGTCGGGAATTGGAATTATTCTAATACCTATGTGTTATTAAATACAAGACTGTGATCAATTAGGAGGGATAGTTGATCCCATTCTTATTAATTGTTCATCCTATTCCCTTACTTAACATACGAAGAATTTGGGTTCAAAAAAAAGTCCTACCAATTAGGCCTAACTTATAGACCGCGAAGTTGCGCCCAAAAGAGTCAGATAATGCATGCACAACAAAGTTACGTCATACAATGCGACTAGCCACAATAAGGTATCGAACTCATCACAAATATATCATTCTCGCAATAATGTGAGTCGAACCTTAGACATCCTCCAATTAAATAGAGACAATTACAACTAGACCAAAAGCTAGGTTTCCTTCCTTTTTTTCTTTTTTCAAGAATGGAATTATGGAAGGCCATTAAGTCATGTCCACCGCACATCTATTAGCGGGAAAAACACATACCTTATTTAACTAACAACCCAACAAGACTCGTTCCTTGCCACCCAAAACCTATATCTCTCTCTTCTCCCTCAACCTAACTTGGTGCACATTTGCATCTGCACCTGCAACCCTCGCCAACACTGCCGGTGCAGTGTGTACCTCCTCCTCCCCAGCGCAGCACACATATACCGAATTTGATATAATATCTTCAAGAAAACCAAAAAAGAAAATGTATCCACCCGCGCCATACTATGCTCCACCTCCACCAGCGTATTACGCACCACCACTAATGCCGCCACCTCCAAAGCGGTACTCTCCGTGGCTGGTGCCGCTTATCTTTTTGGTGAATCTCGGGTTGTTCATATGGATCATGTATGAGAATAATTGCCCGTCTAAAATTTCAAAGGATCAATGCATGTTAGGCCAGTATTTGGATAGGTTCTCTTTCCAACCCTGGAAAGATAACCGCATGGTTGGTCCTACCCCTGAAACGTAAGGACACTCTCTCTCTCTCTCTCTCAATGTTTTCATTTGTTTATTTCTGTTCTCTTATTTTTCTATTTATGCTAATGGGATTACAAAACTTGTTATGAGGGTAATTAATGTGACGAAATTGAGATGGGTTTTGCAAATGTTAGAGAGCAATTATTTCCATGTAATTTGTCCTTTTCTTTTGGGAGGGGGAGGTGGAGGTTAAAAACCATAACCTATGAATTTCGATTACAATTAGGGGAAAGTAATTGATCTTAAGGACCTAAAGATTTCAAGTTATAATTGGAATTGGGTGAAAAGTTAGACAAAAGAAGGTAGCTAGGCTAATTGATTTGATAACCTATATGATATCCATCACTTAGGTTGTGATTGGAAGTGAAAGGAGATATCCATCACTTAAGTTGTGATTTTATAACCAACTACAACAAAACTTTCTAGAGTGAGGAAAAATGGAAAAGCAATACAAATTTAGCAACCATCCCTAATTCTCTCTCTCTCTCTCTCTCTCTCTCTTGTCTGTTCCCTAATTCTCAATTAGGCCATCTTTAATTAAGCTTCTACTAATTACTGACTGTACAAAACCTTAATCTATTTGCAGACTTCAAAGACTAGGAGGCCTTGATAGAAAACTAGTTGTGGATGGTGAACCATGGCGCCTTTTGTCCTCCATGTGGCTACATGCCGGGCTGATTCATCTGTTTGCCAACATGCTCAGCCTTGATTTTGTAGGACTTCGGCTTGAGCGGGACTTTGGATTTCGTAAGAAATTAACATTCATGATATAAATATATATACATTTTCTATGTTAAGGATGTTCTAAATTTAAGAAAAGTGCACACATCTCTCCTAGGGTAATCCAACAATGTAATTCAATGATTGAAACCGTCTATGTTTTAGGTTATCTTTAAAGGATTATCCTTTAAAAAAATCGTCCGATCTTGGTTTAGCCCTTGAATAGGATGTTTACAATTCAAGTAGTCAATTTTACATGATGAATGCTTAGCTAACTGTTGTGTGAACTGTTTGGATTTGGCAGACAGATTTGTATTCGTGTATGTGCTAGCTGGGTTAGGTGGAAATTTAGCGTCTTGCCTTAATATTATCAAACACGACTGGTCAAGCAAGACTATATCAGTTGGCGCATCTGGGGCAATTTTTGGATTGTTGGGAGCTTCCCTTTCTGAGCTCATCACAAACTGGACAGTCTATGACGATAAGGTAACGCCTCTTTTCTCTTTAGTTATTCCCCTTCTTTTCTGTAACTCTTAACTGGCACATAAACTCTAAGCTCAAAGTGCTGATATTGTGTTTGTATCCAAAACTACGTGGTTTCCTATTCGGGTTTTCCTTTAATTTCTTTTCAATATAAACTCTAAGCCCAGAGTGCTTAACCTAAATTTGGACAGAAGCACAATGTCACAAGAGCATAAGCAGAAGTCCTATTTCCCAACAGTTAAAAGTTCGGACTGCTTATATTTTCTGTTCCGATATTGTGTTCATATCCAAAACTACTTCGCTCTACACTTCCATTTAATTAGCTTTTCAATGCAAACTCAAAAGCCAGAATGCTTAACCTTAAATTCCAACACAACCACAATATCATCACAGGAACATAAGCAGAGATCCTATTTCCCACACCTAATCCAACCTCTTAATTTTCCTATTCAGTGCTCAACAATCATGATACTCATCCTCAATGCTGCCCTCAACTTGGCTATTGGGTTTCTACTTAAGATGGACAACTCAGGTCATGTAGGAGGACTCGTCACCGGATTTTTCCTCGGTTTTGTTCTTTTTGTGAAGCCTCAGTTTGGATATGTAAGCAGCAAGTACATTCCATCATACCATCAAGTCAAACGTACAGCAAGGCACAACTTCTGTCAATATTTTCTAGGGCTCCTTGCTTTGGTCGTGTTGGTTATTCTGTAAGTTACTAATTTCATTTTCTCTTTCGACAATCTGTTCAAGGTTAACCATTGAAAGTTAGCTATCCAGTCTCTGATTTAAAAAAAAAATTTCTTAATTTGCAGATATGGAGTTGGAGTTGGTAAGCTATTCAACATAAAGGAGATTAAAGAGCATCTGCCTGACAGCGTAAAAAACTATTGAGCTTGTATAGGTTTTGGGTAATGAACAAACCATAGTTTCTTGACGGTTCAACTGCATGTTCTTGAAGAATTGCAAGTATAACACAACAAAATATATACTTGCTTATGTACGCAAATCATATGTATGAACCGCATGCATATGTATCGTTGATGTATATAAATACCTGCCAATGTTCATATGTAAGTGTACATGAGAGAGATGATTGTGGGGATTTAAGAGAGGTCAGTATTTTGTGGATTGTGAGAGAGATGCTCAGATGAGTATTTCATAATTTTAGTAATCACAACAATTTTTTAGCGATCTTCTTTTGGTTTCAGAATTTTTTCTGCATTTTTCGGACTAAGCAACCCGAGCATTTTTCACAGAAATTTTATTAGATAATGATGAAGTCGATTTCATTCCATTTTAATGAAAGCAAAACTTAGGCTACAAAACAAAATTCATGATGTCTGCAGTTGCCAGTATGCATACCCTTTAGTATGGCAAGATTAGTATGTGCTAGTGAAAAATGTGCGGCGGTCATCGTGATGTACAAATCTCACGAGGAACCTACAACCATCCTGAAGAAAGAAAAAAAAATTGTAACTAGTGTACGATCTATTGCATCTTGCATCGATTCCAAGATACCCTTGAGTATGGCCTTAATTTCACATGACCAAGACACCCGATTTGACAAACACTTGGGGCATCTTGGCTTCACTGTGATATCATTTAAATCCCCATAATCAATATACATCCTTATTTTCTAACTAAAACAACTGGAGATGAAAAGGGTCTATTGCTGGTAGGCCGACTGCCAGGTGCCGGCACACAACATGCGTCATCATCACGACTCGACTTCTGTTCAGAGGTAAACCTTTGTGTTTGGTGAAAGACGATCAGAGTGAGACTGCAAAGAGAATGAGTAACAGACCGAGTAAAAATGATGAACTGTATTGATTATCACAAATGCCCTGTTTGCTGACAACATAATCACCAATACAACTAAGGCATGAAGCCAATCCTAACAGCCTAACCAGAAACTCCTATCAAATCCTAACACACTTATGTTGAGTCAGCTTCCTTATCATTTGGAACAAGTCATCATAGCTGGCAATCAACTGGTCAAAGTCAGTGGTTTGAGAATATGAAAATTTGTGGTAGAAGGCTGTGGCTGATGTGCCAAGTCCTGTAACAAATACTAAACTATATCCAGGTTCGTTTTGCTGGCACAATTTCTCAATGTAACAAGAATCTACAATGGGATAAGTTAGAGCGGTTGAGCACCAAGTACCACATCATAGAGATTCTTGGATGTAATTTTTAGCAAAAACCAATCGAACCGATCCAATTATCGTTAAGTATCATAAATTAGCACGTGGAAAATTATCGTTAAGTATCATAAAATTAGCACTTGGAAATTTTAAGTTTTAGTATGAAACAAGCTTATTTGTACATTTAAAAAAAATATATAAAATCTGAGAGAAACCGATGGAAACCACATTTCAATATGGATTGGTTTTTAACTTTTCATGAAAAATTAATTGAAAGCAGTTCAGAAGCATCATGCAGCATGGTCATTAATCATTCAGCTTCCTCTACGTAGCTAAAGTCAAACGTATTGTTTACTAATCCCAACCATTTTTTTTAATTTTCTCCCTTTTTTGTTACTTGTTCTGTTTGTTTTTTTTGTTGAAGAATGGAAGGTTATAACATAAAAGGGGCATAAAGTAATTTCCTCACATCTATTATCGGGGAGAGTTGCCAAACTTATCTACCACCCTAGCCAAACTTGATCCTTGCCACCCAAAGCCAAATATTTTTCTCTCGTCTATCTCTCCTCCTTGTAACTTGGTGGTGCACATTAGCATCTGCCACCGCAGCCAATAGTGCCGGTGCAGTGTGCACCCCTTCGCCTTCCTACCCGTGGCTGAAATGGGGAAGAGACCGCCATCCTCTGAAGACATGGAGAAGGGACGTGAAAAGGCTCGACCTTCCATGCCTCCGCCACACTTATGCCCCCCACCACCAAAGCCATGGGTGCCGTGGCTCGTGCCGATCATATTTGTGGCCAATGTAGCCGTGTTCATTTACACCATGTACGTCAATGACTGTCCATCAATCGACGAGAACAAGTGTATTCTTCCTTCTTTGAAGAGGTTCTCTTTCCAACCCTTCAAAGAAAACCCTCTCCTTGGTCCTGCCGGACTCACGTAAGAATTTCCTCTCTCCCTCTCTCTCAATGATTTCTATTTTCAGTTTATTTTCTTGTTTCGCAATAGAATTTATGAGGCTAATCTTTTCTTTTAATGTGTTTCATAATCCTTACCATTTTCTCTTCTCTCTTTTTTTTATTTTTATTTTTATTTTTTATTGTGGATGGTGGAGGTTTAAAATTAATAATCAACTGAGGTACGAGAGTGGAAAACAAACAGAACCATTTATATGGAGTTTGATTATGACTAAAGCATAACTCATTTGAGCAACCTACAAAATTGAAGGTGTATGGAAAATTAGAGCAACCTATAGAGTCGGCCTGTTGGCTAGCATTGTTAGAGGCTTGAGACTTGCTCAGAACATGAACATGCCATTCAATGCTCTGTTTGGTTCTGTACATTCATATACTTCCGTCTATGCAATCTCTTCGAATTTGAAAGAAAAAGAAGAATTTTCTTACTCAAAAAGGGCCAGTTCCAATTAATATTTGGATTCTTATGTCTTACTTAAGTAACCTAATCTCTCTAGCGTAGTGTCACATTCTCCCTTCTAGGTCTTGGCAACTTCACTGCCCATGATTCTATGCCACCCCAAAATGTAGGGACAGTGGATTTCAGCAGCCCGAGTCAAACACAGGAAATCTGTCCAGTTGCTCTGCCAATTTAGAAATCATTCCTACCGCAACTAGGCCAACTCTAAGCTACAACTTATTGCACATAGTCAGCATGCTCAATACATGAAAAACCTTGATCTAATTGCTACTGTTTGCAGTCTAAAAAAACTAGGAGCCCTTGAACGGCAACGAGTGGTGGAAGAGGGCGAAGGATGGCGCCTCTTGTCTTGCATGTGGCTTCATGCGGGAGTCGTTCACTTACTTGCCAATATGCTGAGCCTTTTATTCATAGGAATCCGGCTTGAGCAGGAATTTGGATTTAGTAAGAACTTAAGTTCAGGAGATTTTAAATCAGTTTTTACATGATCAGTGCATGCTAACCATTCTCCACTGTTTAAATTTGGCAGTCAGAATAGGACTCTTGTATGTGCTTGCGGGATTAGGTGGAAGTTTAGGATCGACTATGCATCTTATGAGAACCACAAGCCCGACTATATCAGTTGGTGCATCCGGAGCACTTTTTGGATTGTTGGGAGCCATGCTTTCTGAGCTTCTAATAAACTGGACAATCTACGTAAATAAGGTAACCTTTCTTTTCTCCTTCTCTGGCTTTCAATCACTCTTAACTGGTAAGTCAAAGAACCCACAACTATGCCCGTGAACCGCCATCAAATACAATCAATATGACCTCTAACATGTATGTGGCACTCACTGTTATATTGTAAGATCACATGTATGTTGTGAGAGCTAGACCATATATGGCAAGCTCATACAAATTTTAAGCACAACTATAATTATAAGCACATATCTATGAGGGATGCATCTAAGATCTAACTTTGCTATTCAGTGCACAGCGCTCCTGATACTCATTGTCGTCATTGCCCTGAATATGGCTGTCGGGTTTCTACCTAAAGTGGACAATTCAGCTCATATAGGAGGATTCCTTGCAGGATTTTTCCTTGGCTTTATTATTCTTGTTCGTCCTCAATACGGTTATATACGCCGTAAGCATCTTCCATCAACCTATGACGGCAAACATAAACCTAGGCACAAGGGCTATCAATATGTGCTAGGGATCGGTGCTCTTGTTATCTTAATTCTTGGGTAAGTTTCTTTCCTTTAGGCAATTCACTGAATACCAATGAAAATTAATCAACCTCCAGTCTCTGATTAAGTTTCATGTTTTTTCATTCATTGCAGATACACATATGGCTTTGGTAAGCTATATGGTCTTAAGGCAATGAAAAATCTGCCTTAAGTTCTAGAAATCAAATGAATATTCTTGAGAACTCAACTGCCTACTCAAGAATTTCAGGTAAAACACCACCTCCTCTACAAGACCCAAAAAAGAAAAAGAAAAACAGAACACACCACAAATTATACTTCCTTATATCAGAAAAGGCTGAAACACATGCATATCTAAAGTGAATCTAACTTTACTGCTGACGTATGGATGTATATTTGTGAATGTTTAGATGTTGTAAATGTATGTATATGTACGCTATGCATATATCTTGAAAACCAGACAACTAGAAGCTACTACAGATTTGAATACAGTTTGACATATGCTATATTCAAGTTACAGTGCTCCAACAGATATAGGAAATTAAGCTACATGAATGATCACTTTATACTAAGTTTGGCTTGAACACTGTTTCAGTATTATTTATTTGAATTCCGCAATTAGCAAAAGTTGTAGAATATACCACACACATATGTATACATGCAAACATATATATATATATATATATATATATATATGTATATCGTACGAAGTTACTGATAAATAATTTTTTATTCTTTCTTATCTGTAAAGAGTTCATATTGTCTTTAACGAGATGGTTGCTTACACCGATCATGCCAATGACAAGCGAAATATGAAATTAGTAAATTATGAAACTTCCGTTGCTAATAGTCCTTGATTGAATTTCCTTTTGTTTTCGTCTGAGAATGAGCATAATGAGTTTAACACTAAACTTCAAGATGGTAAACAGGGCTGTGAGAAAGACATAAATACCTATATGGTATCACCCCAAATATACTCAAAACATACTTGCGGGTGTGCATGCACACTCACTTGACCACAAAAACAGGACCGACAAAGAGATTTTAGCACCGAGAGGAACAGCGTATAAGCAAAGACAGCAGGGAGTCTTCTAGGATAAGGAGGAGTAGATGAAGACAATGCTATGTTTTAGTCAAGGTAGCAATGTAGATGAGTTCTGTAATTTCTATTTCAGAATTTTTCTGCATTTTGATTAAACACCCCAAGCATTGTTGATGGAAGATGAGTTAGTCTCCCAATTCACATGCATACTGTACTTCTAGATGTCTTGTTAAAATTAAACTATATAGTAATCAACTTGAGAATGTCAATTAGACAACTCTGAAGGAAATTTTATTCTATTTAATGAAAGCAAAACTTAGCTTACAAAATCAAAATTCATCAGATCCGCACTTGCCAATATACATACCTTTAGTAGGAAAATTAAGTATTCTATTGCCTATAGCTCACATGCGTCTGAGCGACCAAAAATTGTGTAACGGTTGTTTGCAACATTGTCATATAGAAAATCCCGTATGAAACTGCATTCGTCAAGAAGAAATAAAGTCATGGAAACAGTTTATCATTGATTGCTTCTTTCATCAGTTTTAAATCTTAGCATACAAAAAATATAAAATAAGAAACAGGGAAGGACTTACAGAGGTACAAACTGTAGAAAGAATGCTAGCTGGGGGAAGGGTAAGTCTATGTATTCCATTATCTTCACAACAGCTTCTGACTTGATGAAGGATCTAAAATTCACCATGTCAGCTCTCATTTTTATTCATATAATCCCTTTATAAGATATATCTGCTACATTCTAAGTTATTTAAGATTAAAAAAATGTAAGCGGTTGGAAGCATCAAACCGAGAAAGTGTTTCACTGAAAATAAAATACGTTAAGTGAGAAATGACAACTATTTAGATGGAATTTAATGTCGGAATCATTTATCATAAAGTTAACTTGAAGATGGTAAACTTAACTTAGGCAGACTATGTTTGTAGCTTATTAAAAACTGCTCTTAATAAACACAAAAGTCATTGTAAATACCTATCCTGTTCAACAAAAACAACACTTGAAATATCATCCGGAGCTCTTCCGGACCTTCTTAGCAGTTTCTTCCCTGCTTCACTCTGGAGAGCTTCAAACCTTATTCTCCTGTCAGTGGTGGGTTAAACAAGAATAAGAAAACTGAAGATAAACCTCATAAGACACCAAAACATTTGCAGTCATGAAACATATGGATGACATATATCATAATTAGAGTCTACAAAAGATCAAAGGAGGAGGAGAATCGAACCTATTTCGATCATTATCACGCACGAACTTCACACCTCCATTACATAAGTTACAAACACCTGTAAAACAAAGATTAAGAAACGAAAATCGGCAATCATGTGATGAAGTTTAACCAAGTCCACATTGACCAATTGAACTTAACTCTTAACACATTTTCGTTTAGAACATATAAAGGACCATAAGAAGCATAGATAGATACACATAAACCACTAAAAACCACAAAACAAAATCATCTTACATATCAAATGTGTATAAATATCTATATTCTTTATTTTCCATTTTTACTTATTTTAAAGATGGCTTATAACGTATCAAATTAGGTTGCCTTTTAATGCAAAAATATCACTTTTTTAGGTGCATCATTCAACAACACAGAGAAATTATTTGTCCATAAAATGAAAAAACCAAACAACCCATAATATTAAAAGGGTTCTATTTACACCAAGCGCATGATAACATAACAATCAGATTATGTGCTAAAATGAACTGCTTTACCGTCAAATAACATGATGGGCCTCGTGTCATTTTCAAAGAAGCCTGAAGTTGCTTCGACCCAGTCCACTCTATCTCCTCGGGTTGGGGATACGGTAGCAAACGTAGTTAGCCTTCGTCTAACGTGCGCCGGCCGTGACAAGCTTACTCGTACGCACCCACCAGGAACCAGAAGCGCCATGAAAGCCGTTGGAAGCGAAGGAATTCAGACCCAAAAATATAAAAACACAAGGAAATTGTGAAATATGTTAGTGTATGAATTATTTTGACCTTGAAGAGGTGAGGTAATTACATGAAGTACCCTTTTGGCTAGAATGAGTTTTGTGTGTGTTGGGGATGTGAGAATGGCTTCTCTGTGATAGGAAGGAAAGTTATGGGGTACAAGGGTAAATGGACGCTCAATTTTACAAAATAGTTTTACGTGGCTTCACATTTGGGGTACCACGTGGAAGTTCACATACCATTGAGCCCTTGTGTTCTGTGTGTTTTTTTTTTGTGTTTTTTTTTTTTTTTGAGGCTCTTGTGTTAGATTTTTGTTTGTTGGACAAGAGCAAAGCTTTGGAAGGTTGACGTGGAACTTTGGTCAACGGAATGGAGTTGGTTAACTATAGTTTTGACTCAAAAATCTCATTTGGTGATTGTGCTTTTTAATTTTGCAATTTTGATCATTTTTTGTCTGATTTATTAGAAATATAATTTATGACTTCTGCTAATTGAATTTGTTATCTCCCCCGTTATGTCAAACTATAATATCAACATGAAATGACAAGCATTGCAGGAGAAAATTGATTCAATCAAGTATGATAGTTGACATCCTGAATTGTGCTAAAAAATTTACAGTGTTAAATTACTACTTAAGCCGTCGAATTCAAATTTAACATTTTACATTTCATATTTCCCTCGGAAACGATGACAACTCAAAAACACTTCATAGATAGGTTGAGTGAATAATTGGGTCAAAATATAAAGCTCGCCTTTTATTTAATCAATTACCAAGAAGAAAAATAGAACCTTAAAAACAGATAATATTTTCAACAATACCGACCGTGTATCAATATGGGAATTTGGTACTCAGAGTCAGCCTACACACATTTATTCATTCATCACTCTTGACAGACACTAATTTATAGGGAGTTTCACTAAAACACCCAAAATGGGGCTGAAATTATAAAAAAACTCAACACCCAAAACACTTTATAAACACACCCAAAACCCATCATTACACACACTCAAAACCCATTTATAAACACACCCAAAAAATATACAATTGTTGATTTTGGGTGTGTTTCTATGTTTAAATAGTGCTTGGGTTTTTTTTATAAATACATATCTAGGATTGGGTTTATTTATAAATTTGTATAATTTATATCCCAGGACATGCAAAGTCCACTCCTCTGAAAAAAAAACAAGCAAAAAGCTTTGAGTAGTTGTGAGTTGAATTCCTGACAATTGAGTTGATTGGGCAAAGAGTTCATTAATTGGCTACCTTCTTCTATTACCTACCTCATGTACTCACCATCAAATCAAATAAAAACTCTCCCCCTGCTTTTCTAGCTGAGAACTGAGGACAAAACACATTGCTAAAGCTTTGAAACACAGCTTGAAGCTTTTCAACTTCAAAAATGGCTTCTTTACACCGGAAAATTCATAACCGGCCAACATTTTCCACTAACACTCCCCATTTCTTAAAGATTATCTCGAAGGGTACTTGTAGACAGAGCAAATTTGTGAGCACCTCTCTCTCTCTCTCTCTCTCTCTCTCTCTCTCTAGAAATGTAGCTACTTTGCTCTTACATAGCTAGCTAGAGCCATTCACGCATAATGAGGAAGTTGTTTCCACAGATAGGCGTCCGTAGTTTCCTTCTGATTATGTTTTTGCTGAGATATAATGGTGTTTGCTCATGGTTGGTGTTTCCTAATTAACTGTTTTATGCCATGGAAACCTGTTAGAATTTAGATATGATATGCATGTACTCATAGCTAAATGTCAGTGCTTAATTCTAGAGACATTTATAGTACCTCTGGGACTTTGCCATCAGATTAAACCGAGTAAACACAGCTTTGTTCCATAAACTGGAGAAAAATCTTTGAAAAACATTTGAAGTTCAACAATGGGTGCTTTTCCGCACGAAATTGATGACTCACCAACATTTTCTGCTACTGTTTATATGGCTAGTGTTTTTTTCTCTTCTCTACGGCTAGTATTCATAATACATGTGTGTGCTGCTGCTTGAAGTGAAAAGCGAGAAATGAATCTACATTGATGTGGTAGTGAATTTTTATTTTTATTTTTTTGCTGCAGTAGCTATATGCTATATAGTTATTGAATCACTCATTTCTTAGCCGCAAAAGTATGGGATAATGTTTTTCACTTTATGATCTGTTACTTGACTGACACGTACTATGTTGCACAGAGGATTCCGAATAAGTTTTTGATGAAATATGGAAATGATTTATCAAATCCAGTATTTCTCAAGCTTCCAAGTGGTTCAGAATGGAAAATTGAACTCAGAAGATGGGAAGACAAGGCCTGGTTGGACAAGGGTTGGCCAAAGTTCTCTAAGTTTTACTCTCTAGACTACTGTCACTCGTTAGTTTTTGGCTATGAAAGGAAGTCCAAATTCTGCGTTCGCATATTTGACCGAAACTTCACAGAGATTGCCTATCCATTAACAACACCCGAGATGAAAGACACTGATGAAGTTGATGATTCTGAATCTGAATATGATGATGATTTTAGTGATGATTCTGAATCTGATTTTAGTGATGATTCTGTTGAAATCTTGGACAAATTTCTACCCCGCTCAAGAAAATCAAGTTCAAGTGGTATTAAAACAGAAACCAACATCAACTTCCACAATGCGGCTCCACATCTTAACTAGACCAAGAAAACACTCAACCTTATGAAATGATGCTTGAGAAGTCAATTAGAACTAAGAATTCTCATCTGTTGAAATCAGACATGAAAATTACAGCATATGTGTTTTGCTTTTTATCTTCAACTTTATTGCGTTTTCTCCCATTCTATTCTAACTTGTAATATCCTATTATTTTCTTTAACAGGAAAATCTGAGTTTCCTGCCAAAAGACATTGTGGTGGCAAGTCTACCACTCGAAGATTCATAAAACGAACTAGAAGTGCAAAAGTTATAGCTCTTCAGAGAGCTAAGGCTTTCAAATCTGACAAACCTTCTTTCATAGTTCCCATGACGCGATCTTATACCAATCGATCTTTTGTGGTAAGCTTTCAATAGACAACCGTGCTTGCCATCACAACTTCTGTTAACTTGTATTTATAGATCATACAGTAAGAAAAAGAACTAAGCAACTGTACTTCCACAGAGCACACTCATGGTACTCTCTCTTCAACATTTTCTTATTGTCTTTTCCTTGTTTTCCATTTAATTATTTTCAGTGGTTGCCATCCAATTTTTCCTTCCATATGACACGTCTTAGTAACAATTCTGGTAACGTTATGTTTCGGGTTTTGGATGGGAGAACTTGGTCTCTTGGATTGAAATGTGAAAGGGCAAAACCAAAAGCCAGATTCCAGTCTGGTTGGTTTAAATTTGCGCGAGACAATAATTTGAAAAGTGGTGATGTGTGTGTCTTTGTGTTGGTTGACGACATTAGAGTTACTTTTGAAGTTGTCATTTTCCGTGCCATAGAAGCTGCAAACACCTTGTCACCAGGTAAGTTGTCTTTCAATTTTTGAACTAATTCAATCGAAGCACCACAGAGATTAACTATCTGTCACCTTCATCTCTCTTTTTTATATGCCTACAGATGTTGATGGGGAACAAACAATGTCCGAGATGGAAGAAACTGATGAAGATTATGATTCTGTTGAACTCTTGGACTATTTTCCACCATGCCCGAAAACAAGGAAGAAATCTCCAATAGCACCACAGCCTAGCAAGAAAAACAGAACATGTTCGATTAGTACAGCAGAAAATAACATCAGAAGTGTTGGTGGCTCGTCTAGGAGTCAAAAATTCCTAAAACGAAGACATCAGGTTCCTAGGATGATGAATCCAGTTACGGAAAGCGGAACAGATAGAGCTCTTCAGAGAGCAAAGGCTTTCAGATCAGAATACCCTTCTTCCACGGTTGTTATGCATCCCTCATATATCCGTGCAGGTTATTTGGTAAGCTTTCTATAGAGACATTATGCACAACTTCTGCTAACTTCTATCTGCGCATGTCAGTGTGAAAAGAATAGCTAGAAAATTACATCATGAACACTCCAAAATTCTCAGTTTTAACCTGCTTCTCTTTCTCCTTTCAGCATATAGGAGCCAAGTTCATCAAGGAACATCTTCTTAACCGGGGTCATGAGAATGCCATCCTTCGTGTTTCGGATGGAAGAACTTGGCCTGTCTCATTAGGTAAACAAGGCAAAGGTATAGTCAGATTTCAGACTGGTTGGATGAAATTTGTGCAAGACAATCAGTTGGCAATCGGAGATGTGTGTGTCTTTGTGTTGACTAATGCCATCAAACGTTTAATTGATGTTGTCCTTTTCCGCGCTACAGAAGCCGCAAAGTGCACCTTGTCAGGTGAGTTATCTATTGGTTAATTTGTGAATTTGTGCTCCATTAGGGCTGCTCTGCTTAACACATGTGTTATCCTTCCCTCTTTTTGTTTTTGTTTTAGGGGAAGGCAATCGACGTCCGACGATCAGTTCAAGTCGAAAAATTAAAAGAGAAGCCTGATGGATGAAGCAATGGAAGCTGAATATTTTGTTATGAAACCACTAGTACTACCGAGTCCTATCTGAATATTGAAGGCAGAGGACGCCTGAAAATTTAAAGATGTTCTAACATAAGAACTGATATTACCAATATATGCTTATATATTTGTCTTCCATTGTTGTTTTGATTACCTTAGAAAGGGAACAATCTAAGAATCTCTTTTGTTATTTTGAATTTCAACTTCATCTTGAACAGTTCATTTTGAAAGGCATGAATCTAGGAGGTCTCTACATGACTGCAGCAGAGTTGAATGATGATGAAGTATACTTGTGCGGTTCAATTCACTCCTCCAATATTGCTTGTATTTAAAAAAAAACACTATCATAATATATCAAATCCTTTGGTTTTCAGACTAATGATGGGTTTCAAACTAATGGCTTGATAAATTAAATGGGTAGGAAGAGAAGAGACAAAGCAAAAGTTATGTTATTAATACTTCTCGTTTCACTGATTCAGAACCAGAACCAACCAGTAGAGCTTTACTTACTAAAAGAAGACTATGAACTTGACATGAACTTGATTACTCTCTGAATTTTTGTATTGATGGAGTTTCTTTACTTTTTCATGTGCTCTAAACACAAATGGGAAGTTGTTAATGTACATCAAATTCACTCAGATAATGAAGGGAACATGGAATTTATCTCTATCTATTTGGAAAACCTTTTAAAGAGGTTTCAAATCTCTAACACCATCTCCAAAGCTAAAGGGGCTAAATTCAAATTTTCACCCTTTAAAATACAAGTATTCATGTATTGCCCGAACTCAAACAGTTTTTTTTCCCCAACCCTCCAGACTCATCCTAGCCTTATTAAATTGTTTAAATATAGTTTAACTCTATTTTTTTTTAATTATTTATAGTGAAACTTTCTTGAGCTAATTTTTGTTCATAACTTCATGATTTATTTTTCCAAACATTTTAACCTAAAAAAATTAAAATTCGACAAACTTAATTTTATTTCAATTAAAATGAAAACTTGTAGGCCATTATCCCGTATGGCTTGAATTATTTTCTAATTTGGTGCCCATCTCCTCTTGTCTTCTTTCAATTATTTTTTGACTTTGTGCCCATCTCCTTTATCTCCTTCAACTTTTCCTTTCTTGGATTCTCTTCATTTCATCTATATCTCCGCATCTCTTCCTTGAATTATTATCTGACATGGTTCACATCCCACACTCCTCATCTTCTTGTGGTCTCTAATTCACACCTCTTTGGGGTTTTGGGGCCATATTGAAAAGGATAAAAAGGAGAATGAACAAAATTATCAAAGTGAGAAATGAAAAAAATTGATTTTGTTGGGTTATTTAACAAATGGATGGGTATTTATAGAGTTTGGGATGAGTTTTGGGGTTACATCTGATTTTGACTATTATTTTTTTTTCTCACTAGATTTGATTTTTGAACGTTGGATCTTATTTTATTTCCGTTGAAATTTAAGAATTAATCCTCGCCTTTGATCATATAGCCGTTGGAACAATTTGAAAAAAGAAAACAAAAGCAAGTTTTTATTGTGGCCATTTGATTTCAACGGTAATATTCATATTGCAATCCACGTGCCTATAGGGGTGGCTGACACAATGGGTCCACAAAACTGAAATGGCACGAGGTTCCACCAGATGTCAAGATGAAATCTCAGAGGTCCAAGCCCAAGCCACGAATTAGCGCCCAAGATTTCCCGAGGTCAATGTGCACGTGACAAAGGTCTCACAAGGAAAAAAAATCAAGGAGGTTGATGACGATTCATAATTTTCCAAAACGAGAGAAAATCAAGCAACCATAATATCTCCGCCGACGTGTTCTACGGATTTAGGGGGCCTCGAAAGGAAAGAATTTTAAAAGAGTTGACATTTGGCCATTCAATGGCCAGCCCATTGGCTAACGGACGCCCTATATAAACTTCACCAAACAAAGGCAGAAGACACGCATCATCAGACACACAAACCTATTTTTCATCTCGCACTTTTCTTTTCTTATACTTAGGATTTTACTTTTCAAGCACCTAGTGTGGCAAGTCCTTCCTTTCCTTAGTGTAAGTTTAAATTCTTGCAATTTACATTACCTTGTCATTTAAATTCAAGCTTATTTCAATCGCTTTCTTTTTCATTGTTATTGAATTTTCATTAAGTTTAAATTCAAGTTTAATTTAGTTTACCGTTCTTATCGTTCTTATTTCGTTCTTGTTTATATATCGCTTTAATCTATTTTATCGCACTTTAATTCTCGTCTTTACGTTATTTATTTTACGCACTTTACTTTACGCATTTATCTTTAAATTATATTTAAGTTTAAGCACCTTTACTTTACGCACTTGTTCTTTGTTTCATTACGTTTCACCTTCAATCTTCATCTCCACCCACTCCACATCATTGGTTGCTTACATAAAACTTTGACCCCGAGGTAGTGAAAGAACCTAGGCCGTGAGGAGGTTCCTTGCTTGGCCGAACAATCGTTTGATTAGAAGTTAGAAACGCAACATATCCAGCATACACTCACATTCCATCCAAGCCAAATTCGTGGCTTGGTGGTGGCATGCCCGACACTCGAAAAAAAGGACCAAAAGTTCCTTCCATCGGCCTACCCTGCCGAAAAGAGGGAAACAGGTGCGAAGAGGAAGAAGAATAAGAAGAAGGGTAGAGAGAGAGAGAGAGAGAGAGAGAGAGAGAGAGAGGAGAGAGAGAGAGGGGGGGGGGGGGGGAAGATATCAACACATTGAATGTGCAAAAATGAAAATGATATTGGTATTATAAATTAGTACCGCAATTACCGATTTGTTCAATGACCGACAAAACCGACCCATTCGGTTCGGTCAGTTTTGTTTGATTTTCAGAATAAAATGCCAAGCTTAGATGTAAATATCCGTTTTCTCTACTTATTCCTACCTTCCCTTGTATACTCGTTTAAATGTCAAGTCCCAGTTTAACTTATGATCCATGATTGTATGATGATTGTGATTATATATTATTGTATCATATAAAATCCTATGTCTTATTCCATTTTTCATGTATTGCATTATAATTTTCTAAAATCATTTTCTTGAGGAAAAAGTTTTAATGACAAATATCGGGTCTCCATGTATTCGACGAGCTTCCCGTTTACCGGGTAGAAGGCCAAATGGTAATAGCTTACTCAGCCTCGACCAACTCTCCCTTGTCATCCCATCTACTCAATTAAACATGTCACTAAGGGATGCAAAGTACAGTCAGGGTTTAGGGTTTTCCATTTTTCACAAACATTTTGGTTTCATAACAATTTAGCTGAGGCGCATAATGAACTTTCACTTAGGTACCTTCCCATCTGGGTTTTCTGAATATTTCAAGTTGGTCCATTCCCAACTTAGAAATGTTCATATAAATTGTGATACATTCGTTCCACGTAAGGAGTAAACCTCTGAAGACACCCCATAATTCAGCTTCAAGGATTTTACCACACCCCAAATTAGTAACAAAACCCTTGATCCATCCACCTGTAGAGTCCCTTATGATGCCTCTAGCACTAATAGATCCCATCTCACCCATACAACTGCCATCCACATTAATTTTAAAACAGCTAGCACAAGGAGGAGACCAATGTAACTTAAGAATTTGTTTGGAAGTCTTATAATTCCTGGAATAGTTAGCCACCAGCCACTCCCTAGTAAATTGAATGATTGGAATGTGAGGCCAAGGAGGAAGAGAAAAGTTGACATCAAACACTTTCTTACATCGCCATTTCCAACAAAACCACAGGGAGGCCAAGAACAGAGAGGACCAAGGGATACCTTGCTTGCAGCTGAAACTAGCCTTAATATTAATGAAAAGCCAGTCCTTAAAATCCATAGAGAAAGAGTGAGCAATTTGATTAGGAATACCAATGTAATTCCACATTCTAGCCGCATGACTACACCTGCGAAAAAGATGGTCCAAGGACTCCGTGGTAACGTTGCAACAAGGGCAATTAGGATTGGAAGCTAAGTTCCTTCTAACACGTTGGACATTGGTTAGGAGCTTACCATGAAACAGCAGCCAAACAAAGGTTTTTATCTTCGGAGGGACATGCAGCTTCCAAATAGTATCCCAATTCCGAGAATGATTAGTCTCCTCAGTAAACAAAGAGAGATAAGCCGTTTTCACTGAAAATTCACCATTGGAGGTAAGCTACCATATACAAGAGTCCACCTCAGTATGATTAAAACCTGCATGAATACAATGAATTTTCTACACCACATCCAAGGGGAGACAACCCAGAAGCCAATTGGTGTTCCAACCTTGCTCCGTGAGGAAATCACTCACAGTCCACTCAAGCAAATCATCAGAAAGAGAGATAGTGGCGAAATTCTCAAGAGGCCCACAACCTGCCCAATTATCTTTCCAAAATAAGATATTGTCACCATTACCAACTCTCCATTTAAGCCCTTTAGAGACAATTTGAGAACCAAATAAAATACCTCTCCAAGTACTAGAGCAATTAAGGAATTTGAGATTTGGGGCAGCAAGCAAACTTTGATCTTTTAGATACTTACCATTAAGAACTTGAGACCAAAGGCCTTGATCCTTTTGGACAATTTTCCAACCAGTCTTGGCAAGTAAAGCCTGGTTCATACAATGGGTCTTTTTACGCCTAGACCACCACAGCTCTTAGGTTGACAAACAGTGTCCCAATTAAAAAGGTGAATTTTAGTTTTATCACCAGTATAACCCCACAAAAAATTCCTGTTAAGCTTATCAAGCTGGTTGCAAGTAGACATGGGAAGATCAACAGTTTGCATAGTATAAATTGGAATAGCTGAGGTAACATCATGCAAGTAAGTTAATCTACTTGCCATAGATAAGGTGTGACTCTCCCAGGAAGCCAATCTACACTGCACTTTGTCAACAATCACAGCATAAGTATTAGGAGAGCAACAAATTCTGGATTTAACAAAATTAACTTGCTGACCCGAGGCACCACAAAATAAATCCAAACAATGCTTCATAAGCTTAGCTTGGTGGATAGAGGCTTCCCCAAATAAAATAAGGTCATCAGCAAAGAAGAGGTGGGATATAGCAGGACCATTTCTGGCAACCTTAACAGACTTCCAGGTTCCAGAGGAAACATGATCATTGATAATGTGGGAAAGTTTTTCCATGCACAGAACAAAGATGTAGGGGGCGAGGGGGTCACCTTGTCTGATCCCAACACTAGGAGAGAATCTTTCAGTAAGCTCACCATTGAGGATGGCCTGGTATCTGACAGATTTAATGCACTGCATGATAAGGACAAGTAATTTTCCTCTAATCCCAATTTCCCATAACACATCATAGATGAAATCCCAATGAAGTCTGTCATAAGCTTTGGAGAGGTCAATTTTCCAAGCAATGAAACCCTTCTTTCCTTTTGAGTTTCTAAATTTATGAAGAACCTCTTAAGCAACAATAATGTTATCAACAATCTGCCTGCCAGGGATGAAGCTAGCTTGAGCAAGACTGACAACCTTCTGCATGAGAGGCTTGAGCTTCTGAACAATGATCTTAGACACCACCTTGTACAAAGTATTACATAGGCTAATAGGCCTTAACTGAGCAACAGAGCTAGGACTAGCCACTTTAGAAACGAGGGTAATCAAAGTGTCATTTAAAGCATCAGGCATGGTAGCAGAGTTAAAACAACCAGCAATTAACTCATCAAAGGTACCTTGACAAAGATCCCAGAAATCATGGTAGAATTTAGCAGGGAAACCATCCGGCCCTAGGGCTTTAAAACTACCAATACTAAACAAACAATCCTTTATGACTTGAGGATTAATATCACAATTGAGATTACCCAACTCAGATGTCTCTAATCTAGGAAAAATCTGGGGGAGATCAGCATTAGAGTACCTCATAGTTTGAGCTGCAAAAAGAGTCTTGAAATAATCAACAATGATATTTTCCATTTCTTTTTATCATTAGTCCACGTACCTTGAGCATTAGTAAGGCCTTCTAGTTTGTTCCTTCTTCTACGAATAATGGTAGACATGTGGAAAAACTTGGTATTACGGTCCCCTTCTTTAAGCCAAGTGTTCCTTGATTTCTACAGCCAAAAAAGTTCTTCTTGGTCAAGTAAAGCTTGGTAATCACTGGCAAACTCTTTTTCTAAGTCAACCAGAAAAGGAGAGTGTCGTCTGCATAAAGCTTTTTGGATACCGCCAATTCTAGCCAACAACTTTTTCTTATTACGAAACAAACACCCAAACACATCCTTATTCCAATCAGCAAGAGCTTTAGAAAGGTCTTGAGTTTTTTGAAGGATATTTCCAATATAGTTAGCCCATTTATCAACCATAAAGCTCCGAAAAGTAGGGTGCAAGAGCCACATGGCTTGAAATCTAAAAGGCTTGACATTAGCACTAGGGAGATGAGATGACTGAAGGCTTATCAGCAGGGGGCAATGATCAGACTTGGCCCTAGGTAGATGTTTGACAAAGGCCTCAGGAAATTTATGTCTCCAATCAATGTTGGAAAGACCACAATCCAATCTTTCCCAAGTAAGGACATCATTTTCATTTTTTCTACACCAAGTAAACTGAGCACCAATAAAGCCAAGATCAATCAATTGATTTCTATCAATCCATTCAACAAGCCCACTCCCATGAGAAATAGGATTACCACCACATTTTTCAGAAGTATCTACCAATTCATTGAAATCCCCATCAATCATCCAAGGAAGGTTCGAACTTGAAGCAATCCCATCCAAATAACTCCATAGTTGGCTTCGAATGCCCGGGCAGGGGTGTGCATACACCGCAGTAAAAAGCCAATCAATGTGATTCATTTTAATTAGAGTTATAATAGACTACCTAGAGTAGGCAACTATATCAATGCAAGATACATTCTCATTCCAAAGCATCCAAAGACCCCCTGAAAAACCATTAGCGTCGACTACATGATACTTAGAAAACCCAAGTTTCTTAATAACATTGAGGGCGGTGTTGCCACTAATTCTAGGCTCCAAAATGACAAGCATCTCAATCTTGTGGATTTTAACTAGATCTTTCATAATTCCAGGGAATTTTTTACTCCCTGCACCTCTAACATTCCAAACCATAATCATGATGATGGGAAAAAAGGTAATAAGAGCGTTTGAGGTAACAACCTCGTTGACTGGAAGAGTTCAATTACCAAAGTAGAAGCAGCACCAAAAACTCCATTTTTAACATCTAGCATAGCTTTTTTTAGTATAGCAGCATTCAAATTAATGGTAATATGAGGGACATAGTTATCCCCATGGTCATCATCCATCTCATCTGCAGGAATATCATCCATTTTATCTTCAGAAGGGCCTGGGTCATGAGGCTCAACCTCAGGTAAAATAGGAGGAATAAACTTACCAGAGTTAGGAGAGAGCTTCGATTTCAAACTTGCCACAACGTCTCCCAACGTGGCTTCTTGAAAATCAATACTCCTGACTTGAAATCCTGTCGATTTTCCAGACGCAACACCTTTTAATTTTCTCTTAGAATCAGAACGAGCAACCAAGCTAACTTTGCAAGTGGAGGCACAAGAATTATTGTTCTCAAAACCAATATGGGTATTTTTCACTACACCATCATTCGAGATATCACCCAGAGCCTGGTGAGATTTACCTTTAGACTTATTCTGACCCTTAGACTTGGAAGGTTTAGTATACCCATTTTTTGGCTCAATCTGCAATTGGGTTACATCCTCAATAACCTCATTCCGAATAGAAACATGAGCTTCAACTCTGTTATTAGAATTATCTAAGGCCTCAAACCTTGACCCAGAAGGGTAAGCACCTCGTTCATCTTGAACCTCATTTTTCTTTGGAGTAATCTTTTTAGCCTTTGAGTCAACACTAGCCTTAAAAGGCTTTCTACCCTTCCTATTTTGGACCAAGCTCCAAGGTCCTATCAAGGTGTTCTTAGCCTCATGGGGATCCATCTGAAGCTTAATAGAAGAGCTTGCCTCATTAACAGGGAGGGGAGAACCACTCAGGACCACTTCATCCATGGGTTGGATAATATTGTGGACATTATCAGTATGAGGAGCCTTAATCACCGAGGGGCAAACATTTTTATTGTGACCATAATACCCACAAGTAAAGCACACCAAATGAATGCCTTCATATTCCAAGCCATACCAGTTATCCTCCACTTGAACAAAAGCTTTCAGAGGTTGGGTTAAGTCTATCTCAACACACACCCTTGCATATTTCCCACGAACCTGGGGAACAGTATTGGAGTCAACCTTGAATGTGGTGCCCAGTAAATCCCCAATACGGAGCATGGCCTCAGGACGGAACCATTCAACATGAAGACCAATAATACGAATCCACACAGTCATCCTTGTCACTTGTTCCACCAGAGGGTCAAAACCAGGCTTCCAGCGTTGCATAACTAGGTATTGCCTAGTAATTACCCATGGACCTCCACACAAAATTACTTTCATGTCCTCTTCAAGCACAAATCTCACAATAAAGAAGCCATTTTCTAGATCAATTAGCTTCCAAGGACCCTTAATCATACCCCATCTATGTTGCAAACGAGCAAGGACAAAATTATACGTGTGGGACTTACCCATAAGCTTGATGATGATGGAGGTTCGCCAAGGCCGGTAGAGTCGTTCTTTAACATGTTCAGAAAACTTAATGCTTGGGCCTATTTCACCTTTTGACACAATAAAATCTTCAGCCTCAATTGTGATTTTATCATCCTCCATCCTTGTAAGCCCAAGTCGGGTAGAGCCATGCCCACCTTGTTTCAAAACTGAATCTCTAAAATTCAAAATCACAAGAGGATGAGAGCCAAAACCCACATCAATCACCATATCTCCAGACGAGCTAAGATCTGGCTCAGTAGTTCGAATCTGTTTCATTCCCACTGCTTCCAGCTTGCTCTCTGGCTAGAGAGCATTGAAAACAAATGTTGGCGGAGTCACCGTCGTTACAGGTGGTAGTAGAGAGAACTCACTGGAAAAAATTGCCGCGTGAGGCGCATTCTCTTCATCGCGTGTCGCGTGTGGCGTTTCAAGCTGCATCGTGACGAGTAATTTGGTTGGTTTTTTTCCGTCCCGTCTCATCTTGATTTGGCTATACTTGTATGTAGCCACCCTCCACATGACAGCCTAAAACTTTTCCTTTCTAGATGCACCCTGCCCTTTATGAGTATTTCTTCTCCCAAAAATGTTCTGAGCTTAAGTGCTAATGTGGTATGAGGGAAAGGATTTCTTGTCCGCTTAGCTTATTCTTTGGCCTACCCCATTTCTGGTCTAAGAAATCTTTGGTGAATTTCTCTTACAATCTTGTGCGCAGAGCAAGCAAAGCAATGGGCAGCTGCTTGTCAATCTCCTTATCATGCGATGCCATTGTCTCACGCTGCTAGGATTCCGTTTTTGAAAGAGTACGGTATGTACGCAATTTCTAAGAAAACCTTCAAGCTCTCACAACTTATTTACAAGAACTCAGGTCTTCAAAGAATGATGTGCAGAGACAGGTTGAGCTTGTAGAGCGGCAACCGCGATTAAAGCGAACAAAGCAGGTAAATAACTGGATTTTAAATGTGGAGGCTCTTGAGACTGAAATTAACGAAGTTATTGTAAGCCATAGCACTCAAGAAATTGTGAAATTATGCTGCAGAGGTTACTGCTCCAAGAACTACATATCCAGCTACAAGTATGGAAAAAAAGTTGCTAGAAAGTTGGTGGAAGTGGAGGCTTTGCAAAGCAAGGGAGTTTTTGAAGAGGTGGTAGCAGAAAGCTTAACTACAGCTCTAGTCGATGTGATACCTAGTGAGCCAACAGTGGGCATGGAGCCAATTTTTTATGAGGTTTGGAGACACGTTGAAGATGAACAAGTGGGAATGATTGGCTTATATGGAATGGGAGGGGTGGGGAAGACCACCCTCCTTACCCAGATCCATAACAACTTCAACCGCACTCGTAGTGATTTCAATCTTGTGATCTGGATTGTGGTATCCAAGGGCCACAAAATTGAAGTTATTCAAGATAAGATTGGTGAAAAGATTGGGATGTCTAGTGCTGAATGGAAGCATAAAGAGCAGCGTGAAAAAGCTAAAGACATCTTCGGAATCTTGAACACAAAGAAGTTTTTGTTATTAATGGATGATTTAGGGAAGCGGGTTGAATTAACCAAAGTAGGGGTTCCAACTCCTGATAGTCGGAACAAGTTCAAGATAGTTTTCACAACTTGCTCTGAGGGGGTATGTAGTCATATGGATGCCCAGAAGAAGATTAAGGTGGGGTGTTTGACTTGGGACAAAGCATGAAACTTGTTTCAGGAGAAGGTTGGGAAAGAAACACTTCTTCTTCATACAGATATCCCCAAGCATGCTGAAGATGTGGCGAAGGAGTGTGGCGGTTTGCCACTGGCACTCATCACAGTGGGCAGGGTCATGGCCTGCAAGAAAACACCCCAAGAGTGGAAGCATGCAGTTCTAGTCCTGAGAAGATTTTCCTCTGAGTTTTCAGAAATGGAAGATAAGGTATTCCTTCTTTTAAAATTCAGTTACGATAATTTACCAAGTCAGAAAGTTAGATCATGTTTCTTATATTGTGCTCTGCTTCCGAAAGATTTTGTTATACTTAAAGATGACTTGGTATATTTTGGATGTGTGAGGAGGATGTATTAGATGAATATGGTAATGTAGAGGAAGCCAAAAATAAGAGTTACCATATCATAGGAACTCTTCTTACCTCATGTTTGTTGGAAGATGAAGGAAATTCAGTAAAAATGCATGATGTAATTTGTGACATGGCATTGTGGTTAGCTTGTGACCTTGGGAAAGAAGGTGAGAACATCCTTGTGGATACAGGTGCTTATCATGCACCAAATGTTGTGAAATGGAAGAACGCGAAAAGGGTTTCATTGATGGGTAGTAGTGGTATCATATCTCTAGATGAAACACCAAGATCTCCCAATCTGTTGACCTTATTTCTCATAGGAAGATTTTTAAAGAGGATTGTGGATGACTTCTTTGATTTCATGCCTACGCTACGAGTTCTGGATTTATCTGAAAATTTCAATATAACTCAACTGCCAACTGGAGTTGCAAAGCTCGTTTCATTACAACATCTGAATTTGTGCAGTACAGGCATAAAATGGTTGCCGGTGGAGTTAGCAGCATGTGCACGCCTAAAGTATTTGAACTTAGAGTTTACATATAGTCTTGATTATGTTCCACCAAATATATTATCAAATTTCCCGAGGCTTAAAGTTTTGAGAATACTACAATGTGGTTCTTCTAACTGATTTTTTTTTTTATAATGAGAAAACCATGATAGACGAATTGCAGGGTTTGAAACACCTTGACGTCTTGTCTTTAACAGTCGTAGGAGGTACCTCTTGTTTCCAGAATTTGGACAGCCACCACATATTAGTGACTTGCACTCTAACTTTATGCCTCATGGGCAAGGATTTCTGGAACCCTTCAATCTATCTTGATTTATCACCTCTGGTGATGGCAAATATGAAATACCTTGATACCCTTCAAATTAAAAATATGGCGGATGTGTACTCTATGTGGATACCACGTCTGGAAAATCCGAATTGTTTCCTTGGTCTTCAGTTCGTAGAAGTAGTACGTTGCACGAATCTCAAGAACCTGGAATGGCTCGTTCTTGCTCCAAATCTCATCCACTTGTATGTATATGGCTGCTTTGAAATGACTACAATACTCGGTTTGAACACAACGGAAACTACCCCACTTGCGAAACTCACTGTTTTGCTTTTGGGCGCACTACCCCACTTGCGGAGAATATGCGAAAATCCCTTGCCCGTTCCATTTCTGAAGGAAATCCGTTTATTTGGATTTCCAGTGTTCACTAGGCTGCCTCTCAACTCTAGCAACGCTCAAACAAGTAATCTCATTATTGAAGGAGAGGAAAAGTGGTGGAATAGCTTAGAGTAGGAAGAAAAGATTGGGCTGTTTAGTGGTGTATGGAAGCATAAAGAGCAGCATGAAAAAGCTGAGGACATCTTCAAAATCTTGAACACAAAGAAGTTTGTGTTATTAATGGATGATTTATGGGAGCCGGTTGAATTAACCAAAGTAGGGGTTCCAGCTCCTGACAGTCGGAACAGATTCAAGATAGTTTTCACAACTCGCTCTGAGGAGGTATATGGTCATATGGATGCCCATAAGAAGATTAAGTTGGGGTGTTTGACTTGGGACAAAGCATGGAACTTGTTTCAGGAGAAGGTTGGGAAAGAAACACTTCTTCTTCATCCAGATATCCCCGAGCATGCTGAAATTGTGGCGAAAAAGTGTGGCAGTTTGCCACTGGCACTCATCACAGTGGGCAGGGTCATGGCCTGCAAGAAAACACCCCAAGAGTGGAAGCATGCAGTTCAAGTCCTGAGAAGACTTGCCTCCGGGTTTTCAGGAATGGGAGATAAGGTATTCCCTCTTTTAAAATTCAGTTACGATAATTTACCAAGTCAGAAAGTTAGATCATGTTTCTTATACTCTGCTCTGTTTCCGGAAGATTTTGTTATACTTAAAGATGACTTGGTATGTTTTTGGATGTGTGAGGATATATTAGATGAATATGGTAATGTAGAGGAAGCCAAAAATGAGAGTTACCATATCATAGGAACTCTTCTTACCTCATGTTTGTTGGAAGATTAAGGAGATTCAGTAAAAATGCATGATGTAATTCGTGACATGGCATTGTGGTTAGCTTGTGACCTTGGGAAAGAAGGCGAGAGCATCCTTGTGGATACAAATGCTTATTATGCACCAAATGTTGCGAAATGGAAGAACACGAAAAGGGTTTCATTGATGGGTAGTGGTATCAAATCTCTAGATGAAATACCAAGATCTCCCAATCTGTTGACCTTATTTCTCAGAGGAACTTTTTTAGAGAGGATTGTGGATGATTTCTTTGATTTCATGCCTACGCTACGAGTTCTGGATTTGTCTCAAAATGTCTTTATAACTCAACTGCCAACTGGAGTTGCAAATCTAGTTTCATTACAACATCTGAATTTGTCCTATGCATGCATAAAATGGTTGCCGGTGGAGTTAGCAGCATGTGCACGCCTAAAGTATTTGAACTTAGAGCATACACTTCTGCTTGATTATGTTCCACCAAATATATTATCAAATTTCCCGCCGCTTAAAGTTTTGAGAATACTAGATTGTGGTTCTTCTAACCGAGTTTTTTTTTATAATGAAAAAACCATGATAGACGAACTGCAGGGTTTGAAACACCTTGACGTCTTGTCTTTGACGAAAGGAGATACCTCTTGTTTCCGGAATTTGGACAGCCACCACATATTAGTGACTTGTACTCTAACTTTATGCCTCAATGGCGAGGATTACATGAACCCTTCAAGCTATTTTGATTTATCATATGTGGCGATGGCAAATATGAAATACCTTGATACCCTTCAAATTAAATATATGGTGGATGTGTACTCTACGTGGATAACATATCTGGAAAATCCGAATTGCTTCCTTGGTCTTCAATTCATAGTAGTAGTAAATTGCACGAATCTTAAGAACCTGGAATGGCTCGTTTTTGCTCCAAATCTCATCCGCTTGCATGTATATCGCTGCTCTAAAATGACGAGAATACTCGGTTTGAACACAACGAAAACTACCACATTTGCAAAACTCACTGTTTTGTGTTTGAGCAGACTACCCCTGCTTCAGACCTGTAAGTGAGGAGGGGCTTCCCTGATATGTCCGTTCACCAGTTTAATTGGATGCATCTTTTTACTCCAATAGCATTTAAGGCAATGTATTATAGTCCGGCTCTGTACATGATGTCTGAACTTTAATAATTACATGATTGTCAATATGTTATTGCTAATGTATTGATATTATTATCGCCAACAAATCGTTCCGACATGTTGATGGTTCTGGTTAATTTTACAACAAGAGGTCTCGATGTATGGATTTTGACACAACAAGAGGTCTCGAGGTAAGTTTAATTTGCTAATGTTTCCATGTTATAAGTTTGGTAATATGAGATGTTATATTGTTAGTATATTTCCCTTTATTAATCCAACCCAACTAATGTAATGAAGAAACAGTGGTTTGTCAATTAAAATTTATTCTTTTGTGATAATGGATAAAATATAAATAAAAGGAATTTATTCATTAAAATATGTATGACCCATTGCCAGAGAATACATGAGACAAATATAACAACTGTGGCCATCCAATTTCAATAGGGAGACTAATGACTTGTTCACATGGAATCATTTCTTGTTCTTATATAATCAATAATGCTGAAGCTAAAGAAAGTTGACCTGCTTGCCAATTCTTTGCCCCATATCTTGAATCCGGCGACAACAGGCATCAACTAAAGCGAATTTCCTAATGCTGATAAAGATTTCAAAGATCTCTCTGACATTGAAAGCCAACCTTTCAAGAAACCCAGAACTTCTGAAGTTGTATTGATCTCTGCGATTCCCATGGCGCAGAATAAAACGTTGCCTTGTAATTTCAAAACCAGACTTTGCAATAACTTCAAAATGGGTAATTGCCATTATGGGCAGAGATGTTGTTTTGCCCATGGAATCAGTGATCTCCGCAAGACTAGGCGTAATTGGCAAGGACTGGAAACTGAGGAGGGCTTCAAGGCCAGGACTTGTGATCATAGAAGAACTTCTAATGATGTATGCAGATTGTTCTTGAATGGGGGAAAATGCACATATGGAGACAAATGCCGCTATCCTCATCATGTAACTCCTGAAAACATCAGAGAGAAGTCAGCGATAAGCATTTCAACTACTGGGGCTCACATTGGTGGTTCTGGTCAATTTTACAGCAAGAGGTCTTTGGGTATAGATTTTGACTCTACTAAAAGTTTAATTTGTTGAAAATGTTGATTATTTCGGGTCCAGCATATGGTAGCTTTGCTGATGTTTACTTGCTATAAGTTTGGTCATACGAATATTTTACATGTTATATTCTTAGCATATTTCACCTTTATTAATCCAACTACTGTAATGAAGTAACATTGGTGTGCCAAAATTAAAATTTATTATTAGTCATAGCATGCTCGGGGGATATTGGTCTAATGGAATGCATGATTGGGGGTGTGAAAAATACACATGCCTTTTTTTTATTTATAGAAATTCGGAGGACGTTAACTTATGGTGGTGTGACAAACTAGGGATTTTGAAAACTACATATATATATATATATATACACCCCTATCTCTCTCTAAATTTACATTGACAATTTTGTATGTATTTTGGTTGTATTTAATTATTCTGGTAACTCTCTCGCCATAAACTGCTGCTACACTGCAGCCACACAATACAAAAGCTCACACCTACACTGCAGCCACACAATACAAAAGCTCACACGTCACCTTCTAAATGCCATAGTTGACTTAACTTACAGCCTGTAAAGTCTTCCTGTAAGTGACGTTATTGTTAGAAAGATTAAAAATAATATATAAATTCACATTGACAATTTTCCTGTAAGATATGTATTTTGGTTGTATTTAATTATTCTGGTAACTCTCTCGCCATAAACTGCGGCTACACTGCAGCCACACAATACAAAAGCTCACACGTCACCTTCTAAATGCCATAGTTGACTTTAAAGACTGTAAAGTATTCCTGTAAGTAACATTATTGTTATAAAGATTAAGAAATCATTGGTGAATCTCTTACAATCTTGTGCACAAAGCAAGCAAAGCAATGGGTAGTGTCTTGTCAATCTCCTTATCATGCGATGCCATTGTTTCACGTTGCTGGGATTCCGTTTTTAAAAGAGAACCGTATGTACGTAAGCTCCAAGAAAACCTTCAAGCTCTCTCAACTTCTTTACAAGAACTCAAGTCTTTAAAGAATGATGTGCAGAGAGAGGTTGAGATTGCAGAGCGACAGCCGCGATTAAGGCGGTTAGAGCGGGTAAATAACTGGATTTTAAGCGTGGAGGCTCTTGAGACTGAAATGAACGAAGTTATTGAAAGCCATAGCACTCAAGAAATTGAGAAATTATGCTGCGGAGGTTACTGCCCCAAGAACTACAGATCCAGCTACAAGTATGGAAAAAAAGTTGCTAGAAAGTTGGTGGAAGTGGAGGCTTTGAAAAGAAAGGGAGTTTTTGAAGAGGTGGCAGCAGAAAGCTTACCTACAACTCTAGTTGATGTGAGACCTAGTGAGACAACAGTGGGCATGGAGCCGATTTTTAATCTGGTTTGGAGACACGTTGAAGAAGAACAAGTGGGAATGATTGGCCTATATGGAATGGGAGGGGTGGGGAAGACCACCCTCCTTACCCAGATCCATAACAACTTCAACTGCGCTCGTAATGATTTCAATCTTGTGATCTGGATTGTGGTATCCAAGGGCCACAAAATTGAAGTTATTCAAGATAAGATTGGTGAAAAGATTGGGCTGTTTAGTGGTGTATGGAAGCGTAAAAAGCAGCATGAAAAAGCTGAAGACATCTTCAGAATCTTGAACACAAAGAAGTTTGTGTTATTAATGGATGATTTATGGGAGCCAGTTGAATTAACCAAAGTAGGGGTTCCAGCTCCTAACAGTCGGAACAAGTTCAAGATAGTTTTCACAACTCGCTCTGAGGAGGTATGTGGTCATATGGATGCCCATAAGAAGATTAAGGTGGGGTGTTTGACTTGGGACAAAGCATGGAACTTGTTTCAGGAGAAGGTTGGGAAAGAAACACTTCTTCTTCATCCAGATATCCCCAAGCATGCTGAAATTGTGGCGAAAGAGTGTGGCGGTTTGCCACTGGCACTCATCACAGTGGGCAGGGTCATGGCCTGTAAGAAAACACCCCAAGAGTGGAAGCATGCAGTTCAAGTCCTGAGAAGACTTGCCTCCAGGTTTTCAGGAATGGGAGATAAGGTATTCCCTCTTTTAAAATTCAGTTACGATAATTTACCAAGTCAAAAAGTTAGATCATGTTTCTTATACTGTGCTCTGTTTCCGGAAGATTTTGTTATACTTAAAGATGACTTGGTATATTTTTGGATGTGTGAGGATATATTAGATGAATATGGTAATGTAGAGGAAGCCAAAAATGAGAGTTACCATATCATAGGAACTCTTCTTGCCTCATGTTTGTTGGAAGATGAAGGAGATTCAGTAAAAATGCATGATGTAATTCGTGACATGGCATTGTGGTTAGCTTGTGACCTTGGGAAAGAAGGCGAGAGCATCCTTGTGGATACAGGTGCTTATCATGCCCCAAATGTTGCGAAATGGAAGAACGTGAAAAGGGTTTCATTGACGGGTAGTGGTATCAAATCTCTAGATGAAACACCAAGATCTCCCAATCTGTTGACCTTATTTCTCAGAGGAACTTTTTTAGAAAGGATTGTGAATGACTTCTTTGATTTCATGCCTACGCTACAAGTTCTGGATTTGTCTCAAAATGTCTTTATAACTCAACTGCCAACTGGAGTTGCAAATCTAGTTTCATTACAACATCTGAATTTGTCCTATACATGCATAAAATGGTTGCCGATGGAGTTAGCAGTATGTGCACGCCTAAAGTATTTGAACTTTGAGCATACACTTCTGCTTGATTATGTTCCACCAAATATATTATCAAATTTCCCGCTACTTAAAGTTTTGAGAATACTAGATTGTGGTTCTTCTAACCGAGTTTTTTTTTATAATGAAAAAACCATGATAGACGAACTGCAGGGTTTGAAACACCTTGACGTCTTGTCTTTGACAGTAGGAGATACCTCTTGTTTCCGGAATTTGGACATCCACCACATATTAGTGACTTGCACTCTAACTTTATGCCTCAATGGCGAGGATTACGTGAACCCTTCAAGCTATTTTGATTTATCAGATGTGGCGATGGTAAATATGAAATACCTTGATACCCTTCAAATTAAACATATGGTGGATGTGTACTCTACGTGGATAACACGTCTGGAAAATCCGGATTGCTTCCTTGGTCTTCAGTTCATAGTAGTAGTAAATTGCACGAATCTCAAGAACCTGGAATGGCTCGTTTTTGCTCCAAATCTCATCCGCTTGCATGTATATCGCTGCTGTAAAATGACGAGAATACTCGGTTTGAACACAACGGAAACTACCCCATTTGCAAAACTCACTGTTTTGTGTTTGAGCAGACTACCCCACTTGTGGAGAATATGTGAAAATCCCTTGCCCGTTCCATTTTTAAAGAAAATCCTTATATATGGATGTCCAATGCTCACTAGGCTACCTCTCAACTCTAGCAGTGCTCAAACAAGTAATCTCATTATTGAAGGAGAGGAAAAGTGGTGGAATAGCTTAGAGTGGGAGGACCAAGCGGCTCAAAATGCTTTTCTTCCCTGCTTTAGACCTGTAAGTGAGGAGGGGCTTCCCTGATATGTCCGTTCACCAGTTTAATTGGATGCATCTTTTTACTCCAATAGCATTTAAGGCAATGTATTATAGTCCGGCTTTGTACATGATGTCTGAACTTTAATAATTACATGATTGTCAATATGTTATTGCTAATGTATTGATATTATTATCGCCAACAAATCGTTCCGACATGTTGATGGTTCTGGTTAATTTTACAACAAGAGGTCTCGATGTATGGATTTTGACACAACAAGAGGTCTCGAGGTAAGTTTAATTTCCTAATGTTTCCATGTTATAAGTTTGGTAATATGAGATGTTATATTGTTAGTATATTTCCCTTTATTAATCCAACCCAACTAATGTAATGAAGAAACAGTGGTTTGTCAATTAAAATTTATTCTTTTGTGATAATGGATAAAATATAAATAAAAGGAATTTATTCATTAAAATATGTATGACCCATTGCCAGAGAATACATGAGACAAATATAACAACTGTGGCCATCCAATTTCAATAGGGAGACTAATGACTTGTTCACATGGAATCATTTCTTGTTCTTATGTAATTAATAATGCTGAAGCTAAAGAAAGTTGACCCAATAATTATTAATTTGAACAAGCATGATAAGCAATATCCAATATTGAAATTGGCCAGAATAGTTTATAAACTATATTACTTTATATTATCAATTAATTCAAGCGCAGAGAACCACAACAAAGATCAAAACCTGTTTGATTACTCCATTGAATTATTTGTTATACTTGTGGATGTGGGAGGAAGTTTTGGATTAGTATAGTAGTGTTTTCGAAGCAAAATTTGAGACATCTTGAATCCCATACAATTTGGGATTATCCTAATCTGGAGCAACTGAAGATTAAATGTGTCGGCCGATGAGCATATAATGATCTTCATAACTCAGTGATGACAAACCAGAGTTTCACCATTTAACATTCGAAAGATGCAAAAATCTCAAGGACCTGAATGTGGAAAAATAGATTAAACCATTTGCAAATATACGAGATTGTATTGCCATTTTTATATCTATATCTCAATGTATACAACTGATATTTTCTCCACGAGCTTCCCATTTACCTGGCAGAAGGCCTAATGGTAAGAGCATACTCAGCCTCGACCCACTTTCCCTTGTCATCCCATCTACTCAATTAAACATGTCATTAATGGATGCAAAATACAGTCAGGGTTTAGGGTTTTCCATTTTTCACAAACATTTTGGTTTCATAACAATCTAGCTGAGGCGCATAATGTTTAGAACTTTCACTTAGGTACCTTCTCATCTGGGTTTTCTGAATATTTCAATTTGGTCCATTCCCAACTTAGAAATGTTCATCTGGATTGTGATACATTGCGAATTTGCAAACATTGAAACAGAATGGCTCTCATTTCTTGATTGATACCCACTGATTTGTTCTGAATTTGCACCTGGGTTTTCTTGAATTTCAGCTCCAACTATGTCTCGAGCATAGTTTTCTTCTGGGTTCTTTGACATTTCAACAAACAGTTTGAGCTCCAACTTGGTTTTAAGTTCTGTTCTGTACCAACATGAGCGATTCTGGACCTACTTGCCAATTCTTTGCCCCATATCTTGAATCCGGTGACAACAGGCATCAACTAAAGCCTGAATTTCCTAATGCTGATAAAGATTTCAAAGATCTCTCTGACATTGAAAGCCAACCTTTCAAGAAACCCAGAACTTCTGAAGTTGTATTGATCTCTGCGATTCCCATGGCGCAGAATAATTTGTTGCCTTGTAATTTCAAAACCAGACTTTGCAATAACTTCAAAATGGGTAATTGCCATTATGGGCAGAGCTGTTGTTTTGCCCATGGAATCAGTGATCTCCGCAAGACTAGGCGTAATTGGCAAGGACTGGAAACTGAGGAGGGCTTCAAGACCAGGACTTATGATCATAGAAGAACTTCTAATGATGTATGCAGATTGTTCTCTAGTGGGGGAAAATGCTCATATGGAGACAAATGCCTCTATCCTCATCATGTAACTCCTGAAAACATTGGTGAACTCAAAAAATCTTACCTTCTTCATCATTGTCTCTTTCTTCCATGTTTATATGCCTTTCATTAAAGCTTTTGTTGCTGTACCAACCAGAACTCAGAAGAATATCTAATAAGATTATTGGGAGTGTATGAGGCGAGAGAGAGAGAGACGACGACGATGAGATTGAAGAAGACGAGAGGTTGCGTGTTATTTTTAGGGTTTAGAAAAGGGCCTGGGCAAGAGAGAAGGGCCTGGGCTTCAAAAAATACAACACTAAATGGATTTTGTATTATGAAATCACTAAAGTAACCACTAATAAGTAACAAATAATAATTTAATAATTTAATATTTTAAATCAAAAAAATATTATACTATTTGTTTAATATAAAATTTATATATCCTTTTGTTTTTCAGGATTTTGGTATAAATTTATAATTTATAATACTAAATAATTTATTTAAAAAAAACATAGGCACTCGCATAGGCTCCGATTACTCCTCTAGGCGCTAGTTCCATGCCTAATGCCCCCTTAATTCCCTTTTGTTTGTGTTCATAATTAACTAAAAATTAGTTGCATTGCATTGCATGACATTTAGATTTAACTTTTCTGGTATAATTTTTCTCAAAACTGTAAACAAATAAGCAATTTCGTCAGTTCTCAATTGATTGTGCAGTGGCTATATGTCTCCGGAGTATGCCATAGATGGGATGTTTTCCAAAAAATCTAATGGCTATAGCTTCGGGTTCTTGCAATTGGAGATTATTTGTGGCAAAAAGAATACCAGCTATATTGGGGTCAAAATCTCTACAGACCCTTTGGTTTCCCAAATGATGAAGGGTTAAACACTTTTTATTTATTTTTAACAAAACCAAGAGAGAACAAGAGAGAAATAAGAAAGAAAGTGGAAGGAGAAAGAGAGACAGCTACGTAAGAGAGAACAAGAGAAGAAAAATGAAGAAGAAAGAGAAGGAAAGAATCATGTATAAAACATTTTGGGGAGGGCCGGCCCCGAAAATTGTTGTAAAGTCTTTGAGTGGAGCCCACATTTGGAAATAATGAAGAACATCATGATGAAAGTGTTGTGGAAGTGGAATCCACGTATTTTGGTTGTACTTAATTACTCTCTCACCATAAACTGCTGCTATTTAATTTTCTGTACTGCAGCCGCAAAATATAAAAGCTCCCACATTACCTTACAGCCTGTAAAGTAAAGCAATGGCTAAAGTCTTCCTGTAAGTGAATTATTGTTAGAAAGATTAAGAAATCTTTGGTGAATTTCTCTTACAATCTTGTGCGCAGAGCGGCGGAGCAAGCAAAGCAATGGGTAGCTGCTTGTCAATCTCCTTATCATGCAATGACATTGTTTCACGCTACTGGGATTCCATTTTTGAAAGAGTACGGTATGTACGTAAGCTCCAAGAAAACCTTCAAGCTCTCACAACTAATTTACAAGAACTCAAGTCTTTAAAGGATGATGTGCAAAGAAAGGTTGAGCTTGCAGAGCGGCAACCGCGATTAAAGCGAATAATTGGATTTTAAGTGTGGAGGCTCTTGAGACTGGAATTAACAAAGTTATTGTAAGCCATAGAACTCAAGAAATTGAGAAATTTTGCTGCGGAGGTTACTGCTCCAAGAACTACAGATCCAGCTACAAGTATGGAAAAAAAGTTGCTAGAAAGTTGGTGGAAGTGGAGGCTTTGAAAAGCAATGGAGTTTTTGAAGAAGTGGCAGCAGAAAGCTTACCTACAGCTCTAGTCGATGTGATACCTAATGAGCCAACAGTGGGCATGGGGCCGATTTTTGATTAGGTTTGGAGACACGTTGAAGATGAACAAGTGGGAATGATTGGCTTATATGGAATGGGAGGGGTGGGGAAGACCACCCTCCTTACCCAGATCCATAACAACTTCAACCTCACTCGTAATGATTTCAATCTTGTGATCTGGATTGTTGTATCCAAGGGCCACAAAATTGAAGTTATTCAAGATAAGATTGGTGAAAAGATTGGGTTGTCTATTGGTGAATGGAAGCATAAAGAGCAGCATGAAAAAGCTAAAGACATCTTCGGAATCTTGAACACAAAGAAGTTTGTGTTATTTATGGATGATTTATGGGAGCGGGTTGAATTAACCAAAGTAGGGGTTCCAGTTCCTGACAGTCGGAACAAGTTCAAGATAGTTTTCACAACTCGCTCTGAGGGTGTATATGGTCATATGGGTGCCCAGAAGAAGATTAATGTGGAGTGTTTGACTTGGGACAAAGCATGGAACTTGTTTCAGGAGAAGGTTGGGAAAGAAACACTACTTCTTCATCCAGATATCCCCAAGCATGCTGAAGATATGGCGAAGGAGTGTGGCCGTTTGCCACTGGCACTCATCACAGTGGGCAAGGTCATGGCCTGCAAGAAAACACCAGAAGAGTGGAAGCATGCAGGTCAAGTCCTGAAAGAACTTGCCTCCGAGTTTTCAGGAATGGAAGAAAAGGTATTCTCTCCTTTGAAATTCAGTTACGATAATTTACCAAGTCCGAAAGTTAAATCATGTTTCTTATACTGTGCTCTGTTTCTGGAAGATTTTGTTATACGTAAAGATGACTTGGTATATTATTGGATGTGTGAGGATATATTAGCTGAATATGGTAAAGTAGAGAAAGCCAAAAATGAGAGTTACAATATCATAAGAACTCTTATTACCTCATGTATGTTGGAAGAAGAAGGAGATTCAGTAAAAATGCATGATGTAATTCGTGACATGGCATTGTGGTCAGCTTGTGACCTTGGGAAAGAAGGCGAGAACATCCTTGTGGATACAGGTGCTTATGATGTTGCGAAATGGAAGAACGCAAAAAGGGTTTCATTGATGGGTGGTGGTACCAAATCTCTAGATGAAACACCAAGATCTCCCAATCTATTGACCTTATTTCTCAGAGGAAGTTTATTAGAGAGGATTGTGGATGGCTTCTTTGGTTTCATGCCTACGCTACGAGTTCTGGATTTGTCTGAAAATTACTCTATAACTCAACTGCCAACTGGAATTGCAAATCTAGTTTCATTACAACATCTGAATTTGTCCTGTACAGGCATAAAACGGTTCCCGATGGAGTTAGCAGCATGTGCATGCCTAAAGTATTTGAACTTAGAGTATACACGTAGTCTTGATTATGTTCCACCAAATATATTATCAAATTTCCCGAGGCTTAAAGTTTTGAGAATACTAGATTGTGGTTCTTCTAACCGAGTTTTTTTTGACAATGAGAAAACCATGATAGAAGAACTGCAGGGTTTGAAACACCTTGACGTCTTGTCTTTGACAGTAGGAGGTACCTCTTGTTTCCAGAATTTGGACAGCCACCACATATTAGTGACTTGCACTCTAACTTTATGCCTCAACGGGACCCATTCAAGCTATCTTGATTTATCAGATGTGGCGATGGCAAATATGAAATACCTATTCAAGCTTCTGATTAAAGATATGGTGGATGTGTACTCTACGTGGATAACACGTCTGAAAAATCTGAATTGCTTCCTTGGTCTTCAGTTCGTAGTAGTAGGAAATTGCACGAATCTCAAGAACCTGGAATGGCTCGTTTTTGCTCCAAATCTCATCAACTTGGGTGTATATGACTGCTCTAAAATGACAAGAATACTCGGTTTGAACACAACGGAAACTACCCCATTTGCAAAACTCACTGTTTTGCTTTTGATCTCACTACCCCAGTTGTGGTGAATATGCGAAAATCCCTTGCCCGTTCCATTTCTGAAGAAAATCATTGTAGTTCGATGTCCAGTGCTCACTAGGCTGCCTCTTAACTCTAGCAGTGCTCAAACAAGTAATCTCATTATTAAAGGAGAGGAAGAATGGTAGAATGACTTAGAGTGGGAGGACCAAGCGGCTCGAAATGCTTTTCTTCCCTACTTCAGACCCTTAATGTAAGTGAGGAGGGGCTTCCCTGATATGTCCGTTCACCAGTTTAATTAAAATATGTTTGACCCATTGCCAGAGAATACATGAGACATATATAATATAATATTCGATGTTTCAATTTATTATTATTATTTTTTGCTGATAGCGCAATTGGTCTATTTAAATAATGGCAAAAGAAAAAGTAATTGGTCTATTTTTTTTATAAAAAAAAACACTATCATAATATATCATATCTTAATAAATGATTTTATAGGTTGGGCACCTGGAATTATTAGTTCTACAATTTGTAAATGTTGTTCTGTCGGAGTCAAAGCATAGAATCACTTCAACCAAGTAATCGGCTGTTCTTATCGCGCTTAATTAGGAGTTGTGCTTGATTAGTTGTTTCTCTATACTGGCAGTTTCAATTTCACCAAACTTCTTGTTTGGCTCAAACTTGGCATCCTCAAAGATTTTACTAACCTTATACCTTCTGTAAGGATTTAAGGACTGGTTGAATTTTGTACACTTTCCATGTTTATTCCACTGGTGAGCCCAAAATCGTTCATATATCTGTCGGAAAAAGCACCCTTGGCCAAGATTTTTATCAAGTCAGATGACAAATTCTACATCTGTGCAATATGAAAAATAAATTTTGTAACACTAAAATGAGAATAAAAATTATATGTACGACACCTTATCCATCTTAAAATCGGCATTAGGATGCTACTGACACACTTTTCGGGTATGAGTTTTCCCGAATTTAGACTTGGCCAAAGGCCGTGAATTGTAAAGAGTTTTGATGGGATTTCAGTGCATGAGACCTCTTCTTCAAGGTGGCACAAACACCACGTTACCGTTGCTGCCTAAATTGAAAAGACTAGTAATAAGAAGCTTTTGCTAAAAATATTAGGCATAAGAAGAAGATAATGGAAATGGGTATGATGATTCGTAATATCAAAGAAGGAGATTGAGAAGCAATTTAAAACTCTAACACCAAAGAAAGATCGATATTATTGAAATATGAACTTGTCACGCAATGTAGTATCACCTATTTATAATGAAACTTTTGTGCAACATGTCATGTGGGATTACTTCACCTAATTTGAGCAACATGTCATTTGGTCCACAGAAGGTAGAGAGTATATGTGTAAAGTTTGCTACATCATTTTGCTGATATGGTACGTCTTCATTGGTTAAAATCTTTTCATTCCATTTAGTGACTTCCCCTATTAAAATATAATTTTTTGTATACTTATTTTCCCATAATAAATTTATTTTCCTTCACAAATAAGATTTAGTTTTCTTTTTTGCTGCAGAACAAAAATAACTTGTTAAATTGTTTTTGTAAAAGAAAAAATTAAACATTAACAGAGAACAAAATAAAAGAAACGGCTTCTGAAGAACACGAAGAAACGGCCCTTTCATAGTACGGCCTATTGTAGTTCTCTCAGACAAGCAAAAGGGAGAAGAAGAAGAAGGAGGAGGAGGTGGTAAGAGGAAAAGAGAGAGAAGAAATGGATTGGATCGGTGAGACCGTGGACTCTATCAAATCCCTTCAGATCCGGCAGGTCCTCACCCAGGCCGTCAGTCTCGGTTCGAAAACCCTTAAACCCACTGTTTCCCTCTCTCTATTTTTCTCGTTCTGGGTCGTATTCTTAGGAATTTATACTTTCTATTATCTATTTGAGTAATGAGAGTTTCTTTACTCTCTTTTTTCATGTGCTCTAAAGAGAAATGGTAAGTTGTTAATGTACATAACCTTCATTTTGGGCATTTGAGCAGTGTCTTTTCTATTTTGTTTTTAAAGTACATAACCTTCATTTTGTACTGATCATTACAAAAATGGCACCCATTATCGGTAGCCATTTGTAGTGATGAACCAGAGGCAGTTATGATATCCTGCAGAACCAATCTAGAGTCATGAATTGCTGATTGTTCACATTCATCAATGTCCCTTTTGATTGACTAAGAGATGCTCAATATTGTGGGATGTGCAATGATTCTCAGAAAACTAAACTCTGAGTCGTATCATTGTTTTACAGAACTAATGAAGCTTTGTGGCTATATGGCAGTGGAATCTAGAAGTGTGCAGAATTCGAGGACTTCTTCTACAAGTATGTCAAAACTTAGGATGGGAATTGGGGCTACTTATCATAAACAAGTGCAGGGTATGGAATGCAACTTCAAGTGGAACGAACTCGAGAAAATGAGTCGCATCTATGCTGATTGGATTGAAGATATCCCCCTTGTACATGGCTCATCAAGCAAAGCGGAGTGCTGATTGAGTTTAGGGATTTCAGTCGTTACTTTGCTTTTGTAAAGACGTATTTTCTTTTTACAAGTGTGGTGTGTCAAATGGATGTAACTAGCAGAAAATTGGTTCGTGTAGTGTGAACTGACTTGAAAATGTTATTTGCAAGTAACTCTCAGAGAATGCTCCTTAGCTATGTGTATGTGTGTTCTTGGTTGTGTGTGTATGAATCTGATTGTGGCTGCTCAAAACCTACCGTATGTGTTTGCTGTTGTGTTAGACTCTAGTTAATTCCAGTTGGTAAATTTGTAGAAAATCAGTAATGAGGAATGGTTAAAAATATTCCGTCATCTGTAGTATAGTGTAGCTTTGCTTACCAGTAAAAGTACGTTAAAAAATATCGAAAGTTCAAAACTCTACTCCTCAATCTGTTTGTTTTTCTATAATTGGAGGGCCATGGCCGTCGCCCTCAGGGCCGGCCCTGAAAATTGTTGTAAAGTCTTTGAGTGGAGCCCACATTTGGAAATAGTGAATGTCATTCATCTATTTTTCTCATCAAATGTCTACAAAGGGCGCGTGATATAGAAAAGTTCTTTTAAGTCTGACTTTTCTTTCATTAAAAATGGATATATATATATTAAAAATCTAGAAGGAAAAAATAAAAATAAAAATTCAGCCTATTGGCCCAAGGCTAAACCGAGAAGCCGAAATTACAAAACCAAAAGGCCCCAGCCCAGAAATACCAACCAAAAAAAAACAGGGCACCGAGGCAACAGGGGATCAACCAAATAATAATAAGAAATGAAAATAAATAATAAGAAACCAGCTCAAAGATCTGCGCAGGAGCAGAAGACCCCGAAAGCCAACCAAAGAAAAGATACCAACTCCCACCAAAACCAGCAACCGGAACGTTTCAATTCTGCACACAGATTGGTTTTGGAAAGCTTTGAATCGTATAGAAAATTTGACCTTTTTCGAGCTATGATACTTGCAGTCTTGTTCGCCAACTCGGAAGGCAACATCCTAGTTGAACGGTAAGTGCGGATCTACATCTTCCGTTCTTTATTCAAAATGGTTTCACGCTACACCTACACAATATAATATATAAAGCTCCCACGTTACCTTACAGCCTGTAAAGTAAAGCAAATGGCTAAAGTCTTCCTGTTTCTACACTGCAGCCAGACAATATAAAAGCTCCCACGCCACCTTCTAAAACGCCATAGTTGACTTACAGCCTGGAAGTGAATTATTGTTAGAAAGATTAAGAAATCTTTGGTGAATTTCTCTTACAATCTTGTGCGCAGAGCAAGCTAAGCAATGGGTAGCTGCTTGTCAATCTCCTTATCATGCGATGACATGGTTTCATGCTGCTGGGATTCCGTTTTTGAAAGAGTACGGTATGTACGTAACCTCCAAGAAAACCTTCAAGCTCTCTCAACTTCTTTACAAGAACTCAAGGCTTTAAAGGATGATGTGCAAAGAAAGGTTGACCTTGCAGAGCGGCAACCGCGATTAAAGCGGTTAGAGCAGGTAAATAACTGGATTTTAAGTGCGGAGGCTCTTGAGACTGAAATTAACAAAGTTATTATAAGCCATAGCACTCAAGAAATTGAGAAATTATGCTGCGGAGGTTACTGCTCCAAGAACTACAGATCTAGCTACAAGTATGGAAAAAAAGTTGCTAAGAAGTTGCTGGAAGTGGAGGCTTTGAAAAGCAAGGGAGTTTTTGAAGAGGTGGCAGCAGAAAGCTTACCTACAGCTCTAGTTGATGTGATACCTAGTGAGCCAACAGTGGGCATGGAGCCGATTTTTTATCAGGTTTGGAGTCACCTTGAAGATGAACAAGTGGGAATGATTGGCTTATATGGAATGGGAGGGGTAGGGAAGACCACCCTCCTTACCCAAATCCATAACAATTTCAACCGCATTCGTAATGATTTCAATCTTGTGATCTGGATTGTGGTATCCAAGGGCCACAAAATTGAAGTTATTCAAGATAAGATTGGTGAAAAGATTGGGCTGTCTAGTGGTGAATGGAAGCATAAAGAGCAGTGTGAAAAAGCTAAAGACATCTTCGGAATCTTGAACACAAAGAAGTTTGTGTTATTAATGGATGATTTATGGGAGCCGGTTGAATTAACCGAAGTAGGGGTTCCAGCTCCTGACAGTCGGAACAAGTTCAAGATAGTTTTCACAACTCGCTCTGAGGAGGTATGTGGTCAGATGGATGCCCAGAAGAAGATTAAGGTGGGGTGTTTGACTTGGGAAAAAGCATGGAACTTGTTTCAGGAGAAGGTTGGGAAAGAAACACTTCTTCTTCATCCAGATATCCCCGAGCATGCTGAAATTGTGGCGAAGGAGTGTGGTGGTTTGCCATTGGCACTCATCACAGTGGGCAAGGTCATGGCCTGCAAGAAAACACCCCAAGAGTGGAAGCATGCAGTTCAAGTCCTGAGAAGAGTTGCCTCCGAGTTTTCAGGAATGGGAGATAAGGTATTTCCCTCTTTTAAAATTCAGTTACGATAATTTACCAAGTCAGAAAGTTAGATCATGTTTTTTATATTGTGCTCTATTTCCAGAAGATTTTGTTATACTTAAAGATGACTTGGTATATTTTTGGATGTGTGAGGAGGATATATTAGATGAATATGGTAATGTAGAGGAAGCCAAAAATGAGAGTTACCATATCATAGGAACTCTTCTTACCTCATGTTTGTTGGAAGATGAAGGAGATTCAGTAAAAATGCATGATGTAATTCGTGACATGGCATTGTGGTTAGCTTGGAAAGAAGGCGAGAACATCCTTGTGGATACAGGTGCATATCATGCACCACATGTTGCGAAATGGTGGAACGCGAAAAGGGTTTCATTGATGGGTAGTGGTATCAAATCTCTAGATGAAACACCAAGATCTCCCAATCTGTTGACCTTATTTCTCAGAGGAAGATTTTTAAAGAGGATTGTGGATGACTTCTTTGATTTCATGCCTACGCTACGAGTTCTGGATTTGTCTGAAAATAACTTTATAACTCAACTGCCAACTGGAGTTGCAAATCTAGTTTCATTACAACATCTGAATTTGTCCAAAACAGGCATAAAACGGTTGCCGGTGGAGTTAGCAGCATGTGCACGCCTAAAGCATTTGAACTTAGAGTATACATATGATCTTGATTATGTTCCACCAAATATATTATCAAATTTCCCGAGGCTTAAAGTTTTGAGAATACTATATTGTGGTTCTTCTAACCGAGTTTTTTTTTATAATGAGAAAACCATGATAGACGAACTGCAGGGTTTGAAACACCTTGACGTCTTGTCTTTGACAGTAGGAGGTACCTCTTGTTTCCGGAATTTGGACAGTCACCACATATTAGTGACTTGCACTCTAACTTTATGCCTCATGGGCGAGAACCCTTCAAGCTATCTTGATTTATCAGATGTGGCGATGGCAAATATGAAATACCTTGATACCCTTCTAATTAAACGTAAGGTGGATGTGTACTCTATGTCGATAACACGTCTGGAAAATCCGAATTGCTTCCTTGGTCTTCAATTCGTAGTAGTAGTAAATTGCACGAATCTCAAGAACCTGGAATGGCTTGTTTTTGCTCCAAATCTCATCCACTTGGAGGTATATGGCTGCTCTAAAATGACGAGAATACTCAGTTTGGACACAACGGAAACTACCCCATTTGCAAAACTCACTGTTTTGCGTTTGAGCGCACTACCCCAGTTGTGGAGAATATGCGAAAATCCCTTGCCCGTTCCATTTCTGAAGGAAAATCCATATATCTGGTTGTCCAGTGCTCACTAGGCTGCCTCTCAACTCTAGCAGTGCTCAAACAAGTAATCTCATTATTGAAGGACAGGAAGAGTGGTGGAATGGCTTAGAGTGGGAGGACCAAGCGGCTCGAAATGCTTTTCTTCCCTGCTTCAGACCCTGTAAGTGAGGAGAGGCTTCCCTAAAATGTTCGTTCACCAGTTTAATTTGATACATCTTTTTATTCCAATAGCATTTAAGGCAATGTATTATAGTCTGGCTGTGTACATGATGTCAGAACTTTAATAATTACATGATTGTCAATATGTTATCACTAATGTATTGATATTATTATCGCCAATAAATCGTTCCAACATGTTGATGATTCTGTTAATTTTACAAGAAGAGGTCTTGAGGTTTGAATTTTGACACAACAAGAGGTCTCGAGGTAAGTAGTTTAATTTGCTAATGTTTCCATGTTATAAGTTTGGTAATATGAGATTTTATATTGTTAGTATATTTCCCTTTATTAATCCAACCCAACTAATGTAATGAAGAGAAACAGTGGTTTGTCAATTAAAATTTATTCTTTTGTGATAATGGATAAAATATAAATAAAAAGAATTTATTCATTAAAATATGTATGACCCATTGCCAGAGAATACATGAGACAATATAACAACTGTGGCCATCCAATTTCAATAGGGAGACTAATGACTTGTTCACATTGAATATGCGAAAATCCCTTGCCCGTCTATTTCTGAAGAAAATCATTATAGTTCGATGTCCAGTGCTCACTAGGCTGCCTCTCAACTCTAACAGTGCTCAAACAAGTAATCTCATTATTAAAGGAGAGGAAGAGTGGTGGAATGGCTTAGAGTGGGAGGACCAAGCGGCTCGAAATGCTTTTCTTCTCTGCTTCAGACCCTTAATGTAAGTGAGGATGGGCTTTCCTGATACGTCCGTTCACCAGTTTAATTAAAATATGTATGACCCATTGCTAGAGAATACATGAGACATATATAATAATATTGGATGTTTCAATTTATTATTATTATTTTTTATAATAGCGCAATTGGTCTATTTAAATAATGGCAAAAGAAAAAGTAATTGGTCTATTTTAAAAAAAAACACTATCATAATATATCATATCTTAATAATGATTTATCGGTTGGGCACCTGGATTATTAGTTCTACAATTTGTAAATGTTGTTCCGTCGGAGTCAAAGCTAGAATCACTTCAACCAAGTAATCGGCTGTTCTTATCGCGCTTAATTAGGAGTTGTGCTTGAGTAGTTGTTTCTCTATACTGGCAGTTTCAATTTCACCAAACTTCTTGTTCGGCTCAAACTTGGCATCCTCAAAGATTTTACTAACCTTATACCCTATGTAAGGATTTAAGGACTGGTTGAATTTGTACACTTTCCATGTTTATTCCACTGGTGAGCCTAAAATCATTCATATATCTGTCGGAAAAAGCACCCTTGGCCAAGTTTTTATCAAGTCAGATGACAAATTCTGCATCTGTGCAATATTAAAAATAATTTTGTAACACTAAAATGAGAATAAAATTATATGTACGACACCTTGTCCATCTTAAAATCAGCATCAAGATGCTACTGACACACTTTTCGGGTATGAGTTTTCCCGAATTTAGACTTGGCCAAAGGCCGTGAATTGTAAAGAGTTTTGATAGGATTTCAGTGCACGAGACCTCTTCTTCAAGCTGGCACAGACACCACGTTGCCGTTGCTGCCTAAATTGAAAAGGCTAGTAATAAGAAGCTTTTGCTGAAAATATTAGGCATAAGAAGAAGATAATGAAAATGGGTATGATGATTCGTAATATCAAAGAAGGAGATTCAGAAGCAATTTGAAACTCTAACACCAAAGAAAGATCGATATTATTGAAATATGAACTTGTCAACAATGTAGTATCACATATTTATAATGAAAGTTTTGAGCAACATGTCATGTGGGACTACTTCACCTAATTTGAGCAACATGTCATTTGGTCCACAGAAGGTAGAGAGTATATGTGTAAAGTTTGCTACATCATTTTGCTGATATGGTACGTCTTCATTGGTTAATATCTTTTCATTCCATTTAGTGACTTCCCTATGAAAATATAATTTTTTGTATATTATTTTCCCATAATAAATTTATTTTCCTTCACAAATAAAATTTAGTTTTCTTTTTTGCTGCAGAACAAAAATAACTTGTTAAATTGTTTTTTTTAAAGAAAAAAATTAAACAATAACAGAGAACAAACTAAAAGAAACGGCTTCTGAAGAACACGAGAAGAAGAACGGCCTTTTAGTAGGCCTATTGTAGTTCTCTCAGACAAGCAAAAGGGAGAGAAGAAGAAGAAGAAGGAGGGGTAAGAGGCAAAGAGAGAGAAGAAATGGATTGGATCGGTGAGACCGTGGACTCTATCAAATCCCTTCAGATCCGGCAGGTCCTCACCCAGGCCGTCAGTCTCGGTTCGAAAACCCTTAAACCCACTGTTTCCCTCTCTCTATTTTTCTCGTTCTGGGTCGTATTCTTAGGAATTTATACTTTCTATTATCTATTTGGGTAATGAGAAAATGTGGGTAGGCATCAAAATGTGATGTTTTCAACGTTTACTTTTCATTGTTTTTTCTCCAGGCGGTTTTGGAGAGTAAAGCTTGAAACTTTACTGAGCTTAGTGATAATTATAGGGTATTATTAAAAAATAAATAATGTGAATGAATTGTTTGGGGACTTTATTAGATTAACTAATGCTAATTTGGTTACTTGGTAGTGGTTCTAATTTGTGGCTGCTGATTTAAATTTAAGATGTGCTTCTTCTTCTTTTTCATTTGGTGTTGAAATTTTATGATTAGTAGTCAATTTCGAAATCGCACTCCTTTATCATACTTGGATTTTGGAAGAGTGATCAATTGTTGTGGTTTTCATAACTTGTCTGCAAATACTTAAATGGGTGTTGTCTGATTTCTGTTTCAGGTATGATTGTTACATCTGCTCTTATAATATGGAAGGCATTGATGTGCGTTACCGGCAGTGAATCTCCTGTTGTTGTTGTTTTGTCTGGAAGTATGGAACCCGGTTTCAAGAGGGTGAGATAGAATAGTGCATGAAGGCATCAATGGTTTAGTACCAAATAATATTTTGATCAAAGTAGTTTTGTCGTGCCTTTTGATTTGTCTAGTTATTAGTTTAATTCACTTTGGCTAATTTATACTTTTATCATAAAAGAAGATTGTGCAGGCTCAACATATTGATAGAAGAGAGAAGAAAAGTTCTCCCTTCTCTTATGTTACTGTATCTTCTTTGAGAAAACAATCTTGATACTCCTATTTGTTGTACCTGGATTTATCTCTTTAGCAATGTCGTTTCTCAATCTATATATATGTTTCTTTGGCCGCTGAACTAATTATAAGAATGAATATGTTTTGCAGGGGGATATTTTGTTCTTGCACATGAGTAAAGAGCCCATTCGTGCAGGAGAAATTGTTGTTTTTAATGTTGATGTAAGTGCCTTTATTTATTTTTTACTCTGTTATATTGTAAATTTATCTTTTTATGTTTGGTAATTGTCAGGCTTGTTTTAGTATTCATTCTGATTTCTTTCCTAAATACATTTTAATAATCTCCATGTCTTGCATTTTGGCTTAATGTGTTGTGAACTTGTAATGATAAAGAGCAGATACTAGTGAGACATTATTTCGTGATGGATTTGAACATTTTTCAGTCTTTGTTGTTTTTGTTTGATGATGAATTACCGTACAACCCACTCTTCTTTAAAAATAAATCCCAATCCTCTGGCATTTAAACCTTTGAGGGTTTCAATATACATTGTTTTCCTATTTTGTCAACTAGCATGTTTTTAGGGCCTGTGAGAGCTGTAATTGGGAACTTTCATTGGAACCTCTAAGTATTTGTACAAAGGGCTGAAAGTTTTCAGTTGTAATCTCAAGAACAAATATTGGAATTTTCTTCTTTCTAATAATTTCTTTCCCAACATTCTAATTAATATGTCAATGGAAGCTGTGTGTTCCGTTAGGTAGTAAGTAGTAGCACTTTTTATTTTATTTTATAAATAAATAAAAATATTTATTTATTGATTCAGTATGCATCTTGTCAATAATGTGATGTAGGAATTAGTAGAGTGCCACTATTTGCTGGTGATGTATTCTCCTTATTGAGAAGTACATGCTAATATGTCCTCCTTTCCTTTGTCAATTTTCTCCAGGGCCGTGAAATTCCAATTGTCCATCGTGTCATTAAGGTAAATAATAGACCTTTTGATGTTGCTAAATCATGTTGACTTTTGGCCTTTGAAATGAGGTGGTGAGTTTTATCTTTGAGCTTCATGAAAGGAATAATGAATTATGGAGGAGAATATAGGACTCTAATCAGATTTTGTGGACAAGGTTCAGGCATCTGTCTATAAGCATTTGATATTGTATCTGCAGGAAAAATTATGTAGGAGCAAAAGAATCAAAATTATACTCACAGATTAGGTTATTCCTTCACCACATTATGGTTTAAAGGATGGTAATGTTATCATTCTTTCATGACATACACCTTGGACCTATTAGGTTAGTTGGAGAGGAAACATAAAACGAGATCGTGATGTTCTCGAAAGGACCATACTAAATAAGGAGTAAGGTTCACATGCCTGATGTAGATTTAGCCTCTTCCTTTTTCTTTTTTCAGAATCAGTTCACTAAAATCACCTGGGGTCCAGTGAGCAGTAATCATCAATTGTTTTTGCAGGTTCATGAACGAGAAGATACTGGAGAAGTTGATGTCCTTACAAAAGGTACCAGTTTCTGGTGTATATGTAAATAGTTGTTTTGCGTGATATAATCCCTCAAGTCTTGATCAATTAAACTCTCCCAAGATGTGTCATACTTCATATTTTTGCTCTTACCTCAGTATTTCTTCTGTTTCAAATATGCTGCTGATAGTTATGTTTGTTTCCTGCTACATGGCTTCTTACTCAAGTGTTCACCCCAAATCTATGTTGTGTCCTCAGGAGATAACAATTATGGGGATGACAGGCTTCTGTATGCTCATGGTCAGCTGTGGCTTCAACGGCATCATATCATGGGTAGAGCTGTGGGGTAAGAACTCTAAGTATTGCCTCCCTTTTCGTTTCATATGAAAAAAGAAAATAAGAGTATTGCCTCCATTTTATTTTTGGGTATTTTCCACGTATTGAACATCGGCAACTTTCGTATTGTGCTGCTGGGACAAAATTTCGAGCTTTAGTTTTAAGCTTTTTTTCTTTCTTTTCTCTACCGAATTATCTACCCCTCGTAATTCAACTTTTGGTTGTTCCAGTGCACTGAAAATGGAGCCATCCAAAATTATTTGAGAAACAAAATACTGTTTTTTCTGTTCCCTTTTTCTTACAAAGAGAAGTAAGTTGCATGCCTCTTATCACAAATTTAATCACTTTGTAATCATTTTCAGGTTTTTACCTTATGTTGGCTGGGTAACAATTATCATGACTGAAAAGCCTATTATTAAGGTTTGTTTCTCTCCCAGAAAAGTTTCAGAAAACATGCAGAGACAGATGATTTTATTCATATCAGGAAGTAATCCCTTCTGTTTCTTTTGTTCAGTATATTCTAATTGGCGCATTGGGGTTGCTTGTTATAACATCAAAGGACTAACTGAAGCAAACTCCGGGGGTGGTCAATCAGAAAAAGAACCGTTCTGTCAATTGCCAGAAGTTCTCATCCTCCCCTTCGCATCTGCTAAATTTCTTATTGTATGCTACATTTTTATATGATAGATGACAGCAGATTAGTTGGTTAATGTTTTAATTTTTATTTAAAGTTTCTCCTTTGTTGAACCAAAATTTTGCTGAGAACTTGGCCGTTCAAACCTTACTGTCTACACGCCCCATATACGGAGTAATTTTCAGCAAGACTGTAACACTACCCTGTCCTGTTACTAATTTACCAATGTTATATAACCAGTGTGCTATACTATGCGCGAAAGTTTAAGTCTGTAGATTAATAACATCATGTGTCAGTATTCTTTCTCACAACCCTCCTCCAACCAAAAAAGGTTAGTTCCACAACGTATAATAAAGCGAGCCATCTTGCAAGGGGATTGTAACTAAAGTAATTAAAAGCCGTCTTGCAACAGTAATTCTTTTTGCAATATTACTTGTAGAGTAATGTAGGATTACCACATTTTTCATACCACAATTGTACCACCTCTATTAGAGAGGTGGTACAATTGTGGTATGAAAAATGTGGTAAGCTTAGCATTTTTGATTACTTGATAATATATATATATATATATATATATCTATATATATATATAAGCGAGCAATCTTTTGGGTTACTTGCTTCCAATTATCAGACAACATGTGCGACATAAATATGTAACAAGGATTTGATCAAGCATCCAGGCATTTTACCATTGGAAATACAAATGCAACGTATAAACAGTGTTTTTAGTATCAATATATAAAATTAAATTTTGTTTTTATCACGGTATTGAAAAGTATTTTTCTATGTTTCCAATAATAATTTTCCTGTCCATTCTTTGAAATAATAGACTAAATCCCAAAATAAAAAAATTTGATCCTTTAACCAATCCCCTCAAAATGTATTTCAGCACTCCACGCTTCCTTACCATGGACCTGCACTCTGTGCCATCACAGAGTCCACAAAGTAAACCTAACTAAAACCCCCCAAAAACCCCACAGAGCTTTCGCTTAGATCCACAATGCTAAAACTCCTCGCTCTCTCTCTTATAAATCTTCCTTCGCTCAATCAGCTATTATCCAACCCTTCATTCGCAGTCTCCACCAATCGAAGAACATACTTGTATGCCTGTATTTCTTCTGTTAATTTAATTTGATTGTAGTTTTACGTTTCTGGGTCTTTGTTTTGGCACATGGGCATTGAAGCTTCTCTCAGGTGCCTAAATCTTGATTTTAGCTAATTGGCGTGTTCTAGTTCGAGAAAATTTGAAGAACATACATGATAAAGTCTCTGGTTTTAGTCATTGGGTGTTCTAATTTCTGGGTTTTGTTCAACTTGTGAAGTGGGCAGTGGATATATGTTCATAATGGTTTGTTTAGAATCTTGATATTGATGGATGGGTATGTATCAATCTGAGGAAGCTCCTAAAACATGCTCTCTCTGCGAACCAGTCGCAGATTTTGTCATGCCGCCATTGCCGTAACTTCGAATGGTTGTCCTGCAGCTGTGTCAAATCACGTTTTTGATACAAAACCTTTGGAAGAACCTGCCCTCGTTAAGCTTAAAGCCGAGAGAGACCCCGAAAAGCTATTCCACCTGTTTAAGGCCAACGCTCACAATACGCTTGTCATTGAGAACCGATTTGCATTCGAAGATACGGTGTCTAGGCTAGCTGGAGCTCGAAGGTTTGATTACATTGAACATTTGCTTGAGCATCAGAAGACTCTTCCTCAAGGTCGGCGAGAAGGGTTCATTATGAGGATTATAACATTGTATGGTAAGGCTGGGATGACTAAGCATGCTATTGATACTTTTTGTGATATGCATTTATATGGTTGTTGTAGGACTGTTAAATCCTTCAACGCTGCACTCAAAGTTTTGACACAAACCCATGATTTAGGAGCCATTGAGGCATTTCTGAACGAGGTTCCACAGAAGTTTGACATTGAAGTGGACGTATTTTCAGTTAATATTCTTATCAAGGCTTTTTGTGAAATGGGAATTTTGGTTAAAGCATATCGGATCATGGTAGAGATGGAAAAGTTGGGAATAAGACCAGATGTCATTACATATACCACACTGATGTCAGCATTTTATAAGGAAAACTGGTGCGAGATTGGTAATGGTTTGTGGAATCTTATGGTGCTGAAGAGGTGTTTGCCTAATCTTGCAACTTTCAATGTTAGAATCCAGTATTTGGTTAACAGAAGACGAGCATGGGAAGCTAACAAATTGATGGGTTTGATGCAGAATGTTGGGATAACACCTGATGAGGTCACATATAATTTGGTGATCAAAGGGTTTTTCCAGGCCGGGTATCTTGAAATGGCCAAAAGGGTGTATTCTGCTCTACATGGAAAGGGATACAAGCCAAATATCAAAATTTATCAGACCATGATTCATTATCTTTGTAAAGGAGGGGATTTTGATTTGGCATATACTATGTGTAAAGACTGCATGCAAAAGAATTGGTATCCGAATGTGGATACCATTCATACATTGCTTGAAGGCCTAAAGAGGGGCAAGCAGCTTGGTAAGGCTAAGGCAAGCATGATGTTGGTTCGGAAAAGGGTGCCTCCATTTTCTTCAAAACAATTGGGGGATTTACAAACCATACTGAACAAGAGTTGAATTAAGATGAGGGACTGGAAAACTGAAAAGTGGTAGATTATGTAACTGGACAGCTCAACAAGAGCTGGTATCTTTTTGCCCCACTCATTTGTAAATTTGCAGAACAATTTACATGAATTTTTTTAATCATACGAAAAGAACATCCTCATTTCTTCAATAATTTGTAGTACCACCTCAATTTAAATGGAGCTCTGAATGGACAGCTATCACCCAAATTTGTTGTAAGTTCATTCTGCAACGGCTCCCCTCTAATGCTGTAGTCAGCTCTTCTTTTCAGCTGTTGGGTCATTAGCTTCTATGATTTTGATTGTTTGTTCAATGCTTTCAGCTTTGGTGGTGCAGAACAGAAGGGCCAGGGAATAATGGCAAAGTCCTACCCATTAGATATCATTAAATGCATATTTCGGTAATTTCAAATAATTTGAATAATGATGAAACAAGTGTTTATTTATTTATTTATTAGTATTACATCCATCTAAATCAAATTCCTTTTATTATAATTAAAGACCTTACAAGTACGAAACTTGTTATTTAAAAGTAACACATAAGGATATAAGATGGCCGATGGTCAGAGTGATGGTTAGTTTATAGACATTGGATGCTTGACAATTAGTTGGTCATAATTAGTAGCTGTGGTGGTTTTAAACGACTAACTCTGCAAAATTGGGAATGGTGTTCTTATGTCTCAAACTTGCCAGATCTTCTTGACCATTTTACCCAATTTCTTTAATGGACCGGAGGTAAGGTTAACATATAGGGATTATTCTTTTACAGAATGTATATACAAAACCTTTTGATGATTAACAAAGTACATGCTGAATGGATGGTAGGTAATGTTTAGGCATACAGAGCAAAATGATAAGTTATCTGATGTGACTGGGGGGTTGCTGCAGCATACTCTAAACGAGGAAGATAGAGAATAGGATATGCACATTTGTATATGATATGTACACACTAATGAACATATACTGGGTCAAATGTTGCTTACACACTAATGAATATCTATGCTAATTTAAAGGTTGTCTATGTGTCCCCATGCATGGTTTTCATATAGTGTGAGGTCAGCACACAGCTAGCGTTTGCCTTACTTTTTTTTTTTTTTTTTTTTTTTTTTTTTTTTTTTTTTTTTTTTTTCTGACTGAGTGGTAGTGTATATCTCTTGTTAGATGGACTGAAATCTGGATTGTGAAAAGATCGAGTGTCAGTTCCAGAAAAAAAGAAGAGAGGATTCAGTTGCGGTACTTATTTAAACAACTTAGTTTATATGTCTGCAGTCCATGGTTTGGAGTCTGACTCCAGAAGAACTAGAGCTTTTATTCTTATGAATGGGGCGTTTTTTGCTTGAGATGTTTTTGTTCTTGTATCGCTATTTGCCTTTAGGAAATTTTCTGAAGTCCTCCAATCCAAGTTCTAATGCACACTTTTAGGTTACTCTCTAGTAAAGATTTATCTGTATTGTTGAGTGTTTTAAAAGGTTAACCATATCATTTAGCCTGTCTTTCATGGGAGGAACAGGGTAAAAAACTTATTTGAAAAAGAAAAGGAGGAGGAACCTGATGAAAGCATAACGTGATGTTCCTTTTGAGATATTTCTTCATAAGAAATCCATTAAAAAAAAAATTCTCATAATAACTTGCAGGGCTAATTGGATAGACTTTCGTTGCATATAAATTCTGATTTGGTATCAGTATAATGTTTTTCTCACCTTCCCACAATATAATCAAATATTTATTCAGCTATATTTTACAGAAAATCCTCAAACATCTTCTTCCTCCCTGCCTCAAGGTGCACTTTCTTCAGGTAAGGATAATAAATCTGTCAGTGGGCCCAACATCAAGAACTTCCTTTTATTATAGATAGCTTGACGCTTTTTTTATCTGGTGTAGTTGTGTGTGTGTGTGTGTGCTCTTTCTTTTGTTGTGTGTATGTCTTTGATATATTTTCGACTAAAAAAAATGTCTTTCATATATTGCTTTCCTTGCCTTTCTGATTTGGTGGGGGTGTGTATGTGCGTACATTTGTGTGTCTCAGTCTGTATGAACAGCTGGTTAAAGTGAATATTATTGGGGGGTCATTTGGTCGAGAATTGATGTCACATGTGTAACAGTTCTTCAGCAGCAAAGTGATTGCTAGATGTGTTTCTTTATATTTTAAGGTATATTGGATTATGTCTCTGATCAGAATGTTGGCTTAAACTGTTCTGTGGCAAGGGAAAGTGGAACGCACCAAGGTGGGAGTTGATTCATTACGCTTCATTTGGTACATTTGGAGGAAAAAAGAAGAAGTTGAGTTGCTGCGTCATGAGCTGGAGCTTGTCCTGCCTAAGTTATTGTGGTGTGTTTCCTTTGCTTAGATAGCAGATCTTTCTTCAGCTCTTGGAATTCTTGTGTTGGAGGAGTTTTAGTGATTGCTCTGCAGTTTCAGATGGTTTAACCATTAACCACCACTCTCGATAGGTGAGAACAGGCTTGCTATTGACTGCTCAACCTCGATTCTTAAATACTGGCGCTGCCTAGGAAGTTAAGTAGCATTTTGTCTATGATAGAGCTTTCCAGTTGTAAATTAACTGATATGGAGCTCTCTCTCTTGTTGGTTCTTGCCTATGCCATTCTTGGAAATAAATCGTCTTCTAGACAAAGGCGTGTTGCTGGTATAAATTTGTTTTTGTTCCAAATTGTGGACTTGACTTAGAGCTACCCATAGAGTTTCGATGACATTCATCTAAATGAGAAGTATTTGATTGGTGATGCCTGATAGCAACCCCAGCTCGAATATACCCAAAATGACCCTTCCTTCAACAAGGCTTTCGTATAATTTAATAGCCTCTCCTTTACCTTGTATGTTATGGGGTTAGGAAGATGGGAAAGAAAAGTGACAGATAATGCCAGTAGATGAAGGCAAAACCAACTTCCCAATCAAAGACCAATTTTGCAGTTTTGAGACTTGGAATAACTAATCCATCCAGCCAGGAAACAGGAGGGGATTGAGTCTCGTATCTCGTTTGGTTTGCGAAATAGTTCTTTTGGAAATATAATTCCTTCATTAATTTTTACTTAGTAAATATTAAATGTCAACTGGCAGCGAGCTCATGCTTGCTGAGAGTGTTTTTTACCACGTGAATTGCAGGCTCATTGTTTGGCGAGTGTTTAAAAAGTTAAAGGGCTCGTTTGATAATTATTTTGTTTTGTTTTTTTGTTAGAAATAGAGAAAAAACATATACAAGAAGCGAGAAATATGGAAGAAATACATTTAAAATGGTACATAAAATGGAAACGATTTTAAGTGATTTTCTTTTTCAAGTACTTTCCCTTCTATCTCTAGCTAAAAGAGTATAAGCGGAAAACTAAAACCGAAATTACCTTAAATATGAACTTCATGGTAACAAAATACTTACTGAACTCTCAACACTGTAAAAATGGTGTCGTCGTTTAGAGCACGAAACGACAATAGAATACTGTCGACTTGACCCTTTTTGGGACCTTCAAAATAAAAAGCCATGGTAATCAAATCAATCTTGGCGCTTTTTTTGTTCAAGCAAATGCGTGCACTGATTCTGACTGTAATCTTCTTCTATAAGAAGAACACCACCTCCAAACCCTCAAGGAGCTCCAAACTTGTTCAGACTCTCACATGTCGAAGACCCTTCTGTCTCGCATCAAACCCATCCACAACCCGAAGCCCGCTTCTTTATCTTCTTCTTCACCACCCCACATCAAGAGGCTAGTCAATGACACCATCCAAATCCTCAGAGCCGACGACCAGTGGGAGCAATCTCTTGCAACCCAATTCTCCGAAACCGAAACGCTTGTTTCCGACGTTGCCCATTTCGTTTTGGACCGAATACATGATGTAGAATTGGGTTTGAAGTTCTTTGATTGGGCTTTTAAGCGACCCTATTGCTGCTCTCCAGATGGGTTTGCGTACTCTTCGCTTTTGAAGCTTTTGGCGAGGTTTAGAGTGCTTTCGGAGATTGAATTGGTAATGGAACAAATGAAATTTGAAGAAGTAAAGCCGACCATTGATGCGTTGAGTTTTGTAATTCGCGCATATGCAGATTCTGGGCTCGTTGATAAGGCTCTTGAATTTTATTGTTTTGTAGTTAAAGTGTATGATTGTGTTCCGGATGTTTTTGCGTGCAATACATTGCTAAACGTGCTTGTAAAGAATCGGAGAGTTGATGTTGCACGCCGGGTGTATGATGAAATGGCTGAGAAAGGTGGTGGTGATCATTTATGTATGGATAACTATAGTACTTGTATCATGGTGAAGGGTTTGTGTAAGGCAGGGAAAGTTGAGGAAGGTAGAAAGTTGATTGAGGATAGGTGGGGAGAGAGTTGTGTACCAAATGTTGTTTTTTACAATACACTTATTGATGGATATTGTAAGAAAGGTGATGTCGAAAATGCTAATTGGCTTTTTAAAGAGTTGAAGTTGAAGGGGTTTTTGCCCACGTTGGAAACTTATGGAGCTATGATAAATGGGTACTGCAAAGAAGGAAACTTCAAAGCGATTGATCGACTTTTGATGGAAATGAAGGAGAGAGGCTTGACTATCAATGTTAAAGTACATAATAGTATTGTTGACACTAGATGTAAACACAGTAGCTCGGCTAAAGGAGTGGAGTCTGTAACAATGATGATTGAGTGTGGTTGTGAGCCAGATATTACGACCTACAATATTTTGATTAATAGTTCATGTAAGGATGGGAAGGTTGAGGAAGCTGAGCAGTTTTTAAACAATGCAATGGAAAGGGGATTGGTGCCAAATAAGTTTAGTTATACTCCTCTTTTTCATGTCTATTTCAGAAAAGGGGAACACTGTAGGGCATTGGATATATTTACTAAGATAACTGAAAGGGGACACAAACCTGATTTGGTTTCTTATGGAGCTCTCATCCATGGACTTGTTGTTTCTGGGGAAGTTGATACTGCATTGACAGTCCTAGACAGAATGATGGAAAATGGAGTTGTGCCTGATGCTGGCATTTTCAATGTTTTGATGAGTGGCCTTTGCAAGAGAGGGAGGCTTTCTACTGCCAAGCTGCTGCTTGATCAGATGCTTAACCAAAATATACCACCAGATGCATTTGTTTATGCCACTCTGGTAGATGGGTTAATCAGAAATGGAGACCTTGACGAGGCAAAGAAACTATTTGGGTTAACAATTGACAAGGGTCTAGGCCCTGGTGTTGTGGGGTACAATGCCATGATTAAGGGTTTCTGCAAATTTGGAATGATGAAGGATGCACTGTCATGCTTTAAAAAAATGAGGGAAGTGCATCATCATCATCCTGATGAGTTCACTTATTCAACAATAATTGATGGGTATGTCAAACAGCATAACTTGGATGCTGCCCTGAATTTTTTTGAACTGATGATCAAACAGGGATGCAAGCCAAATGTGGTCACGTACACCTCCTTGATATATGGGTTTTTCCACAAGGGAGATTCCTGTGGAGCTGTAAAAACTTTCAGAGAGATGCAATCTTGTGGTATGGAGCCAAATGTAGTCACATACAGCATACTTATTGGAAACTTTTGCAAGGAAGGTAAACTTGCAAAAGCAGTCTCCTTTTTTGAACTAATGCTGAAGAACAAGTGCATTCCTAATGATGTTACCTTCCATTATCTGGTCAATGGGTTCACAAATAATGAACCTGGTGCAATTTTGGAGGAAGTGCATGAGTCTCAAGAAAATGAGAAATCTATTTTTCTGGGTTTTTTTGGAAGGATGATATCAGATGGTTGGTCTCAGAAGGCTGCTGTTTATAGTTCCATTAACATTTGCCTTTGCCATAATGGGATGGTTAAAACTGCATTACAGTTGTGTGATAAGTTTGTAAATAAGGGTATCTTTCTAGATTCTGTTTCTTTTGCTGGTCTGCTTTATGGTATTTGCTTGGAAGGAAGATCCAAGGAATGGAAGAATATCATCTCTTTTGACTTGAAGGACCAGGAACTCCAAACTTCTTTAAAGTACTCGCTCATATTAGATGATTACTTACATCAAGGAAGACCATCTGAAGCTACACTTGTTCTGCAGTCATTGGTTGAAGAATTTAAGTCTCAAGACCAAGAAGTGGCTCTTACAGACATAAAAACATAGAGGAAGAACATCGTCTTTGTTTTTGTTTTTGTTTTTTTGGCAAATGAGTTGTCAGTTGAGGTAAGCTAGAGCTACAACGGAAGTCACTTTTCCACTGCATGATACATTGAGTGGTTACATAACATAAATGAGGGTCATTTAGACATTTTGTGGACATGGTGACTTGATAAATCCATCATAAGAATTGGGTCTCGAGGATCCAAAAGAGTTTCTATGACTCTATATACAAATCTTTTGGTAAGGGTATTCTTAACAGACCAAACACTTTGGACTTACGAGCCAAAGGTTGCTTTCTTTGATCATAGATTAATCCTACATTATGGTGTTTGTGAATGCAGTTTGGTGACGCTCAAGTACAAATAGTTCAGTATAATTGTAGATTAGCGTTAATTATTACGTACGAAAGCAATCATGCATGTCAGCAGGATATTGGATCAAACGTGACTTTCTTTTTGAGGTATGTAACAAACGCAGTGTGTCTGTTGTGATCTTTTCTGTTTTTCTTTTTACTATTTCTGTTTTTCTTTTAGGCAAATAATGCGATTTTGGTTGTGATAGTGTTAACAGTATGCTCCTCTTTTTCAGTTGCCAGGCTAGGAAGGATTATGGTCAATTCTACTGCAGGGTGGTGAAGCCATAAAGGAAGTGGTTTCAGAGGTTAGTTTTACGTCAGTTACATATACACTGTTTTTCCTTTTGTTTTGAGTGTATGTTAACTTGTTAATTGCCCCGATAAGCAAATTGTACACAAACAATTGCATCATGTAAATTGTTATAATGCTTAGGAATTTAAGTTAAAGCATTCATTTGTGCTCAAACACTAGGTCAGTGTGTAATTTAAAGGAACAATAAAATGAAAAAGAATTGGTTCTTTATTGATGATGTATATGAGCCTTGGATGCCTTTGACTTTGAGTAAGAAATTTTACTAAAAAGTCCAGAAAGCATTGAATTTGATATCTGATCGAGCAACTTGAGTTACTGTCAATTCACAAGATAGATTTTAGATGCTTCAGCACTGACGAAAAAGTGTGAAATTATTTGTAGTAGGTTTTTTATTATCTTTATTCAGATTAAGAAGTTTTGACAATTAGAACCTCAAAAGTATTTAGTTTGAGGCATCACACTGATGCAGTTAATCCCAGTTTCTTGATAAGGCTCTGTGTTTAGCTCAAGATTAGGTGAAATGTTCCCATCTTTGACCTAGATTTCCTGAATTTTCACGCAACTTTGTTGAGTGCCTAACAGAAAAAGAAAAACAAGCAATAAGAATTACATTAAAAAAACCATGCCTGCTATAGCATTGGACATGGTTAAGCTTTAGGTCATCCATGTCCAGCTTGCGAAACCCATGATGCACACAAAGGACATAATAATAATAAACAACAACAATTCATCACTGCAATTTCTGGTGTCATCAATGTTTTGGCCTGATAATGATACCTTTGACGATTAGCCCACTTTTCCAGTGTCCACCATGTTCATAAAGATCAAAGCAAACTTCTCCAGCCTCTCCTTCCTTGGCCTCAAAACGGCTACCAACAAGCTCTATCCATTGGTCTTTGGCCTAGATTTCCTGAATTTTCAAGCAACTTTTTCCATCTGTGAGTTTTATCAAGAGTGTAATAGGGAGTTCCCATCCATACCCTCCATTTGTTAATTTAACCATGTATGCAATCTCATAAACAACTCCTGATGACATCTCTGACATCTTAAATTGTCCTCTCACATTTAGCCAGCACATATCCAACACTTTGACTACCTCGATGTTATCAATATCACTGCGAAAATTATTCGAACATATAAGTACTTACTACTAATTACCAATGGAATTCATTTTTCCTAATTCGAAATTCCATTATAAGCTTATTTAAGAGACACTCTTGTGGAGCCCATCCATATTGTATTTTCATAATCTGAACTGTCTATTTTTTAGGTATTTCTTCAAAGATCATTCATGCCTAAAATTTGGGTCTGAGCTGACAGCTTCAAGGCCTGCTTACAAAATTTGGGCATGATCCAATTCCAGTTGGTGATACAATGTTATATATATTTTTAAAGTTTATTACAACCCTGCTAGCTACTACATTTTGTGATGACTTTTCTCATCGAACTCTAATCAGTTTTAACTTGAAAAGCCTCCTTATTTTGAGAAGCTAAGGAGAGCCTTATCTTAAGATCCAGTCAAGTACTAAAAACCAATTTAAATTCATGAGAGAGTAATGTTTAACAACTTCAAGATGCTGGATCCAGTCAAGTAATCAAACGAATTAAAATTGATGACATATTTTGAGAGCAAAGTCTAACAAATTGCGATCATGTACATCTTTATTATGTTAGAATTTATTTTAACCATTACATGAAGTTGGTGAAATGATTTTCTTCTCATTTGGGAGTGATTTTGGGCAGGGGGAAGCACCTTCCATTTGCTAGTCCATAAAATATATATGGAGAAGTGATTCTCCATAGAAGTGATTACTGGTCTATCTAGAATTACTCCTAAACGAGCCTAAGATTGGCTTTGACTGAAATGGTTTTCACCCTCATTACTTGAGTAATTGATTATATACACAGCAGAACAATGGAAACAATTAATAGATATACACATACATATGGGCAATGATTTAGGAATTCTTAGAATCATAATTAATCAATAGTCATCAAGGAAGAGTGATTTGTGGATCATTCTGGGGTTGACTTTGGACGAGAAGATCTCAAAGCCTGCTCTCCTGCTTAAGAAAGATAGGGCGTAATCAAACATGATCTCAATGGGTTTAATATATTTTTGAAATTTATTACATTTCTTTGATAACTTTTCTCGTTATTTAATCAGTTTCTTAATCACCTCTTGGATGTTAGTTAAGATCCAGCCAAGGACTCAAACAATATTTAAAATTAAGAGAGAGCAACATTTAACAACTTCTAGATGCTAAGATCCAGTCAACTTACTCAAACCAATTAAAATTAATTTTTCCCCTATTACTTGACTTTGTTTCTTTTAATGATTTTTCTGATGATTTCAAAACCCTCACATCTTATTTGTGCATGCATATGCTTTGTGTGGTGTGGCTTGTGGTGAAATCTCTTCCTCCTCTTACAAGACAAGTAAGAACTCATTAAGGATGCATCATCATCAGTTGACATGCATCATCGTTCGTCGCGACACCACGGGGATGATGCTCCTAGTTGCCACCTTCCTCGCCGCCTCGACCGTCCACGCAAGCCCTCCAACTCCTTCCCCGAACAGCTACACCTTGGCGCTCCACAAGGCTCTGATGTTCTTCAACGCCCAGCGATCAGGAAAACTCAGACCATAGCCATGTGTCGTGGAGGGGTGACTCTTGCCTGACAGATGGCAAGCCCTCCGCCACCGGTTCTCCGACGAGTGATCTTGTGGGCGGCTATTACGATGCCGGAAATGCCATCAAGTTCAACTTCCCTGCTTCCTTCGCCATGACCATGCTCAGCTGGAGCGTTATTGAATACAATGCGAAATACGAAGCTGCTGAAGAACTCACCCACATTAAAGACGTCATCAAATGGGGCACCGATTACTTCCTCAAGACCTTCAACAATTCAGCTGATACCATTGACAGGATCGTTTCCCAGGTATACATATATAGCACTAAACTTTCTTCCTCTTTTTAAAACTAATTTGCTGTGTATTTTGATAGGTTGGTTTGGGGAACACGGATGGAGGAAAAGACACAACTCCTAACGATATATATTGCTGGATGCGTCCTGAAGATATAGATTACACGCGTCCCGTGACCGAATGCCGCGCTTGCTCTGATCTTGCTGCGGAAATGGCTGCCTCCCTAGCCGCTGCATCCATTGTTTTCAAAGACAACAGAGCCTACTCAAAAAAGCTCGTCCATGGAGCCAAAACACTCTTCAAATTTTCAAGGGATGTGAGAGGCCGTTATAGTTCTGGTAGCTCGGATGCAGCATTCTTCTATAATTCCACCAGTTACTGGGACGAATACGTATGGGCCAGCACGTGGTTATACTATGCCACAGGCAATTCCTCTTATCTTCAGTTGGCAACAACACCTGCTCTTGCCAAACATGCTACCTTCTCCCAGGCGCCTAATCAATACTGGCCTAATCATGGAGTATTGAGTTGGGACAACAAGCTTGTTGGTGCTCAGGTACATATTATCTATATATAATAAGTGGTGTTCATGTTTCAATATGTTATGTTGATGCAATTTATGATTAGTACTCTTTTATTTAGGTGCTTCTGACCCGTTTGAGGCTATTCTTGAATCCTGGGTACCCATACGAAACAACTTTGAGGAGATTTCACAACGAGACCAACACAATCATGTGCTCATACCTACCAGCTTTCACAATCTTTAACAGAACAAGAGGGGGCTTGATCCAATTGAATCGTGGACATCTTCGAAGGCCGCGACCTCTTGAGTATGTAGTCAATGCAGCCTTCTTAGCCACTGTCTACAGTGATTATCTTGAAGCTGCAGATAGCACCAAACCAGCAGGGTTGCATTGTGGACCCAACTTCTTCTCTGTTGATGTCCTGCGTGATTTTGCTAAAACCCAAATTGATTACATCCTTGGTAAAAATCCACAGAAAATGAGCTATGTTGTGGGCTTTGGTAACCATTTTCCGAAACATGTCCACCATAGAGGCGCATCTATTCCTAAGAAGAAGATTAAATACAGTTGTAAAGGGGGGTGGAAATGGAGGGGCAGTTTAAAGCCAAACCCATATACAATTGTTGGTGCCATGGTTGCTGGTCCGGACAAACACGACGGCTTCCATGATGTTCGTGCTAATTACAATTACACCGAGCCTACTCTTGTGGGAAATGCAGGTTTAGTGGCAGCTCTTGTTGCTTTGTCAGGAGATCGAACAACTGATGGGATTGACAAAAACACCATGTTCTCTGCAATTCCTCCCATGTTTCCAACTCCACCACCTCCTCCTCCATCAGCATCAAAACCATGAGAGATGTCGAAGCCGTTATTGTTCATGTTCTCAATGTGTCATTTTTAAGTTCTACACTGTGAGAGTAGTTTGAATTTGAAGTAGCCTTTACCTCAATATATATTTATAACTATGCAAACATGACTATGCAAGACATGCGGTGCAGGAAAACAAATTATACCCTCAAGATAAGTACGATCAGCAGCATATATATGTAGCTTTGAAATTTGATAGTTTTGTTACCCTAGACCATAGGGGAATGAATAGCTAGGAGCTAGTAAAACAGAGAATGAAAGATATAGTACATTTGAAATTATCTGCATGCAAGAAATTATTTGAAATTCATTTGTTTTATTCCTTTTTTTCTTGTTCAAAATCTTTGCATACATGATTTACCAAAAAAACATATTTGCATACATGGATTATCTATATATATAAAGCAAAAGGCAGAGAATGGTGAAACATTCAAAATACTAGAAAATGTCATTGGTTAATCCAAACATTAAGAATTAAAACTATTAATTAAATGAGGATAATATGGTAAATTCACCTTTTATATTTAAAAATTAAAATTAAAAGAAAAATAAAAAAAAACCTCTCGCAGGTGCGGAAGCGAGTGAGTGCAAAGAGGCTAGTAATAGTCTATGCAAATAATTTTCCATTATAATGTCATCTAAGTACATTATAACCTAACCATGGTATAACCAAGTACTCATACCAAGCATCAAAGTCTTCTTTTACACCAAACTCTGGCTAATTAAGGATATCACCCATTCCTAGTTGTAGTTTGTTTAACCATAATTAATGATAAGATTTCAAACCCATAATACAACGTTAGAGCTCTGATACCAAGTTAAAATAATATTGAACCTGTAAAGCATAGGTTGTCAAAGAATTGGCCAACGATGTATATGTAGATCTTGCGTAGAGTTGGCATACAGTCAATATCTCCTTTTTAATTTTAATTTTAATTTTTTTGACCAAGAGTTGGTGTCTGTCTACATTGATGAACATATTGATCCTACCAAATTCCAGGGTTGGAGAGACAGGCATCCAGAAAGGTTCTTGTATAGTACATTAGTAATAGCAATTACACAAATGAATTGAGGGAAAAAAAAACAACAGGAAGGAAGCAAAGACCAAATTGGGATCTGAAATCATAATTTGAACTCACAAAAGCAATCAGGCAAAGCAGATCCTCTCCCCATGGCAAAATCATCTCTGTGGGCCTTCCATAGAGCGTTCATCAATTCCTTCCCTCTCAAACCTTGAAAAGTGAATTCTGCAAAAGCTCTTCTGCTTAAGAAAAGAGTCTTGTACAAGCCATTAAAAGCTCTCATTGCTGCAACCATCTTATCCATATTTCCAAAATACGTTGCTATATACGAATCGCTGTTAATAGACACATAGTAATCCAATGCAGCTTTCGTGTTCCCATGCATGCTTTTGAAATCCTCACCACTAAGAAGGCTAGACTTGGTAAATACATTGGTGTAAACAGATGTTAATCCTTCAATTTCCATCAGACCGTCCCCAGCAGCCAGATAAATGTTCGTGCTTGTTGGGATGGAAAGCACTTTAAGTATGAAGGCTGTCTCATTAGGTGTAAGAGGGCATTTCCCTCGTTTCCTCCAAATTTGGGCCACCTCTCCAGTCCATGGTTTTCTATCCCCCCGTGCTGCTTCAATGGCTTCCATGGAGACAGAAGAAAGGTCTGGGTATTCGCATTGACTGTAAGCTACCATATCAGGCTCAAAACGAAGGTGAAGTGATAGAAAAGGTTTAGGTATGGCTTCAAGAAGCTCGGAGGCTTTCTTCTCCAGGGATTTGGTGAGGCGTAATGCACTGTAACAAGCTTGACAAAGGGAAGCTTTTGCATACTGAGGATACCTACAAAGTACAGAAGACAAAACGGTATCAGTGTACTTTAAAGATCAGCAGTTGTAAGATCCGAAAGCTATGTATATCCTTTTCAGTCATGAAACTACAAATGTTTATTCAGATTAATAAATAAATAATAACCAAGAATAAGGCCTGTTTGGTTTACAACCCAAAAATTTTTTTTTCCATTTCTTTTTTGGCTTTTTTTTAAAACAAGGCATTCAATAAATCTTTATATATATGTATACATAAGAATAACAAAGGAGCCTTTGACAGACTGTTTCATATAGACCTAAAAATAACCGAAATTTTGAAAAAGCCAAAAAAAAAAGTTGTTTCAACATTTTGTAAAACATTGTATCCAAAGAGACTCAAAACATCCGACCTCAAGTACAAAGTCACCACGTGAATCTGTAAACCAGAACATGGGCCTAGATCCCAAAACTCCGAACCAAACACTAAGCCCTAGACAACAGATCACTAACTCAAGCCCTAAACCTAGCACTCTGAACCTTGGATCTAGGAGGGCCTTTTCCCAAACACCAGAGCCAGGCTCGTATCCCATACCACTGACCTTGGACTCAAGTACCAAACTTCAAACTCCGGCCCCTAGCCGTGAACCTAAGTCCAAAATAAAGAATGCATGCCCAAGCAAGGCTTCATGCCTAGAAAAAAATCTCAAAACCAAACCGAAAGCCTAAGAATGAATCTCAAACCGTAGACTTCGGGCCCTAGCCGTGAACCTGAGTCCAAAATAAAGAATGCATGCCCAAGAAAGGCTTCATACCTCCAAAAAAATCTCAAAACCAAACCGAAAGCCTAAGAATGAATCTCAAACCTTAGACTTCGGCTTAGACTGAGCATCAAAACCCAAACACAAATCCAAGACCCCACACCTAGTCTTCTGCCCAGGATCTTCACCTAATACCCAACCCCCATATCTGGACCAAGTCTTGGAGCCCCGGATCCTAAACCTAGTCAAAACCACATCCCTGAGCCAAAAGTGACAGACCTCAACCCATAACCCAAGTAGCAGACCCCAGACTTGAACCCAGGCCCGAAACCACAGCCACAGAACCCAAGCCCCAAAACCGAGTCTTCTAACCCAAAGCCACACATTTTGGACGTGACCATAGCCCCAAATGTATGCCTCACTGAGCCCTATATTGAGGATTCATAAGCCAATACCAACTAAATGGAATTTGAAAACGATTTCGTATTAATACCAAACTTGTTTCCATATATTTAAAAGACTGAGAATCCCACCGATTTTTTTGCATAGTATCTTAATTTTGAATTACGAATCAAACAGGCCGCTATTCATATTGAATCAAATTTCATATCCAATGTGACGATAATAAGCATCTTACACATTACAGATTTATCAAGAAACTTTTCTATATGCTAACAACCCTAACACAAACTAACCAACATTTTCAAGTTGACTTTTACACCTTGATGGTAAGTTTTTGACCACATTTATTGGCCTTTACCAAAAATTTGGTACCTATTCACAGTACCAAGTCTTCCAATGTAATTTCCAAACACCCAAATATAAGAACAGAAACGAATAATGTTGAAATACCTATCCCTTCTTTGGCTCATTGCTGGCGTGATTGAAATATAATGATGCTCTAGTAGCGACGGAAGAACACTTTCAATGTAATCAAATTGGCCTTTGCGTTTGCTGCAATCTACATGGAAGGGTTCTTTTGATGAAATATCGGACGGCAACTCTTTCACAACTTTGATGAAGCCATTCATCTGTTGAATGAAGTAGTCAACATCAAAGACATCTGCAAAACCACTGATGTGAAACCAAAGCGTTACATGAGGATACTGCTTGGACAAGCAAAATTAAAAAAACATATTCTTTTAAATGAGTGGAGTAGCCATATATTCTCCATATGAGATCATTACCATAATCAATATTTAGGTATAGCAAAAGCCATTCTGTTCAGTTTGATAGATAAAGTAATTAATTGTCTTTGCCTCAAGACATTGAAGGTGGGTCCCATAGTTTATCAGAATTTCAAGAACCAGAGGAGGTGATATTCCACCAGTCCCATGGAAATGATATGCAAAACACCAATTACCTTGATTCATTCCAATAAGCAGCCACCTCAAACTTTGGCAAAACCAGGGTTGCATTTAAAAGACGGGCAATACCAACACCATCACATAACTGCACTCCACATAAATAATTTGTCATACTTGGCAAACTGGCTGCTTAAAGTCAAGCAATTTTAAAACAATTAATGAGATTCTTCAATCACTTACATCTCTTCTCATCTGATTAAGGCCACCATAGCAATCCACCCGAATGAATCCATTACTCTTTGATGGTAGAGCTGCAGCATTTTAACAAAAAACCAATGCAATTGTCTGCAATGATAGTCAATTACGATTGACTCAGAATATCAAAACTATGCAGTAACCTCATCTCAATCCTAATTCTATTCCCATCACAGCAAAATACCATAAATTTTTTAAAATTTTGTGGTGTCCACATTTTCATATAACAAACAAAGCCCAAATAAAATCTATAAAACTAAAGAGTTCTCAATACCCGAAACACCACAAATCATTCTGGGGTAACATTTCAAATATTTTAATTTCAGCACGCAGATATTACTTGCTTTCTCTAGTTTGTCATTGTTCAATTTAAAAGCATTATTTGCCCCAATTTGCCAAAATAAAAAATAAAAAATCTAAGTAACCCAACGGCGGGCTAACTTAACAGGAAGGGAAAGGCAAGGAAGCAAAATTAGCCGGAATTACCAGTGAGGTGTCCTTTTAGCCACCACTTGCAAGGTCTCCATTCTACCATCCTCTCAACACTCCATACATCCAACTTGTTCCTGCATTCACAAAGTCAACCAGATATTTATGGTTTACGCAGTTTTTGGTTCCCAAATAATGGCAAAGTCACTTCAAACTATGCCCAAATTGCGTTGTAATTTTCTTTTCTCACATTTTAACAGCAACCAAACATGGAGGACACGATTGAAAATAACAAGGAAAAAAAAAAGACAAATCTTTATTTAATAAATGAATGGTTTTTGCATATAAATCGTACACATATCCAATGAACTAAAAATATATGTATATATTATACACATATATGCATAAGAGAACTCTTGAAGATCTAAGATTTCCTCCAATTTCTTCACCACTAAAACTATTCAACAAATTAAAGATGAAAGAACAAAGAATGGTAAGAATAAGAAGCAGAGGAAGAACTTATAAACACATACATGGGTGAAGTGAGAAAGAGAGGGGCTTTGTAGAGAGGCGAAGTAGGCGATAAGAGAAGCACGGCGAGGATGAGAGAGAGAGTGAGGACCCCTATGGTGAAGATGGGCTTCACTGAAATCACCACCATCTCATTTCTCAGCAGCTAAATCGATCTGAATATTTGTCTGATGACCCAAAACGAGCGGAGAAGAAGAAGCTCACTGTGGATTGTCTATCTTCTCATTGCTGTAAGATCGAGAATATATTAGAGTCGGTGATTTGGAACGTGGACCGGACCGGATTGCACACCGGTTTTCTACGGTTATTGTTTTCTCAGTTGTGCCTTTGATCAAAAGGTTGAAAGGGCATAACTGTAATTAATCCATCATTATTCAAACTTCGGTGCAAAGGAGCACACTGGCCCGAACAACTGGCATGAAAAATTAACAATAATCAATGTCAAATACAAAATGTTATATTTGAATTTGATGACTTGAGTGACAATTTCGTACTCCATAAAAATTTTTACTCCACTTTAAATGTGAAATAGCATTTTTGTTATGAAAAGTTTTCCACAAAGGCAAGCAAAGACAACATGAGAGAGGCACGCGCATCAAACAAATGGGGAATTCTGAATGGACATTTTGGAAAAGACCAAAAGAAAAGAGAAAATTTTTAAAAGAAGCCAAAATGGACAAAAATGCCCTTATTTATTTTTAGATTTCCTAAGGAATCCAATACATTTGTATGTCTTTGGTTTGAAAGTAAAGGGGTTTTTCTGTCTTTTTTGAAATTGTTTTGACATTTTCCAAAAGTGAATTTTTTTTGTGGCTAAAACCTAAATTTACTAATTCGTGAAAACGTACCCTTCCTCTTTACACATGAAGAACTTTTAGACTTGGCCTTTTTTTAAAGATATAGAAGCATAATAATCACTCCCTAAACAACTAAAGAAAAGTTGCAAACAGTGAAAATAATTCCCAGTACAAGCTCGGATGACATAACTAACCACAACAACAATCATCTTTTCTCTTCTCTCTCAAGACTTGTTTTGTGTTCTTAACAAGTGCTATGAAGTTTGAACTCATAATCCCCTCTAATAAAATAGAGACTAAAATGCCACTAGGGTTCTTAGTTATTGGCAATTATAATTTGGAGCTGAATCCATTCTGTTCAAATCAATTACTTTTCTTCAGTCAGAAGATTTGAAATTAAATGTCAGAAGGTTGCTTGTTATTGCATATTAAAGAAAGAGAAAAATAAAAATCTTACAGGCAATCCTCCTTCCAACATATACATGTAGGAAGGTTTGCTTATTCTTACACATTAAAGAGGTAGAAAAAAAAAAAAAAAAAAACACAAAAAAAACAAAAAACAGTCATCTCAGTCTTCCAACCCTCTAAAACAAGATACATCCATCACCAGGAAAATTAAAAGGAAAAAAAAAAGGCTGTAATTCTTTTACCATCATGTTGGTTTTTCCATCCAGCTTCACTTACCTGCAAGTCAATTATATAGAGCCTTTAGCAAACTTATAACTGTTTGGCTTAATTTGTATCAAGCAAGCAAAGTATATATATATACACACTAATTAACTATCAACTAGAAGAAAATAAATTAAGGATCCAAATAGATGTACCGCCACTTGCGCAGCACCCAGGAAGACGATACCGAGGTGCTCATGATGAGGTTCTTTTGGTAGATGGCTTAATTTCCCTATCAGCAATGCCTTCAACCTTGGGCAAATCACCATCTTCCTTCTCACACTGTTCTATCAGTGAAGGGCAGCTTTGGATAGACAGATGCTGGAGGGAGGTTGGCAAGCCATCCCCTGGCAATGACTGGAGTGCTTGGCAATCTTCGATGTAAAGATCATGGAGGGAGGTAAGATTCTTGAGCACGTCAGGGGCCCCAAATGACTCGAGGCTCGCGCATGAGCTAATGATCAAAACTTGAAGAGAGATTGGGAGCCCTTCAACTGGCAGTGTCACAAGCTTAGGACACTTCTGGATGGAGAGAAGTTGAAGAGAGGTGAAGCCGTTGAACAATGTCCTGTTTTCTTGGTTGGTTAGATGCTCAAGATCTCCACAATTACTGATGTACAGCGCTTTGAGTCCTGGGAGACTAGGCCATTTTGGAAGGCAGATGAAATTTGAGATGTTTGAAACCGCCAAGGAGTATAAACTCCCGGTGCCAGGTATCATACTCACTAGTGTTTCATCAGGACAAGCATCCAATGCTAAAACCTGAAGCCTCCCCGAGCAGCGTTGGTCAGGTAAGGCTCTCAACGACATGCATCCACTTAATTCCAGTTTCTGTGGGCAGAGGTTTCTTGGCAGCGAACGCAGCTCGGGGCAGTTGATAATATTCACTTCCAAGAGAGAGAGAGAGGAATTTAGGTGTCTAGTTACCCCTTGGACAACATAAACTAGTGTTACTTCCGGCCAGTGCTTCAGCACAGGATTGTCAACAAGTTTTACGAACATTGCTCTGCTGAATGGAACGGTCTCCAGTGATGCGCACTTTGTGATCTTTAGAACACGCAGATTTGGAAAGAGGCGAGGCATTTTCATCAGCTTCGGGCAGTTGCTTATCTTTAACGTTGAGAGCGATTCGAGCACCTCTTCTTGCCATTCCTCCAACTCCAGCATATTTTTGAGACCAAGTTCTACAAGGTTGGGCAGCTCTCCAAGAGTGAGGATTTTGATTCTTGTGCAACCATTCAAAGAAATATTAACCAAATTCCGAAGCTGTCCATGTTTCATCCAATTTGGAAAGTCAGTGCCCCTGTAGTGACATATTTGGAGCTCTTTGAGCCTTGAGTAAGGTTGCAGGTCTTCGAGTACCTGCTTAGCAGCGGCTTCATCTTGCAAATTAACGTCAGATGTGTTGCTGCTCCATTCATATACTACTTTTTGAATCATTTCTTTTCCTTTCAAGTTAGCCTCCACTGCATTCTCTGAATTTTCCAGCTTTGAGATGTGCAGTGTTCCTGTAAGGTATTCCATTTTCTTCAATTCTTCAAGTTTGTATCCAGTATCCCTGCCAACCTGAAATTGTTTTATGGGGGTTAAATGGGAGCATAAGGAGCAACAACAAAAGAAGAGAAATGAAAAAGGGAAAGCCAACCTGAAATTTGTGTAAATTGTGCAAACTGGTTAGACACCCCATGCCTTGTGGAAATGCGGATGCCTTGTACCAGAACATTTCATCCAGCTCCAGATGCCTCAACTTGACAAGATTTTTGAGCTTCTTTGGCAAACTGAGAAGCCAAGGGCAACCCAAAAGTTTCAATGTCTCCAAATTGTAGAGCTTGCATACAGATTCTGGAAGCTTTTTTATTTCAGTTTTTGATAAATCAAGGTAGTGCAAAAGCTTCAACTTTTCAATTGAATCTGGCAGCTTGAGAAGTGTGCTTGAACTCAAGTCTAGCACGCGCATATACGTAAGTGAATCGAATATCTCATATTGCGCTTTCCCAAAGGTTCTCAAGTGCTGAACAGGAAATAAAAGTGTGCGCAGCTTGTTCGATCTGCTGATGATCTCTATAGTAGGCTGCTCAACATCTTTTGAAAGAAGTGATACATGACGAGATTTTTCATCAACTCTTGGCTCTAAACTTTTCGTATCTGTCACTTGGCAACAAAAAGGACTGGAAACTGTTTGTGCAAAGTCATGGATAAGATCATGCATCTTATATTTTCCGTCATCCTTGCCTTGGGTTAAGCTTTCAAAGAAGAACCTGTCTGACAGCTCCTTGAAGTATGCTCTTCCTATGTCTTCTGTCCTCTGTCTGTTATGAGGTCGAATAAATGCTTCTGCCATCCACAATTTGACCAATTCATTCTTTTCATAAACATGAGCTTTTGGAAACAGGGAACAGAACGCAAAGCACTGCTTGTGATCAGGCGAAGGCAGATGGTTATAACTCAATCTAAGAACTGGTTGTATCTTATCCTCTTTTACTTCCAATGCTTCACTTCTCATGATATGTTTCCACTCATCCACAGTTTTCCCACGTAGCAGACCTCCCATTTGTTTTACTGCCAAAGGCAAACCACTGCATTTTCTTACAATTTCTTTTCCATATACTTTTAACTCTTCAACATCACTATGTGCAAAACTACCCTCTTTGAATGCAATCTCTGCGAACAATGACCACGATTCATTATCATCCAAACATTGCAAATAATAAGGGGCTTTTGAACCCTTAATATTTGCAACATCTGAAATCCGACTAGTCACCAGAACCTTACTTCCCCTGCCCCCTAGATTTAAGACATCCAATAGTGGCTGCAATTCCACATGATTATAATTCCATAAATCATCTAGGACAAGTATAAAGCGTTTTCGGGTCAGGATGTCTTGAACACGGGTTTGTAGTTGGGCATAGGAGAGGTTGTTGACATCATGGCCAATATTTTTTTCAGACATGTGAGAAACCACTATTTCTCTGAAAATGCTCTTCATGTCAAAGTGGTTTGTTACACAAACCCAAGTTTTAATCTTAAAATAATTTTCAACCTTCTCATCGTGATAGATAAGTTGGGCAAGAGTTGTTTTACCTAATCCTCCCATCCCTACAATGGGAACAAAAGAAAGATCGCCCCCATCACTGGCTTCTTCATCTGGTATTAGCAGTTCTATAATCTTTTTTTTATCCTCTTCCCTGCTAACAACTAGATTGTTTGAAAGAGAACCAGTTTGTTGTGGTTGTAAACTACTTTGACTTCTAGACGTAGGGTTCCCAATGATGGTTTTATAGCACTGTCCATTTTGTAAAAGCTCACTTATTTCTGCTTTAATTTCTTTCAACTTGCGCAATTGGCGCTGCTGAAATAAAAAGTTGGAAGTGTTGAATGGGAGATGAAGTTTTCGTACCTGCTTCTTTATCTTCCACTGGTGATATTCTGTTGCCCAACAGTCAATCAAATCCTCCGCATCATAAGCTACAACTTGAAGCTTTACGAGCCAATTCTTCATGCCGGTAGAATTAGAAGAATTGAGTTGAGTAAGCAACTGCTGAATGTCTGTTAACGTGCTCTCTAGCTTTTTTATGTCATCCTTGACATGAATGAATGCAAAAAACTCCGCTGTAGCAAGAGAAGACAATTTTTCCAGTGCAATGCTCACGGCAGGACTTACAAGGGTTGTGATAACTGTTTCTGCCATGTTGCTTGCTAGCTTGCTATTTGCTTCCAAAGTAGAAAACCCAGAGCAACAAATGGAAGAGAAAGATGATTGAAAGAAAGGAAACAATAAGCTAGTATGGCCTAAGGCCTGAAGAGCATCCCAGGCTGCCTTCCTTTCTTGAATGAAAGAGAGGCAGAGCAAACATGGCCTGCAGGCTGCTTTAATTCTATATGCATGTTTGTGCGCTTATTTATAGAGGAAATCATCAGGAGGGATTTCGCTCTACTTCTTCACACAGCTCTAGGGTCAGGGTCAAGTTCCAATTTTTTTTAGTTAAAATAAAAAAAAAAAAAAAAAAAAAAAAATTATAAGTTTCAACTATCTAACATTTGACTCCTAATGTTGAATAAGAATCATAGAGTTCTTAGTCTCCTAGGATTCCCATTAAAATATATGTGAAATTGTAGTTTTTAGAAAAGTTGCATGATTTGATTAGACTATTATGATTAAACTGGATAATTAACGATTTTTCTTTGGACGGGTAAATGGTAATGTGGATATGAAACTTGTGTAGAACAATTTGTGAATTGGTTAACGTTTTAAGTAAAGAGTGACAGATGATGAACGTTCTCCAATTATTGAAGTACATTGCAAGGTGGTCGAGAATCTTGTTGGGCATCCTCCTTGTAGGGTAGAGATCAGCTTATCCCAATAGTTAAACTATCATGAATTAGTAGAAAACTGTACATCTGTTATGTCTGAGTCCCAAAATTAAAGCTTGTTTAAATCCCCACACTATTATTTTATTTAAAATATATACTTTAAACACTACCTACAAATTAAGTCCACCCCAAATAATAATCCACTTCAACTAGCAAACAAAGAACAAAAGTTATATGCCACGGGTTTTCTAGAAACATCAAACATTGCTCATGGAATTAATTTTTCTTGCTGAATGAGTCAATTTTTTGAACCATATAGAAAAGTATATATCCCAATTTCAAAAAATTGACTCAGGTAGCTTAAACCAACTACCAGAAACATCAACATTGCATTCATTGCTCATTGAATTAATTTTCTTGCTGAATGAGTCAATTTTTTTAACCATATAGAAATTTCTTTTTTTTTTTTTTTTTTTTTTTTTTTTTTTTTTTTTTTTTTTTTTTTTTTTTTTTTTTTTTTTTTTTTTTTTTTTTTTTTTTTTTTTTTTTTTTTTTTTTTTTTTTTTTTTTTTTTTTTTTTTTTTTTTTTTTTTTTTTTTTTTTTTTTTTTTTTTTTTTTTTTTTTTTTTTTTTTTTTTTTTTTTTTTTTTTTTTTTTTTTTTTTTTTTTTTTTTTTTTTTTTTTTTTTTTTTTTTTTTTTTTTTTTTTTTTTTTTTTTTTTTTTTTTTTTTTTTTTTTTTTTTTTTTTTTTTTTTTTTTTTTTTTTTTTTTTTTTTTTTTTTTTTTTTTTTTTTTTTTTTTTTTTTTTTTTTTTTTTTTTTTTTTTTTTTTTTTTTTTTTTTTTTTTCTCTGATTGATGAACATAACATAGAGAAATTGAATGGCTCATGCAAGTCTGAACACAATAATAATAGAGTGCTGCTATTTCCACCCACCTGTCTTATTTTTTCACCCACCGTATTTTCTCACCCGCCACATAAATTTTAAAAAAACACAATCCTATTTTTACACCCACCAATATTCCTAAAATACCCTTATAATTATTACCTCATTTCCTCTCTCCTTTATTCTCTCTGCTCATGTCTTTTCTCTCTCTCTGACGACACATCTCTCTTATTTTTCTCTATCTTATTTTCCATCTCTCACACTCCATCTCTGTCTCTATCTCTCATGTTTACTGAATTAAAACAGTTTTTTGCTGTAATTTTTATTTTTATTTTTGTAAATATGGATTCTGTGAATATAATCACATTTATGCTCTTAGCTTTCTACTATTGTAAATAAACTTTTTTTCCAGAGTTATCCAAGGACCAAAAATCTATTGAACTTTGCAATAAAAAAAATATAAAACGCTCATTCTTAAGACATGAGAATGTCAAAGAGTACAAAGCCAAACAGATAAGGGAAAAAACAACAGTACTCGCCTTCTTCGCCTTCTCATGAGCAAGGAGTCGTATTCTTGTGTCTGTCAAACGATAGGGTTACTTGAGAACTGAGAAGTCTGCCTTTTTTTTTTCCTCTTTCTTTTTCCTTAAGTTCTTTTAAGTCATTTTACAATAGGGTTAAATTTTTCTTTAAAAGTTTAAATATAAAGTGGGTGGGAAAATAGGACAGGTGGGTGAAAATAGCAGCACTCTAATAATATATTGATGGGCTGGCGTTTGGTGATACACTTGGGAGGGAGACTTAGGCAGTTGATTGGTTTGAATAAGCCCTAGATTAAGAAATCGGAGATGAGAGATAATGCCCAGAAAGTAGAGATTTTTGGCATGCCCAATTGACCCAAACGCTCCTTTGCTGGGTCTCATAGAGAGAGACCTCAAGAACAAGGCCTTTGATTTTGGGAGCTCTCTCTCCCTGCAACCAAAAAAACCACCATTGTTCCTCTGTTTCGCAGCGACGCGCCACCCCACCAACCCCCAAAAAAAAAACAAAACATGACTGCCCCCTCCCACAACCCACCAACCTAGCCACTCTAGCCACCCCAACCACCACCAGCCACTCTAGGAACGCGCGGCACGTGATGGGGAACATTAGGGTTTTGCGGCATATGGACGACGAAGAGAGGTTAGCGAAGAGAGTAGCGGGGCCGTACGATCTCGTGATGGGTTCCAAATCTGGATTTCCAAACATGGAGGCAGATCGGGGTTGATTGGGGATGGAGGTGCGTCGGGGGTGGGAGAGAGACAGAGAGACAGAGAGGGGCGGGGTGGTGCTGCTGATGTTGGGCAGGAGCTTGTGGCAAGGGGTGGGGTTGTGGGTCTGCATTGTTCACTTTTGAGGTGGGTGGTTATGGCTGTCACTGCCCGGCGGGGGTTGGGTAAAGAGATCTAATAATTAAAAAATTATTTTTATTTATTTTTAATTTAATATTAAAAAATATTTTTTAATTAATGAAATTGACAGAATTAAAGCATATGACCTGATTTGCTAACAGCTGTAAATACGGTGACCAAAATCAAAAAATTGAAATTTCGATGACCAAAATTTAATTAGACCATAACCCCTATGACTAAAAATGCAATTACCCCTAAAGTAAATGGATATGAAAGATTCAACAGCACACTTACATAACTTATGAGGCTGAAAGTTTGTTGGGATTGATAAAATCCTGTGTTCTTTTTTCCACTGATTATTTCTAGAAGAACCACACCGAAACTAAACACATCTTATTTCACTGAGAAAGTTCCATCTAATGCATACTCCGGAGACATGTAACCACTGCATCACAAATTATGATAACAGTCAATAAATTTGTGCTACAATGTATGAAGCATCCAAACTAAAAATTAAACCGTCTGCACAAAACTTACTAAGTTCCGACTACTGTGTTTGTGTTAGACTCAGTTTCTTTGCCTCCAACAATCCTTGCCAAGCCAAAGTCAGATATTTTGGGGGTTCATCTCCTCATCTAAGAGAATGTTGCTGGTTTTCAAATCTCTGTGAATGATCCTCAATCTGGAATCTTGATGAAGATAAAGAAGTCCTCGAGCGATTCCCAAAATGATGTTAAAGCGCATCTCCCAATTGAGAAAGATGCTTTTTGTATGATCTGGCAAACTTTGCATTATCCATTAGAGAAACTTGGGAGCTCTGGTATTCAAGAAACCATATATCATGCAGTATAAAAATAGGGAGTTTCACTAAAACACCCAAAATGGGGGTTGAAATTATAAAAAAACCCAAATACTGTTTAAACATATAAACACACCCAAAACCCATCATTATACACACTCAAAACCCATTTATAAACACACCCAAAAAGTTGACTTTGGGATTGATTTTGGGTGTGTTTCTATGTTTAAATAGTGCTTGGGTTTTTTTATAAATACATGTCTAGAATTTGGCTTATTTATAAATTTATTGAAATGAGGACTAGGAACAAACCAAATATAAAGAAGTCTAAGCTTTTGTTGGGCATGTACTCATAGAGTAAAATTTTTTCTTCTCCTTTGATACAATATCCTTTAAGCCTAACAAGGTTTCGGTGTTGAAGTTTGGCAATCAGCACCACCTCATTTTTAAATTCCTGTAAGCCTTGTCCTGAAGCCCTTGATAACCTCTTTACCGCGATCTCTTGATCTCCAAGAAACTTGCCCTGGAAAAAAAAATCCCCTTTCATCAATTTACAACTAACCAGAATACATGATCATTAATGATAAACAATTTTCTAGGAACAATAACACAACACATAAGTGTTGCTAAGGTGCACTACTACAAAAAAGGAAAAACACGACGGTAAATCACCGTCGTGTATTATGTTTTCAAATGGTCGTGGAATCCACCGACATCTTTTCCATAACCAAACCACGACGGTGAATAACCGTCGTTGTTAAAACAAAAAACGTCATCAAAAAATAAAAACCGACGTCTTTGTGCTGCAAAAAGACATAAAAAAAAGGGTCGAGGATGAGAATAGACGACCAACTCCAACAAAAAAACGTCGTTAAAAAGGAAACAGATGACATATATTAACAGAACATGGCCGCAAGATAAACATACAACGACGAGAACTTAAACTTGACGCCGTTAAAAAAATATTTAACGACAAATATAAATACGACGTCTTTACAATAATAATAGACGACGTTATTGACACCTACTACGTCACAACATTTCCCACAACCGTCGTAAAATAAATTTTCCACTTCGATTTTTCTATGAATTATGACGTGGAAATAGATCTCAGGGTCATTACTTACGACGCATGTATTTACAGAGACGACGTTGAATTGATAAATAACGTCGGTTTCAAATAAATGAGAGCCGTATTACAGAATTTATACGTCATATTTTGAAAATAAACGACGTGGAAAAAATGATGGGGTCATTAATTACGACACAGTAATTTATAAGGACGACGTTGTCGTCTATATACAACGTCGGTACCATGAAAAAGACCGTCGTGTTTAATAATTTATACGTCTTCATTTAAAAAATTGACGTCGTCTAATGCATATATCTTAACGTCGACAAGTTTAATGGACTTCAAATACCGTCGTAAAATAAATTTTCCACTTCGATTTTTCTACGAATTATGACGTGGAAATAGATGTCAGGTTCATTAATTACGACGTATGTATTTACTGAGACGACGTTGAAATGAATAAACAACGTCGGTTCCAAATAAATGAGAGCCGTATTACAGAATTTATGCGTCATATTTTGAAAATAAACGACGTGGAAAAAATGATGGGGTCATTAATTACGACACAGTAATTTATGAGGACGACGTTGTCGTTTATATACAACGTCGGTACCATGAAAAAGACCGTCGTGTTTAATAATTTATACGTCTTTATTAAAAAATTAACGTCGTCTAATTCATAAATCTTAACGTCGACAAATTTAATGGATTTCAAATACCGTCGTGAATTCATCCTTTTCCACTTCGTTTATGAAAGAACATGCGACGTGGTAAATTCATGACGACGTCGTCTTTTGTAACGTTCAGGTTAAAGTTCTCGTCTTTTAGACGTCGGTGTTATGGGATTGGAGACGTGTTATATTGAATTACATGGCGGTTCTTTATCAAAACCGTCGTGTTTGTAATCTGGAACCAGTAATTTTTGTACTGATTGTTTTGTGGCCAAAACCTGTATAATGAAAGTGAAGAAATCACATTACAATATATTACAAAATTAATGTCATACACTGCCAATTACATAAAGCATCATTCAACCCATATATCTTCACACCCATCTCGAATATTTTGACTCCCTAACTCAACCACCACTTCATCAAATGTGTCAACATTTGGCATCCCCCTAGTAAATGGCTCACACTCAATTCTCACATCACCTAAGACATCATCACCAATAACATCATTATATTCTCTATTAGGCATTGATAACACTACCGACCAACCACGATGCATCGGGTCGTCAACAAAAAATACTTGTTTGACTTGAGAAGCCAAAACAAATTGGTCATTCCTATGTCCAATTTTACTCAAATCTACAAGGGTAAATCCAAGTTCGTCCACTACAAGACCAGAAGTATTATCAATCCAATCACACCTAAAGACTGGGATTGTAAACTTTTGGTAGTCAAGGTCCCAAATTTCTTGAATGACACCATAGAAACCCATATTTGAGATAATTGGGTTTTTATCCTTGGCACTAGCAACTTGCATAGTATGTGCAAGTAAATAAACTCCACTATTTTGAGTTGTCCGCACATCATCTTGTGCCTTGATGTTGAATTTAATACCTTTAATGAGATAGCTCCTATATAATGGCACTGCCATGTTTGGACCAGCTGCTAGCCACCTTAAATTTTCTGATACGCCATGATTGTCTTCCTCATTAAGTTCACTTTGAACCTGCAAATTAATCATAACTTAATTCAATCTCACACAGGAAGAAGAAAATTAAAAGTCCAATATGTTATTCAATAACATATACCTTGAAGCGTAGCCATTGAATGAAAGTGCTATTGTGCTTATCCTGCAGCCACTTTGTTCTCTTTCTAAATTTTGGATAAGCGGTCTGGATGTGGATCATATGTTGCCTACATGACACACAAAATTCAAGTATTACGATCCCAAACATATAAGATAAACATAAGAAATAATTTAAAATGGAAACTTAAAGAATAAAACTCATACGTACTCGATATAAGGTAGGACTTCCTCCGTATTCTCCAAGACATATAGATGTGCTTGGTTCAACAGGTCCCGATCAACTACGCTCACTGTGCAACCTGATAATGGCTTTGAAACTCCCATCTTTTGGCTTGAAGGCACTCCAACTGTACTAACATCAGATAAATGCTCGGTACAAAACTCTACAGCTTCTTCAGCTATATACCGCTCAGCAATGCAACCTTCGGGACGAGTACGATTCTGAACATACCCCTTTAGCACTTTCATATATCTTTCAAACGGATACATCCATCTAAAATATACTGGCCCACACAGACGAACTTCTCTGACAAGATGTACTACTAGATGAACCATGATATCAAAGAATGAAGGGGGAAAGTACTTCTCAAGCAAACACAAAGTAACTACTACATCTTCTTCCAACTTATCTAGCTTGGAAACATCAACAGTCTTTGCACATATAGCATTGAAGAAGAAGCACAAACGAGTTATTGCATACCTTGCAGGCTTCTCCAAAACAGAACGAATTGCCACAGGGAGCAATTGTTGCATTAAGGTATGACAATCATGTGATTTAAGGCCAAGAAGTCTTGAATCTTGTAAAGATACAAGATTTTTATATTTGAAGAATAACCTTCAGGGACCTTCATACCATAGAAAGAATTGCAAACCTCTCTCTTCTCTGCTCTTGACAAATTCCAAGGCCCGGGAGGCAAACGAGTACGTCTTTCTCCATACTCGGGTTGCAAATCAATTTTGACCCCCATGTTCAATAAATCTAATCGAGCAGCAATCCCATCTTTATTTTTTCCAGGGATCTCCAGCAATGTACCAATGATACTATCGCAAACGTTCTTCTCAATGTGCATAACATCTAGGACATGCCTCACAGGAAGGTATTTCCAATACTCGAGATCAAAGAATATTGATTTCTTCTTCCAACAAACTCTGTCACCATCTTCAACCATATGCAGCACTTCTTCTCCGGTTAATGGCTCAGGAGGCGTGCCATATTCAGGTTTCCCAT